GGGTGGCTGGTCTTGTAGGTGAAACCAGGTAATAAAAATACAGTTCACTATAAGAGGAGCATTATCATGATTTTTTTGCCTTGCAAACCAGAAATTCCTGTAGCTAAACTGAGGCGGATAGATCTTTGTGAGGTCAACATAGCAAGGGATTTGGGGCAAAGGCGGGTAATTGGATTTGAGGTACAGATCAGCCATGATCATATAGAATGGTAGAACAGGCTCAAGGGGCTGAATGGCCTCCTCCTGTTGCTATGTGCCTAAACAGTATTGTACATATAATGGGGTAAGAGTGTTTGTGCTGTTTTAGGTGGAAGCACTTTTAAAAGTCCGTTGGCAGCAGCACTGATGAGGTGGGTGTTCAGTGAGTAGCTGATGACAAGCCAGCGTGTGCGTGTGCGTGTGTGTGTGTGTGGGGCTGAGTCACCCGTGGCCCAGGTTTGAGCCTCAGTCTGTGCTGCTGAATTAGCTGAATTTGAATGAAGTGGTTTCTTATGTATCACCCAGTTTTTGATCCATTTATCAACGTCTATTTTCAGCTGGCAAAGAGGTGGATGAGTCAGCCGTGTGCTAATGTGCAGGCGATCAAACCCTGAATAGATATTAATAATAATAATCCTTACATTTGATGTAGCGCCTTCCCACACCCCTCCCGCACCCCTCCACCATGTTCGGGCCCCGACACCTGATTGTTCAGCGCTTTGGGACGTCCTCCAGATGTGAAAGGCACTCTATAAATGTCATTTTTTTGTTGTTGTTGTTGTTGTAGCGCCTTATCGCGTGGTTGAGAAGTCTCAAAACGCTTTACAGAATATATCGTAAAGTATTGTGGGCGAAACACAGCAGCCAAATGCGCACAGGGGCGTCCCACAAACAATCGTGGATTGAGTGACCAAATATTTTTTTGAAGGGATTATTACCCGCGGAAAAGTGATCCGCCAATCGACTAACAACCAGATTCCTACTGACTGCTGGCAAACAGAGGCGTTTGGAGTAAGGAAACTTGCCTAAGGTTTCGCCCTGTCCACGAATCGAGCCCGTGTCCTCTCACTTGCGAGGCGAGCGCTGTAACCACTACACCACAGGACTCATTAAACTCCAGGAGATTAATGAGTCAGAGTTCCCTCACACTGGGTTCCATTCCTGTGTGTTGCTCCACTCACACCCTCCAGCTTCACTGCTCACAATAACCATTCATTTGCAGTGACATCCGGGAGCAACAGCATTCTCACATTTTTATTAAGAAGCTGCAATGGAAGAAATTTAGCAAAGATATCTCTATGTACCTGGTATTATCAGTGAGAACCGATTTTATAGAGCTGGATATTAACAGTGAGCATTAGTGTGTATTCTGTGAACATCTGTGTATAGCTTGATAGTCATGTGACCCTCTATATAATCATTTTAAAAAAATTGGGTTACTCAATCCACGACTGTTTGTCGACGCTGCTGTGCACAATTGGCTGCCCACACAATATACAGTTATTTCACTTTATAGTATATTCTGTGAAGCGCTTTGGGACACCTTGAAGACGTGATAAGATGCTGTATCAAATGCAAGAATTATTATTGTTATTTATTACGAAAATCTCAGCCGTGAAGATGGGAATTTCATCCCACAATCAGCTAGTGAGAGACCCTTTGATCTCTGCCAGAATAATCTCCAAACATTAAAATGTGGCATTTTTAGTTCACTCCTTATTAATTGTAAGCTCGGGGCCTTTCTAAACGTCTGTCAGCCTTCAATGTATTAAATATACAGAATAATGAACTCAGATCACTGCCGCCAGAGGATGGAGGGAAGCAAAGGACTGGATACAGCACTCTGTGGTGGGAATGGAGAAGATTCTGACTTGTGGGGTATTAATGATTTCCTCTGGAAACCTTGAGATGTAATTGAAGCTTCCTCAACACAGCTGGTTTTGCTGAGCTCCATGAGGGTATGTTTAACCCACGGGACTGTTTGCTGGGTAAACCAGGAGGCTCTGAACCATTGCTGGTGCATCTGCAAGCTAACATCAAGCTGAGTTAAATATTTGGATGTGAATATTAAATGTCCTGGGGTTTATTCACTTCCATAAACTGCACAGTACACGCATGCCAAGGCTGTAATAATAATAATAATAATAATAATAATATCCTTGCATTTGATATAGTGCCTTGTCAAGACGTTGAGACGTCTCAAAGTGCTTCACAGAATATATTGTAAAGTGGAGCGACTGTATTTTGTGGACGAAAGGCAGCAGCCAATTGTGCACAATTGCGCCCAATAATGCAACCGAGGCAAGCAGATCCTCCGCAGCGCTGTGAAATTACATTGTGAGAAAATTAAAATACCATTAACTAGCCATGGTTAAAACTTTTTAAATGATGGAAGTTTTTTTTTACTGTCTGATGTGAAATTTGTCAGAGGTTAAAAATAAAGTCCAGATTTTTCCTGAGGATTGAATCCTGGTCCTATATCTGTGGAGAAGAATAGAACTCCTCACCTCCCCAAGCTTTCCCTTCCCTCTGCAATCTACAACCTTGGTCATCCCAACCACCTGCGTCATTTATCTTCTCGTGCTTACTCCGTGCCTTCAGGAGAGAGAAAGTTGGAGACAGAGCAAAAAGAAACACTTTCTAACCTGGCAAATGTCATTCGATCGAACAGTTCTGCTGAAGGTTGTTCTAAAGATTGCAGCAGCAGCCAGTCAGGAGTGTGATGGAGCCTCTGCTGCCTGTGAATTGACAGCATTAAAGCTGCAGTGTTGAGATGTCACGTTGTGCAGACAAGCCCTCAGAGGGAGAGGACTGAGGCACAAGGCAAATGTTGCCAGTCTCTCCCTCTGTTACTGTGTGAACCCAGTACTGATTGCTATATTGAGTGTGCGCTGCATTGTCAGAGGTGCTGTCCATTGGATGAGATGTTAAACCAAGATTCTATCTGCCTATTCGGGTGAACGTTAAAGATGCCACTGCATCGTAAAAGGAAAGGAAGTTTTTCCCAATGGTCTTGGCCAACACTCTTCCAACACAAAGCCATTGACAAACCAGCCAGCTTGTTCCTCGGCAGAGTGTAGAGGGATAGATTGGGAGAAGGGATTCTTCTCTCTTGGCTCCTGTTAACCCTGAAAGCCGTAGCCCTCATGGGGAGAGTGTTCCCAAGCAGCGGGAAGCTTGTCAGATAGTGCTCACAATGGCAAGCTAAGTGGTTTAGCTGGTTAAACTCCAGCAATACCCCACCAGAGAGTAACTGGCTGTGAAGTGCTTTGAGATGTTTTGATGTTATAGATCCTATATCAAATGCAAGGCTTATTGTTATATTGTAAAAGATGTAGACTGGCTTACTACTGTACATCTAACAGGATCAGACCCTCTCCCTGTAAATAACGCAGTAGTTGGTGTGACACTAAAGGTGAAGGCTATGTTTCAGGGGAGTTCTCCTCTCTGAACAGCAGGTGCAAGTAATGTACTGTGTAACACATACCGTCTGTGGCTTCAGCTTTCCTGTACTTGACTTTCAGTGAGTTTAGTTTGTCTTTTTATCCCCATGATTTGATCAATAGTGAGATTGGAATTTATTTCACTGCCTATTAAATTGCCAGCAATTGTAATTAATAAGCTTTAATTACTACATATGTGATTGTTAAGCTCAGAAGCACTAGTCAGGTTAAAAAAAAACAAATGACCTTGTCTTTGAGATGATTTAATATTGCCCATATGGAACTGCAAATTGCAAAAAAAAACACTCCATCCACCCCTAACCGTGGTCACCGCTGTGCACAATTGGCTGCTGCGTTTTGCCCACAAAATATACATTCTGTGAAGCGCTTCGAGCTGTCTCAAGGACGTGATAAGGCGCTGTATCAAATGCAATGATTATTACTCCATTATTATTAAACTCTTACGTTAAAACCGTTGTGCAACCATCGCTGGGTGCAATACTGTGTGTCACCACAAGGCGGCAGCACCTACACTGCATTCCAGCCTTTATGGCCAAGTGACAATGTGACAATCCACAAACCTTTGTAATCAGAACAATGTGGAGATGAGACATTAAACCGAGTCCTGACAGTCTGAAGCCAATTCATATCATATCATAAAATCTCAGAAATTCACAATCAGCGGATGCCCGAGGTTCCTGTTTCTGGTTGTGATTCTTCATGGACTGAGACTGGACCTTATCATTGGCAGCCACTCGGTCAGGTCCTAACCCAAAATACTGCAGACGTGGGAAATCTGAAAGAAAATCAGAAGTGGCTGGGAACCAACCCTGAGCAGGGCAGGTCAGGCAGCATCTATGGAGAGAGGAAAGCGAGTCAACGTTTCGGGTCCACGAAATGTTCTGACGAAGGATCGTGGACCCGAAACTCACTTTCCTTTCTCCCTAGATGCTGCCTGACCTGCTGAGCGTTCCCAGCGACTTCTGCTTTCCCTCAGTCAGGTGCCTGGTTTGACTGTACTGTTCTGTCTACACCCAAAGGCCGAGGGATTGCCTTGGGGTGAGGGAGGTCTGGTGATGATTAAAGATGCTTCAATAGACAAATGACTGTTGCACACAAACAAAGAGAAAATTCAATGGGAGTTAAGCCGCAGAGATGCTAAAGAAGTTTCCTCCTAATAGCAGGGCTACGCCCCCAAATTCCTCCTCTTCCAACCTCCCCCCTCCTCCCCCCCATCATCCCGCACATATAACTGAGGTTGAAGGCATGTTATCCAGGGTATTGTAATAAGGTTTCTGTTATTCTCACAAGATGTGGTTTACATTGTGAGATATCACTTATTGCATGGTTTGTCAATGCATTGTGTATGGTTGATGATGTAGCAGTGAAAACAAATAAAACCCCGCACTGCAGCTGTTTATTCTAATTCCACACAGTATTATATTGTTCCTCAGTGAATAGTTACCCAATCCTCTTGGTTGAGTTTTTTTNAATCAAATTCCAGGTAATACCGATATTGAACGCAGAGAAGTTCTAAAATGAACCTGGTTCCAATCACTGCATTTTGTCCTTTTTCAGGAATTCTCTTCACCACGCTGGTGTTTGGGCCCACATGTGGCTTCATTCTGGGCTCTCTCTGCACCAAGATCTATGTGGACGCTGTTTTCATTGATACAAGTAAGAGGGAGCATCACTGAAACACTATTCTGCTAACATTTCTGTTTACGTAAAACCCTCTGTGTATCTGAAGGCATTAAATGGTTATTATGTGGTTTTACATTTCTTGGTGGCTTGGCATCAATTCGCCCATCCATCCTGTCCTGTTTGAGAGGAGAGGAGAGGTGGCCTGGGCCTGTTGTGAAGCAGTGTTGCAGAAAAGTACCTGCTTCTGCTTCCCCCAATATCTCCCGCTCCTGTCCTCTCCTGGAGGTTCTGACTCGTGCTGAGTGCAGTTCCACAGGGAGGCCTCACATACAAAGCTTGACATGGAAACACTCCAGGTTTGTTTGTATGTTGTTTGTTTAGCGAGGTTAGCCCCCCTCACCCCTATTAAACGAATTAGACCGAATCGTGTTCCACTAGGAAATGAGGATTGTCCCCACAGTGTGATTCACCTCTGACACTGATTCACTGGGTTCACACATGAAGGAACAATTGGGGAGGAAGTTAGGGAGCTAGTTGAGTGCTTCTTATCATGTCTTTCTCTGCTTCAGGTAAGCTGGACATCACGCCAGAGGACCCTCGGTGGATCGGGGCCTGGTGGGGGGGCTTCCTACTCTGTGGTGCCTTACTCTTCTTCTCAGCTCTCTTCATGTTCGGATTCCCTCAGTCCCTGGCCATTAAGAACGAGCTTGTGCCGGAGAGTGAGCAGATCATGTTACCGCGGGAGTTCGAGGGGCAGAAGCCGAGTAACGGAGTGGCCCAGCTGGAGGATGGCACCTCCACATCCTGCTTCCAGCAGCTCCGAGGTCAGTGACAACCACAACATCCTCTTTGTTCTCGTTGCTTAATCTGCTGCGCGTACAGGCCTCAAGTTCTAAAGGCTGTGAGTCTCCCCCCGGACCCCCTCCCCACACTGAGACTTTCCCCAGTCTGGGCTGTCACTGCAGTGCAGTAAGAGGGAGAGTGAGTACCATGTCAGAAGTGCCGTCTTTTGGATGACATGTTAAACTGAGATGTCGTTTGCTTGTTCAGAAGGACATCAGATATCCTGTGACCCTTTTGGAAAAGTTTTTACTGTAAAGTAATTATTATTTTTTTTGGATGGATTATTAGCCCCGGAAAACGATCCACCAATCGCCTAACAGCCAGGTTCCTACTTACTGTTGGGTAAACAGAGGCGTGTGGAGTAAGGAAACTTGCCAAAGGTTTCACTCTGCCCGGGAATCAAACCCGGGACCTCTCGCTTGCGAGGCGAGCGCTCTAACCGATACACTGCGGAACTCCACGTGTGTCTGTCTGTTGGTTGTTTGCAGTGATTCCGAAGGTCACCAAGCACCTGCTGGCAAACCCGGTGTTTACCTGCATCGTGCTGGCTGCCTGTATGGAGATCGCGGTGGTGGCTGGCTTTGCCGCATTCCTCGGCAAATATCTTGAGCAGCAATTCAACTTGTCGGCCTCTTCGGCCAATCAGCTTCTAGGTAAGTCACACTCCGCACTAATAATATAATAATAATCCTTGTTATAGCAACTTATCAAGTCATTGAGTTGTCCCAGAGCAAAACTTCAAAGGGTATATAAAAAAAATGGCTTCGGAAAAAGAAGTTATAAGAATTGCAGTGTAAAAAGTGGCCATTCAGCTCATCATTGTGGTGAACAAGCTCTCTCTCCTCTCTAATACCAACCCCCACCACACATCTGCTCCCTTTTATATTCCTTCCAAAGGCTCCTGCTTTAAATGCAGATACATTGGCAACAAGTTTGTAAGTCGGTATGACTGAAATCCCCTTTGCACAGAAAATTGGCGCCAGTGACATTAGTTATGCGAGAGAGGGGGAGAAATTAGTTTAATGTCATTTATTGGATGGGTTTAGCCTGAGACACTTGGTGCAGTGTCTCAGGAAGCTGGGAGCTCATAACTAATGCAGTATTAATGAAAGTTGAATTAATTTTAATTAATTTAATTAATTCTTTAAAAAGTCTGAATGCTCATCTGCTGTGTAAAGTGCCTCCTGTGTTTGATCAGCAGTTTGAGGTGAGATGCTCATTGTGTCAGAGAACTACACAGTGTCCAGGTTAGCTTCTTGACCAGACACTCTTCATTCCTGAGATTGAAATCTTCCTCTGCCCAGATTCCTGCCCTTATCCATGTATTCTCTGCCGGAGCTAAAGTCTACCATTTCTTCTTAGAATGCGGGATTGGGAAATTATGATTAGGATCAGGAATGCTGTGGAGCGCTGCTGGTGGTCAGTCAACTCACAGTGGAAAATGAATAGGGTCATGTGAATCTGACAGAACCTCAGCGACTTACCAAATATGATTTAGTAAATGATTATATTCACTAAGGGCGCCATCTGTCTGTATCTGTACCTGGAGATCTCCCTGAGTCACCCCAGTCACCGCAAAATAACACTGGAAAACAAGGTTATCAGAAAGAGCCGTCTGGAGATCACAGATTCTCTCAGGACAGAGACAGCCCTCGACAAATGTGCCCTGTTTATTTATAAATTCTTTGAAGAAAGCGGCTAAACTAATCCGTCCCATTTCAGCAGCAGTGGTTTCGATTAGAACATCCAAATCATTTGGCTGCCACTCGCCCCAGATAGCACACAGTAACCCTATGGATTCCATAGAAACTGCCTCAGCATCTGCGGGTTGCTGAGCAACAGGACATAGATGGCTTGGCTTCTGAAAGGGATCTGTCTGCAGCTCGTGCCTTATTTTTTATTTCTGAAATGGAATTGCATCTCGGGTTGAGGAAGCGTGATGTGTATTTGGCTCAGACTTTCTTTCTCCTGCCCCAAAACAAGTGCTTCAGGTGCAAATTCATAACAACCCCAGCACTGCATGTTAACACGTTTGTTATGGTGTGAGCCCATGACCATTGGGCTGAGAGTTTCCCCCAACCCCGGTTCACACTGACTTACAGACCATCAGCTGAGCAAAGAGTAAGTAGCAATGAACCCACCGGGGTTTGTCTCTGGCACGTGAGCAGAGGGGCCGCTAGGGGGTCCAAGGCTGGAAGTTGTTGTTGTTGTTGTGGTCGGAATGCTCTATAATGAGAGCCCTCTGGCTGGTCAGTATTAATGTCCTGAGAAACCCTTGATGTGAAATCTGAGGCAGCTTCTGTGATCATTTTGATAAGCGTCAGCAGTCACTTTGGGATTGTTTAATGCCTGTGTGTCTGCTCCCACAGGGATGACAGCCATTCCCTGTGCATGTCTGGGGATATTCCTCGGAGGCCTTCTGGTGAAAAAGCTCAACCTGTCCGCTCTGGGGGCCGTTAGGATGGCTATGCTCGTCAACCTCATCTCCACCGCATGCTACATCTCCTTCCTCTTCCTGGGGTGTGATAACGGGCCCATTGCAGGCGTCACCGTTCCTTATGGAAATGAGTAAGTCACAGCTTCAGCTTGTGTTTATATAAGCAGCCCTCACATAGGATAATGTCTCACACAGAGCACTGTACGTAGAACAATGTCAGGGCGCTGATGGGGGAAGGGCAGAGTAGACGCATTATGTGGTAAGAAGGAGGAAATACTAATCATAATAATCCTCATATTTGATATAGCACCTTATCACGTCTTCGAGATGTCTCAAAGTGCTTCATGGAATATACTGTAATGTGAATTGACTGTATATTTTGTGGGCAAATAAAGAGTTAGAGGGCGGGGTGGGGGGGGGTGTGGGGGAGAGATGGAGGGGTCAGTCCTGTTTAGGATCATGTCAGAATTATTGTATCAACCAAAGAGATTTTACATCAGTGCGTATTTGTTCTCCTCACGCTGTACTTCCCTCCCCATTAACATTGCAGCACAGGGTCGGGGGAGGATTTGGATCCCTTCGCTCCCTGTAACAGCGAATGTGACTGCACCATGGCCATTTACAGCCCAGTGTGTGGGTCTGACGGCATCACCTACTTATCTGCATGTTTTGCTGGCTGCTCTAGCACGGTAAGTGTTAATGTGCGTAGGTCACACCACCTCCCACTCGCCCCCCAAAAGGCTTTACGTTACAGGGAATTGGAATGAAAAGATTGCCACATTATAACAAAATGGCAGCGCTGGTTCAACGGGTCGAAAGATCGCTTCTCTTCATTTATTCCTAACTAGTTCTTTTCTGGGATCTCAGTGCTGGGAATCTACTCTCCTCTCTGTTTATAGCCCAACACTTGTGGTGACTTACTCAGGAATTTGTGATTTTTCTTGCCTCTCACCTGGTTTTTCCCACTGGGGGTGTCCAGCACCTGGGCTTTGGCTCTCGCCACGTTCTACGTTATAAAGATTTAGGGCTAGTGTATAGGAACCTCTTACTCCTATTGAGAATCATAGAGTTTACAGCACAGAAAGAGGCCATTTAGCCCAGTATAAATACTGTTATAGATGTGGCTTCACCAACTATCTGTGGTAAGGTACTTTACATTCTAAAAGCTGTCTGAGGAATAACCTCCACCATTTTTCTTCTGGTGATAATTCCTCTTATTCCTGATTCACTGGTCAGTGGGAATAGTCTCTGACTCTCTATTTACCTCATATTATACCCATACATGTTTGTGCACAGACAAGATAATAATCATTAGCTATGAGTGTCTGGGTGCAGTGCTGGCTGTCACTTTATCTCACTCTGGTTCACTGTTCATGTGTGACTATCAAATGATTTTGCATTATAATTAGCAAATTAATGAGACATTTTACATTAATTGGAATGGTATGAACTCATGACAAATGAATGGATTTTTTTTCCGTATCATTAACTGGAATACCTTCAGATATTTTTGTATTCGCCTCAGTACATTTAAATTAGATGAGGGTTTTGCATTATTGATAATCCAGAACATTAATATTCTGTGACGCGAGTATTTACAGACTAATGAAGGGCTGTGAATTCTTACCAAATAATATCAGGTCTGGTGTCTAAATGCAATAAACAGCTCAGGATTATGCTAAGTGGTGAATTTTCCAGCGACTTGGCACGTCCTCCCAACATGAAAGCACTATACAAATATAATGTTGTTGTTGTAAAAAGCCAATCTCTCTCTTCTGTGACATAGGTTATACAGCAATCGGGACTCTATCCCAGATCAACAGTGATAGCTGTTCATTTTCCTCTGTCAGTGTGTTTGGGAGGGGCGGGGATTGGTGGGGTGGGGGGAGGAAAACCTCAAGCTGCAGTATTAGAGATAATTGAGAAGAAAATGCTTCTGTCTGTCATTACTGCTGCATTACTGGATCACCAGGTTTTCAGGGGAGGTGAGTAGGACAGGAAACGTGGATACCGTATAGTCAGCCAGCTCACGAACCATGGTACAGGCGAAAACATGGATCACTGTTGGGTAGTCAGCACGTCAGCGGCACTTCCCACCCGGATGTGCTTTTGCAGAGTTGTCCTCTCTCCATATAATGCATAACAAATGTGCATCGCTAAACTAGGCCAAATGGATTTTGTTTCTTCTATTTGTTTCACTCCATAACAAAGCTGTTTCAATCACTGTAGAGATTTGTGTGTGTTACCGACTGTGATTGTGCCTTTACAGAACCTGAGCGATTGTATTTGCCTGAACATCGGCTCAGATGAGAACGCTACAGCCATCCCTGGCAAGTGTCCGAACCCGGGCTGTCAGGAGGCTTTCCTGACCTTCATGTGTGTGATGTGCGCTTGCAGTCTGATTGGGGCCATGGCTCAGACCCCAGCCATCATGATCCTCATCAGGTAAGGGAAACCGGGAGAAACTCTTTCCACCAGTCGGTCAGTTTCACTGGAATCTACTTTAAGATAATATCAAAAGACAAAGGGAAAGTTTAGTTTTTTCATATATACACACTGAGAGTTTGCTTACAAAATACCCATTAATTACACTAAATCCTGTGGAAGCACTTGAACATCCTCCCTCTCTGCTGGGAACCCCAGACAATCACAGTCCATCGAATTAATTACTTTCTCATTCACCATGTTGAAATTCCTGATGTTATATAATTAAACCTAACCTCCTTTCCTGAAATCCATATAAACTCCAGAGGAGATAGGGCAATACAAGAGAGATATGTGCAACATTGAAAGCTAATGGCATGAATTACCAAACTCAGAATTACAGTATTGTGAGTGTCACCAGCTCCGATCTCACAAAAGAACAATTCTCTTTGCAAAAAGTTTCAGTCAAGCAATTACCAAGATACAAAGATTTCAGAGTGGGAAATGCATAGCCCAGAGATGAACTACATCTGTCTACAGTGTCTATTTCCAGTGTGATTTTCTGGCTGGGATTGAAGTGTTGTGTGATGTACAAAAGAACTGTCTTGCTGTGGATGTAATTGGTCAAGTTTCAATCAGGGATCAATTGATTTTCAGTGCGTTTTAATCAGTGCTTTCAATCCTCAAGCTTGTGTTTTTTGTTGTGCTTCAGGGCTGTCAACCCTGAGCTCAAATCCTACGCACTGGGAGTTCTCTTCTTGCTGCTGCGTCTTCTGGGTGAGTGCTCTTACCTCTTTAACTCTTTTAGACGCGAGGAGGGACGCACAAGAGGTGGGGAAAGAATAGGCTCCTGGGTGAGCTGGTAAAGAGTCAAAGTGAGCTGGTAATTAATCAGCATTGGATGTTATGAATGAGTGTATGAGGGTTTCTGTCAGACATCAAGTCCTGGATGAAAGCTAACTTTCTTCACTTGAATGTCAACAAGACCGAGGCTCTCCTGATTGGCTGCAGTCAACGCCTTCACACCTCAGGCGCTGACAACATTACCATCCATGGTTGCACACTCTACCTTGCTAAGCAGTCCGGAAACTTAGCATCTTGTTTGACCCTCAACTATTCTTTCTACCCCTCATCTGTGCCATGACCCACTCTTCCTTCCCCCACCTCCGCAACATCATCCATTCTGTCTCACACCACAGGCCGCTGAAACTCTCATACACGCATTCATAAATCAAGGCTTGACTATGCAAACTCCCTGCTTGTCGACCTCCCCAACTTCTCCCTCCATAGGCTACAGATCATCCAGAACTCTGCAGCTCGTGTCCTCTCTTGCACAAGGCTCTGTGACCCTGTCTCCATCATCCTCGCCCGACTCCACTGGCTTCCCATCACACAGAGGATACAATTCAAGATCTTGGTCCTCAACTTCAAAACCCTCCGTGGCTTCGCTCCCCCCTACCTCTGTGACCTCCTAAACCCTACCAACCTGCTCTCCGCTCAGCGGGCTCCAGCCTGCCTCACCCGCCCCACCATTGGCAGACGGGCCTTAAGCCACTCAGCTCCCACTCTCTGGAACTCCATCCCGCAGTCCCTCCGCCTATCCCCCTCTCTTGTCTCCTTCAAGACCCTCCTCATTGACCGTGCCTCCCTCCTTCCCCCCCTGCTCTCCACTGTCCCTGATCCTGACCCCCAGCTCTGGTCCAAAACGCTGATTGTCCAGCACCTTGGGACGTCCTCCTAATGCGAAAGGCACTATAAAAACGTAATTTTGTTGTTGTAGCATTGACTAGTCAGAGCCCGATTTGATTTGCTGTTGTTTCACTCCTGACCTTTAATGACCAGGAAACTACCTTTCTTCTGATCCAGTCAAGATTGCAGTCCCGTAGTATGTTGGTTAGAGTCCTGTAGTGTCTTGGATAGAGCGCTCACCTCGCAAGTGAGAGGACCCGGGTTCGATTCCTGGCGGGGAGAAACCTTAGACAAGTTTCCTTACTCCACAAACACGCCTCTGTTTACCTAGCAGTAAGTAGGAAACGGGTTGATTGGTAGATCACTTTCTGGGGGTAATAATCTCTTAAAAATATTTTTAATAATAATTTGATCACTCAATCCACAACATTGCTGCTACCATGTTTCACCCACAAAATACAGTCAATTCACTTTACAGTACATTCTGTGAAGCACTTTGAGACGTCTCAATGACATGATAAGGTGCTATAACAAATGCAAGGATTATTATTATTAGACTAAGGAAATGAGCCAACCTTTTTCTGATTGATGAAAAGGTTGAAAAGCTGCCGAAGAGGTAGAGCTCAGGGTGGGGATCAGTGCAGTCACTCACTCCCTGGCCAGGGCACACAGGAGGCAGGGGAATCTCCCATTGCATTACCCATGCTGCAGACTGCTACCTGTGTGGGTTGAGGCCGAGGGATTTTAAGTACTCTGTCATAAATGCTTTGTCAAAATGCCTTTAAAGAAAAGAATAAGGAAGGGACTGTATGCTTGGCTAGCACAGAAGTACTTCAGTATTTATCGATCACCTTTTAAATCTCTGCTTTGTCAGCCAGTATTTGTGAATCACCAAAAATATCCCTCTTAGTTCTTGGCAACTTCTGCTGTTTCTGCGCTGCCTGACTGATCACAGTCAATTTTTCTTACATACTTGCTATGTGTCTTGTACAGAAGAACAAGTATATTGTGTTCAAATGAATTGGAGAGTAAGCCCTCACTTTGTCATACTGTGCAGCTGTCTTCACTGTCCCGTCAGTCGTGGGGCTTGTTTAACAGACATTAAATTCAGTGCACAATGATGTCAAGGTTGCATTGTTGCAGAGGTTCTTGGCTGCCTGCTCACTGCAAGACTAATGGCTTTAAAGTGAATTATCTGGTGTGACCTGGGTCCTGGCCAACAATCCTCCAGATAAATTGACTTTCTGGCTGTTTGAGTGGGACCATGCTGTGTGCCATGTTTGCCTACAAATACACAGTGACAACGCGTGATGATAGTTCCCTGTGAAGCGCTTTGAGAGGTGCTGATGTTATAAATCTTGTGTCAAAGGCAAGGATTATTATACCCTGTGATTTGGTTTCAGGGTTCATTCCTCCACCTCTGATCTTCGGTGCCGGGATCGACTCCACCTGCCTGTTCTGGACCACCATCTGTGGGGAGCAAGGAGCTTGCATGATCTACGACAATGTGGTTTACCGCTACCTGTACGTCAGCATTGCCATTGCTCTCAAGACGTTTGCCTTTGTCCTTTACACCACTACCTGGCAATGCTTGAGAAGGAACAGGGGCAAGTACATTGTCAATGAAGAGAGGAACCTGCAGCCAATGACTGCCAGTGAATTATTTGCATCAACCCTAACCCTCGACACTGTCGGGAGAGACTCCAGCCAGCCCCAAACGCACAAGACCAAATTTATCTACAATCTAGAAGATCATGAATGGTGCGAAAATATGGAATCTGTACTATAAGACCTTTTACTTTGATTCTTTTGTACTTTGATTTCTGAGGGTTAAAAATTAAGTGAGGACCCCACAATGGTGCATTCTTAACCAAAAAAAAACTATTTCATGTCAGTTTTTTTTGAAGACCAAGGTAAGGTATAAGGATTGCAGAATGACTGCTTGAAACCGTTTGTGAAAGCAAATGTCGTCGCAAAAGCAAAGAACTTGAGTAAAGAAATGGTGCCTGTCTGTGTGAACACTGCGTTGTGTTGTAAATATATTGGTGACCTCCCCGGTTTTGTAGTAGTGGTGGGGGGGTGGAGGGAACGCTTTGTCTCTGACAGTCAGAAACAGCACAAGTCAGTGTGCAGAACTAAACCAGGCACGTCACGATATTGGACGTTTTTAAATAAATTGCTTTCTCCCACTCTCTGCCAGCAGAAAAAAATAAACTTTCCGTCTCAGCAGCCGGGCCAACAGGTCGAGGCTTAGTATTAAAGAGCCACTTCAGTGATTTCCCCCCAGACTCTGGGAATCAATGCCCTGCTCAGCGGAGGGCAGGTTCACCCTGTGATAGCTGATCTCAGCAGGTGTCTGGTGGTTTGATCCTCCAGACAAATTGGTCTTTCCCCTCCTGCGTGTTTGTGGGATCGTGCTGTGTGTAAACTGGCTGCTGTGTTTTCCTACAGATACAACACAAGACAGTAATGACTAGAAGCTTTGAGATGTTTTGATGTTACAGGTGCCATAAAATGCATGTACTTTCTTAACACAAGTAGCTCATGGGTATGTCCAGCAGGAAGTCGAATGGGTGGGGCTGCCGTGACCTGATCTTAAACAGCAGGGAACCTATGGGGGAGAAACACCTTGTAGATTCCTGCAAAAACTCACCCCGAGCTTCAAGTGGGGGTTTACCTGATAGCAGGAATGTGGAGAAGGAGAAAGGCAATCCCCCATCTCAGATAATTCTGTGATAAGACTGGAGGAGCTTAACGAAATGAGAGGACAGCAGTGATCCACAGCCTCTGTGTACCCGCTGCACCCGACATCAGGGGTCTCAGCGCAGGAGAATTCAGAGCCTGATACAGGACTAAGGGAGAGAAAATAGAAGGAAAGATGGTGCAGTAATGCATCCTGTAAATGTCTTTAGCATGCCTAGTAAAAGAATGATGTAGTGTTTATTCAGTGTCTAACAGACCTCAGCCTGTACTACAACACATTCCTTTATTCCCACTCGACATCCTTTGCACTGCCTGAGTAGAACGAACACCCTCACTGGGCACACAAGATGGACTGTATCTAAACCACTTCACAAAGACCAGTGGCTATTGTAATGGTCAACAGATAACCTCTCTACAAGGGTAAGGCCCTTATTTTATTGTTGAAGGAAACAAGAGTTCATCTAACACACTGCAGGTACACGACATGGCTCCTATGCTGGTCTGTTCTCAAACTACAGGAGCCAATCCATTTATGCGACCACTTTCAGCGTTTTATCAACCTCTCTAATATTGTGTGCAGTTGGTTGCCATATTTCATCCATAATATAGTCAATCCACTTTACGATCTATTTTGAAACACTTTCAGATATCTCAACATCCTGATAAGGCGTTATATCAAATGCAAGTATTATTCTTACCATTATGTGGAAATTGGGGGCCCCCTTTCCCTACATGATACAGTCACTGGAGCATAAATACACAATACACTGAAGCAGTGGACACTATTGTTCTGTCCTTTTGCAGTGATATACACCAGGCAGCCCACGTACAACCCAGCAATAGCAGCTGGTATCAGGAGAGCTGGTCATGGAGCTGTATCAGGGAGGTGAATGAAAGATGACTTCAGATAGCTAGAAACATTCACATTTTCTGCACAGATTGCCTTTTTACTTTATGCAGTTTCCAACTCTTTCTGCATTTTCCATAATGATTTTGTTCAGCTCAGGTCCACATCCCTTTTGAATGATTCTATTGGTCCAACATCAATAGTCACTTGTGGCAATGAGTCTCACACCTGAACAAACCTGACCAGTGACAAGATTCCTTTCAACCCCTCCCTCCCTATTCTCCTGCTAACAACCATGAGAATATCCACACTCATCAGCTGCTCCCCAACCAAAGGGAATGTTTTTCTTTCTTTACGTTCCATTGTCTGTTCAGAAAGCATTGCACGGAGACAGCTCTTGCCATTACAGAATTCAAGGATTTCTGAATCTGGTCCTGAAGTGTAGGACTGATAGCTCATTGTTCAACCCGGGATCAGCCTCGTCATTCCCCTCTACGCTACCTCTGGGGCCTGAGTGGTACCCTTGCGTCAGGGCCTCAGATAGAGCCTGGCTTTACTGGGAACAGCACTGAATTGCTGGCTCGCCAAGCTGTGCTCACGTCATTCTCGATTCAATGTAAGTAACTTTGTACAAACATTCTCACGGGAAACAATCGGGTATATTTCTGCAGCAAAACCTTCCTGACCTTCTCTCTGACCTGGTTAGTGTAAAGTCGGGCTGAGATAAAAGGTTTTGATGTCAAAATGGTTGATATTTGAAATGTGAGATTTGCTTTAACTTTGGGATCAAAGTCAATGTTCTGCAGGTCTTTTTATAAACAGTGAGCGGAGCCAGTGACGATGAAGATGATTTGGATAAATATAAAGATAGAGCAAGGGTTCCCAAAGATATAGTGGATTGTGCACCACTGCGCGATGAGTTGGGTGAGAGAACGCTATTTGTGAAGGGAATCTAGGGTTGAATTGGGGGAGGAGAGGGGAGATCACTGGAAAGTGAGAATGTGTCAAGAGAGATGTAAACTTTAAACCATCACCCGAGAGATGCCTCCCAAAGCCATTGAAGAACTGGTGAATATACTGATGAAAAAAAGCTATTCAAAACAATAGAAAAGAGAGTAACAGGACACTGCTTATCATCACTCTGCTCTCGCCGTCCTCTTGTTAAGATGATAGCTGGTGCTGGTCTCTGTAGGCACTGACCTGGGAGGGAGTGGGGGAGGGCAGTCCCAGCTGGACATTCTGGAGAAAAGGAGATTTCCATTTGGAGATGCATACAGATGTGGAGCTCTCAGTCTACACATGCCAATGTAACAGATCCCCCCCCTCTCCCCACTGTGCGTAAGAGTATCCAAGCAAAATTGAGAGCTTCATACATCTCACCTACCTGTGGAATTTTTTGTATATTGGAATGGACACTCTTTCCCAGGTGGAACACACACTGAGCATATTGGTGAAACAGGTGGTGTAGATACATTTAAGAGGAAGCTAAATATACACATGAAAGGAGGAAGGGAATAGAAGGTTATGCTCTGAATATCCCAGTTTTTGCATAACGGCTACTTGTACATTCCATATTTTATTAGCCAGGACTTATTCTGGAAAGTAATGAGATTGTTCATAGGGTTTACATTCTGTCAAACTCTGCTGCAACATCTCTTTTGGGAAATTATAAAAGCATCCAATAATATATATTTCCTATCGTCAATGGACTTAGACAAACCAGTGAGATCTAGTGTAAATAATGCAAGACTTTGTGAGAGAAGGTAAAGATAGAAATGATTTATTGGTAAATACGATGGAATAATTACAACAGAAAGCAATCAAGGACAATACAGTTTTCCACTTACTTTTGTGATCTTTTTAAAAAAGACACATTTTTTCTTTTCAAATCTACCCAAAACATCCAGTGTAGCTACAGAATAAGGAAATCACAAACACAAGGCAAAGATCCAGTTTTTAAAAATAAGAGCTTATATTAACATGAGGCTATTACAGTGCAACCTAACCCGAAGTGGAGCTGTGTTTGCTGTTTTTATTTACAATCCCTGTACGTTTCTGATCGTGCCATAAAAATGACAAAAATATTATGTGGGTGTATGGGTAATTTAATAACATTTCTGCCCATAGCACTGACGTTTCACATAGAGTTGAAAATCAAATTCAGTTTCTAAATTTAACACTTAAGAAAGGGAATAAATCTCACAGAATCTAGAAGAAATCACAGAATGCTACAGTACACAAACATGCCATTTGGTCCAGTCAAGACACTTTTATTGTTAAATGAACAACACATAACATGATTCAATGGTATCGCACAAGTGGGATTAGCCAACAAACAGAATTTGAGTTACAGATGTATTCCACGTACTCAGATGGCATTTTGCTTATTCTCAAGAGTGGGCAAATTTAAAATTAAAATGACAATTTTCTATTTGAATTGAGAACTAACTTAAGTGTGTTTCATATTGATATGCCGGTGATCCCGTGTGATATGTCAATAGAATATCAAAAACAAACAGATGGTGGGATTTAATTTGTAGGACTCCAGATTTTTTGCAGCCCATGGCAGAATCCCCAATGTACGACTCTGATTTCTTATTAAGTAATCAAGTTACAAAGCACTGCGGATATCCAGCTCTCCATTTAGTAATTTTTTTTAACCAGAAAAAGATAAAACAACAACAAATCCCAATGTCGGATGTTCTTTCAATGCAGTGAAGGATCAGCAAAACTTTCTTGTGGTATTAGATATCGAATAGGTCATGTCATTCGCAGATGCTACTGTCCTGTCAGTGACTGGTGACCAAACCATGATTTCTTTGATGTTTTAAACCAAGAATGAAAGACAGAATCCATTCTTTGTTCAGAGTGAAGCACTTCTTTAAAACAAATAACCTTTCTTTTCATTTTTACATTGACACAAAAAAAACACAGATAATGGGTTTGGAATTAAACCTTTGAGTAATAAGCAGACAGCAACATTGTTCACTTAATTTCTGAAACTAGTTTGATAACAAATTGGAAATTTTTCATATTGTAATATTTGTGGACCAACTAGTGAGTGATTATACAGAATGTGCAGCATGGAAACAGGCCACTCGGCCCAACCGGTCCATGCCAATATTTATACTCCTCAGGAGTCTTAACCCATTCCTTATTCCCTACCATACTCTTCAATATCCCTCTCCCTCATGAATGCATCTATACTGTCTGATTCAACCACAACTTCAGACACCGAGTTCTACAGTTCATAACCTTCTGCGTGAAGCAATTTCTCCTAAATTCCCTTTTAGATCCCCTGTTTGCTATCTTATGTTTTTGTCTTCTGGTTACGGACTGCCCAATCAGTGGAACAGCCTTTTGATATTAACCTTATTCAACCCTTTTATAATTCTAATTAATCCAATGAACAGTGTCTCAACTGATTGAGTCCTTAGTTTGTCCTGTTGGCTGGCAAAGCAAGCTGCAGTTTAGAACAAACTAGTTTTACACTACATTGTTTTCTGGATTAACTCAAGTATCAGCAAGTGACAGTTAAATGTACTGAATTACTCAAAGTATTAACACCGTATGAGCCAAAGTCAAAGGAAGGGTAAGAGATGTGATTAAAATGAACAAAAATTGATTGTCAATTGCGGCCCCTATGGTGATATTAACCATTTATAACCAATGGCACTTCTATTGGTAACTGAATGTTCTATTTTGTAGTTGTATTTTGGTCTAAAATTTACCATAGGCTTAAATTTTGTTTTCTTTTTCTTAGTTCCTTGGTCTTCATAATGATTACTTACCTAAAAACTATTGTTATTTCTAAACATAACACACACATTACAGTGGAATTCATTACTGACTGCAGCAAAAATCAGCAAACAAATGCCAAATCCATATTACCCTAATGCACATTGCCCCCTGGTGGCCATCTGAACAACATTGAAGGCCCAGAACATATTGAAGATGTTGGAGCAAATGGCCTCCAGAGCCAGAAAAAACTTGCCTTACAAACAGTTGTGGAAAAATACTTGCTCAAGCTGTCACTGCTGTTAGCTAATATCTTGCCTCAGCTATTGCGTAAATATTGTCTTAAATATCACATCCATCCACACCCACATATATTATTTCTTGCCCAAACTCCCCAAAACACCAAATGCTGAAGGTAGTGCTTCCCCCAAAAGTACAAGATCTGAAAAATTGGCTTCTGCTTATTTAAGTTAAGATACCTATTGTTTTATTTGTTTGGGCTGCCTGCTGAGCAGAATTCAAAACCACTTCAGCTGTGATAGCTATATAACAAGAGGTTTAAACAGAAATTAAGCCTTTCAGTGGATCTCTTGTGCATGATGGTCCAAGAGGAAACCTTGAAGTTGTCAGCTGACAGCATCATTTGACGTTGGCTCTGGGCACATTAAACTCAATGACGACAAAAGGAACATGCATTCCGCTCTCAGAATAGCTCCAATTTGCCGTTTTGTCACATTGTACAAAACATCACAAGTCTCAAAAACAAAACGCTCTGCTCAAAATCAAACCATTAAAACATTTTTGGCTACAGTAGTCAAAGAAAGAAATGTAAACATTCCTTAAATGTAACGTAAAGATAATGTAAATCCAGTGTTTTCTATTGTAGGAAATAAAATAACTCGGCAAATCTATAACATTCAACTTTATTAGCTAGTTTCAGATTTGAATTGTGTTTCTAAATACATATAAATCCTGTTCATTTCTTACTTTTCATAAAAAAAACTGGCATATTTTAGATACAAAAGACCTTTTGACTAAAATGTCAATACACACAGTGATGCTGATTGTCAATAAACGGTATAAGATGGCACTTAGAAGGGAACTGTTGAGGCTTTTTGTGATGCGTTACTGCAGGTCTGATTTTACACTGGTAGGATTTTGACCTCACATCTACAGAGGTGTACTCAGTTAAATAAATTCCTTTATTTGGCTGAACAATAATCTGATTGTACAATGTAGCTGCCCCACTTGCTTTCAATAACACTCACTTTAATTCTAATTAAATCTCATCTTATAATGTGTCAAGATTTTTCTTTTAAGTTAATGGTGCTGTATAAATATGTTCAGGATGAATGCACTTGTCACTATCCTGAGGTCGCAGGTCTGATCACATCCATTTCCTAATCTTGGTGAAATATGGTAGATAAATGCTTGATCCAAATACATTTCCCTGTGAGAGGAAGAGGATGTATAATTATGCTGTTTGGATGAAGTATAATTTCTGTCAATTAATCTTTGACACTCAACCACCTACAAGTCCATACCCTTTTTGACTTCCCACTGAGAGAAGTTACAGATGAAGCCTCACATTTCTGATTAACCCCAAAATGACCCTTTATTCCAGATTTATTTTCATTCCTGTGACTTTGATTAACTGTGAAATGATTACTCACATTCCTGGAATAACTAAATGTTTTTAGCATTTCAACCAACTCAGTTTCATTCTGAACAACAATGAATAACCAGATTTTTTTTACAATATTAAAAATTAGCAGCAATTTACTTTATACAGTATGTGGAGGAACCATACTGTAGGGGCAGTTGAACGGCATGTTTTTTTTCCGTTCCTGAATATTTCTGACTCGATGAAACTGGATCCTCAATTTTATTTTATCGCTAGGCTGCTCTTGTGATGTGTGCAAAAGACTTCATTAGCGCAAAAGACTAACTCGGCCGCAACTCTTGCATTATCCACCCAACTCCTGAATTTAGTTAGGGTGCTGTACTGTGGGGTAGTTAATAGGAAAGTGAAAGGCTGTGTCAAAGAAAACAAAAGGTTACTTACATTTGAAAAATTATTGTGAAACATTTAGAAGTAGATGTTATAGAAATTCCTCCTTTCTTTCATTTGAAGAACCTGTACTGACCAGCACTGGATATTTATTTTTTAAAATCCATTCATCGTAAGAATTTAAAATGTGTTAGGATGTGAATTACCTTGAAAGAAACCTGTGACCATCTGGTAGGGAAACGAGCACCTCACTGCTTGAACTCACACTCAATCATTAAACAAACTCACGTGACAATGTGTCATACCTCTAATGGCTGGAATCTCTTTCTAAACAATAGAATGGGTGTAGCAAGCCTCTTTTTGAGCAATGACGTGGTGAACATCAAATCTATTATTGACTGACATGTAGTTAGGTGAGATTGTACTTGGATTGGATCACAGAGTTCCGAGCACTTACTGTTCCATTTAATGATCTGCCTGAAGGCACAAAAGGTACTCTCTAGTTAATAGTTTAACAACACATCCAGTTTCAATGCTACGTTCAGGGAGTGAATTGTGAATACAAAGATTTGGAGGGCAATTATTCTATTGGCTTTGTGATTAGGGCAGAGTACTTTCCACTCCTGTTTAAATACATGTTGCTCACTGTACCTAAGGCAGGTTGCATTTCCAGGCACTCCCAGCGTGGGCAGATTTTGATTATTTGTCACACTTTTATTGGCCCAAACGATTATGAGCCAATTCCTCTCTGATTGGTCCAACTCGTGGCTGCTCAACCTTTTTTCTGTTCATACAGTTGCTTTTGACACTAGCATTTGTTTTAAAAAAGGGCTGATCTAAAGAGTACATTAACAGCCAATATAATAATCTTGAATTTGATATTGCGCCTGATCACGTCTTCGAGACGTCTCAAAGTGCTTCACAGAACAAACCATAAAGTGAATTGGCTGTATCTTTTGTGGATGAAACGCGGCAGCCAATTGAGCACAGCACTGTCCCACAAACAGTCATGGATTGAGTGACCAAATTATTATTTTTTTAAATCATGTGGCTATCAATTTCTGCTAAACCCTATTATGTTTCTTCCCACTCCCCACATCACCCACAGTGACCTCCACTTCTGCTTAACCTAGATGCACCTACGATAATTAGATAATTATTTGGGAAGGACAAGTTTGCAGAGATATGGGGAGAGAGCGGGGAATGGGATTGAATTGGAAGCTCTTTTCAAAGAGCCGGCACAGACACGATGGGCCGAATGGCCTCCTTCTGTGCTGTATAATTCATGATTCCAGTTGACAAACAGCGTTTACCATTTTTCTTTTGCAGAATATCTTTCAATCATCACTACATTCCTTCACAACATCTCACAAATATCATACATTAATTTAAAAAAACTCCCAATAAAATAAAAGTTTTAGATACTCCTTTGGCTCATCTAGCAAATGTGCCATCCAGTTACTCCAGTGAATCCCTTTTCTATTAAATATTATGGGGATATAATCTATAATTGCTTCTTAAAACTAAGTCATTACACCACACATCTATCTACATTGCAGTCCAGCTAACGAGCACTTGGCTAATATTCTGCAGGTCAGCCATTAAAATTATCCAAAGGCAATTGGCCATAGTTCTTGGGTCAAGCTGATACTATATTTTCATCCCAAGTACATCATGTCAGAAGAATTAGGGTCAGGTAACCCTTCATTAAACAAGGGTCATTCCAGGCAGTGCTGGGATCAGTGAGCATATTCAGTGGGCTTTTATAGGTTAAAAATTAAACCTTTTTAAAGGGTCAGAAATTGAGGGTGGAATATGCCTTTTAAATGAAAACCATTGTATTTTGGTTAAGCTCTTTGATTTAACGATCAAATTTTCTTCCTGCCCCATAGAAGATGAGGGCCAATACAATATAATCACACTATCAGATAGGAATTGAATTCAAATCTAACAACAGGGAATAATCCAACATTTTAAGGGTTAATTTGATTTTCAATCAGAGCAAATTTGAGTACATACACATGACCATTTGTAAATTTTTTTTACATAATGGGTGTGGGAAGAAAGGCTGATTATAGAGCAATTTTTTTGAAGCAGCAGCTTGACTCCTATGCGATACCTTAATAAACCACCATTTTGCTTACATTGGTTGTAGTGCTGAACCTTTCACCATAATACATTTTCACAAAATCATTGTAAACAGGTACAGTAGAAGCTCAATTTTCACAAGCAGCCAATTACAACATCTGAAATATACAATCATGTCCACTCCCTTCTGAACCTCTAATAATTCTACTGTAACATTCTGCACTTGAAATGAATCAAATTTCATGAAAAATGTCATTGAAATGAAAATATATTCAACCATTACATTTAACCAATTTCTCATTTTGTTTTGTGAAACATTTTATGGTAATTTTCTCTAGATCATTGGGTATTATACTCACCAATTCTGATTATTTTATTGAGCAGAAACTAAGCTTAACAACATTTGTTGAGTGCAATAAAAAGTTGCTTCTTCCTTGCCTGTTTTTGGCACTGAAGATGTGAAACTAAATATTTCCTCATGCAGTAGTGTTAATAAAATATATGGCCTCTTTATTGAAATTGAAAGACAATGTAGGAATTCCAGTGTAAACTGACATGACCTGCATAATGAAATCCTGGAGTGTAAATTTGGCAGTACTCTCATCAATGTATATATCACATTTTATGATGAAGTGTGATACCAAGCTGCTAAAAAGGAAACCTCAAAGTTTGCTTAGAAATTGCTCTTTTCAAGACAAAGATTTACTCCTGTATTCAAATTCTGGAATCTTTTCTTACTTTTATTTCCTGAGGAAGTCTAAAAATGCCAAAGATTATAGAAGGTTCCTGATTCTAAGTGGCGAATTGATAAGGTCGTCAGGCAGAAGGAAATCAAATGGAACAAATGCATTCTTCATCAAACCTCTCTTGTTATTGTCTCAGACAGTGTTTTTTCCAACACACACTCTCGGCCAATTTGTGATGGAGAGTGTCAATGATTCTGGTGCTTTTTGCACTGTTCTGAGTACTGAGCTCCCAGTATCTACTGCAGTTTCCAAATTGGAAATTGAAATCAGTGCACTACATTGAGCTGATAATGTCCAACAAACTCAACTAGTTTTTTAGGCATTTTTACATTGGAAGCAGTCTATATTAATTTAGCATATTGAAACATTCTCTTAACAACATAGTTGCTCAAACTATGTATTTATGTTGAAATTGTAAATAACGTGCAATCGATTCATGGTTCCATACCATGTTCGTGTATGAAGGAAATTTGAACAGGTAACATCAGTGACAACTGTATGTCTCTATGCATGTATGTAAACTACTGAATGGTCATTTTAAAAGTAGACCATACGTATCTTATTGGCATCAAAAACACTGAGGCTTTTGTACAAAAACAAAAACAAAATGACTTCACATTAGTTGATACAATATAACTACCTACTATGTAGTGTTTGCCATTCAGGTTTCAAATTCCAACCATTAACCTTGTAGTGCAGATATGCTACTGTAGACCCCCTACACATAGTTTCATACAAATAAATCAGATGTACGTCAAACACACACTGTGTGGTAAACCCTCCGATGCTTAACATAACTTTTATACAAAAATCCACAGGAAAAAATCTCTGGTAATACTACAAAAATCACTAAATCTTGCTTTCCACCTTGTGTGCTTATTCTATTTAAGAAACTGCCTAGAACACTACTATAGAGCTGAGATGTCAAACCAGTTTTGTCCAGAAGGTAAAGTAGCCAGCTGGTTGGCGCAGTGTGATGGGCCATCCATGTAACAAGAGTCATTTGATAAACATCTTCACCTAAAGATGAAAAAAAGAAAGAAATTAGCCACTTGCAACCTGATTCTGATACTTCTAATTACTGAAATATTCTTTGTTTTAAAATCTACTTGGGGACAATGTTCATAGCAATAATTTAAACCTGTATGCGTACAATATTCTAATTAGGAGTCACGCTGATTCATTGGATTAATCGCAACTTCTGGTTGACAAAATTGCAGCCTGTGATTCCTAAAGACAGTAAAATCAGATAAAGACTGTTGGTGGGCTGGCATTTTGCTCACTGGAGTTTGTGACACCAATGGCATTTTGCTCACTTCATAGTGATGCCAATTTTGTAGACTAGAAGTTGTAAATAATGCAACCAGAGCGATTACTGCAACTTAAATCCCATTGCCTGGATTTGCGCTGGTTCCAAACTAGAGAAGAGTGCACTAATGTTTTATTTACTGAAATGTAATATTTCAAATTTCTTTTAAATTCAAGCACAGTAGATTGAAAATACAAAACTCTGGCCACTGAAAGTTATGCTAGTTAATTTCTCTACATCCAATTTCCTAAAGCAGTAAACAGGACACTTCCTTTAAATGAAACACAGCCACATGATCTTTGTCAGTTTTGGAATGCAGAAACCCTGGCTGCTTCATAGAATTAACCCGATCGTTATGTTTTTGTATATAAATGGCACTGACAATGTGTTCTCTCTCATGAGAATTTATTGTAAAAAGGAATACATTTACTTGGCTCACTTTGTAAGTAATGAGGGTCTAAAGTTCCTCCAAACTAAGTTCAAAGCCTATAGGACCAGCCTTGGTTTAATAATGATGAGCTTGTGGCAAATGGGATTGGAAAAAGTGCTCACCAGGAAAATAGCGCCTTTGCACTAGAAAAGGCACTCTGGGACATGATGCATCTCCTCCAGAGAACCCCACGTACATCACACTGATCCATGACATCTCAGTCTTGATCAGAGTTGGCACGATATATATGGGTTGGGAAATGCATGATAGCAAAGCACTTTTACCGATGTTGAGACGAGAATTACGCTGCCATTCTCCTGATAAGTTCTATGCACCCAAAGAGTGAAGACAACATATATATAAATCCTGATAAATGCATTGGTACCAGTCCAAATTTGTTCCTCACACAGTCTAGAATGGTAAGGTTATACCTTTTCTATGCAACTGTTTGTTACTAACTATTCCACACAGACTACAGGATTTCATTGTGCTTGGTACCATACAATGGATGACAGTACCATTATATTGTGACATAGCCTCTATCTTGAAGTAACCAAGTTACATGATTACAACAAAGAAATGGGACATTTCTCTGACAGCATGTTTACTTATATTTTCTTCTCTAATTCTATTCAGTAATTTAATATAAAGTTTCCAATTTAACACATTGAACAAATTGTTCTTGAAACAAATGTCAAAACACATCAGACTCAAAATGGAAGTGTTTAACATTGCACCTTTTCCACTATAATCTGTGCACTGCCAACAATGCAGAGATCCCCCAGAAATGCACTGAAATGTCAGCTGAGATAATCCGTTCAATATTAATTAACCTTGCATTTGATACAGCGCTTTTCACGTCTTCTAGACGTCTCAAAGCGCTTCACAGAATATGCTGTAAAGTGAATTGACTATATTTGTGGGCGAAACGCGGCAGCCAATTGCGCACAGCAATGTCCCACAAACAGTCATGGATCGAAAATGACCAATTTATTATTGTTTTGTTTTTTGGAGGGATTATTATTAGGTGCATGGAGTAACAAAACTTGCCCAAGGTTTCGCCCTGCCTGGAATTGAACCCAGTTGTTCTTACCCAGAGATGAGTACTACTGTCTGATCCATGCTGACTCCTGAACTTTATTGAGTTGTCACACACCCCATACATTATCCCAGATTGTTACATGGGAATAGCAAGTTCTGCATGTACATTACTTGCTTCCACTTCAGACTTTGCACACATTCCATGAACACATTTATTACTGACTTATCTGTATCTGGTTCAGAAAACTACTGAAAGTAAAAACAGTTTCATTCACTGCAACTAGAACAAAGAGATATTGAGATTGTTTGTGTTGATTTACAAAAAAGATCACGAGGGAGAAGAATATAGCAAAAACATGTTTCCATTCAGTAAGTTAACAGCCGGATTTTGAACTGTGACTGACCACAGAATGGGCAGTTTCCAGGAATTGGACTTGGTAATGTTTTAAGTTCTGGTTGATGGATTCAATATGTAAATTAAATTAGAAGCTACATTTTCTCAGCATAATTCAGCAAGCAAATGCCCCATTATATACAACTATAAATGGTATCCTATTACACTACAAGTTATAGCTTTTTGGCATTGAATGTTTAACCACTTTCAGAAAGCAATTTACTAAGGCAATAATCAGCTGAATAATTTTATTTAGCATGCTTCAAATTTACCTCATTTGGTTGTAATTTGTATCTCATTAACTCCCTCATCCCTGAAATACTCAATTTTAGCTCCTGTTGGTTTCTAAGGAATAAACCAAGTCTCAAGTATTTTTAAAGATTATAAATTAAAATGGAGCACACCAACAGATAATGTTGCACGAGGAAAGAGTTTAGACCAAAATAATGCACTAAATATTTGTTACTTGAATACTTATTGTGAAAGTAATGGAAAAGTTAAGTTTTAATGCCTACAACATTAATTATAGATTTGACAAGTGGAAATTTTGCTTTGATGGTTTAACTGTTTCAGTGGTTAATTAAATTTCTGGATAATTGAGAATTCAGTCCATTTGTATTTTTTAAAAAATAACAGAAGCATCACCTCATTTAAGCATTCATGTCTTATAATAATAATAATCCTTGCATTTGATATAGCGCTTTTCACGTTGGGAGGACGTCCCAAAGCCCTTCACAGAACACACTCTAAAGTGAATTGACTGTATATTTGTGGGCGAACGCGACAGCCAATTGCGCACAGCAATGTCCCACAAACAGTCGTAGATTGAAAATGACCAATTTATTATTGTTTTGTTTTGGAGGGATTATTATTAGGCTCTGTGTGGAGTAAGGAAATTTGCCCAAGGTTTCGCCCTCTGTCTGGAATTGAACTCAGGTCTCTCGCTCCTACCCCTGAGCTAGCCAAAGATTCCCCATGATATGCAATTCTAACCTCCTTTCTCAAATGACCTGAATGAGGAAATGGAGTGGAAGCAAGAGGTTTTTCCCATTCTGCCAAAATATACTGAAGGATTTGGTCTAGCCAATTACTTTTAATTTAAAGAGACTCACTGTCTTAGGTATTCCACCTACCAGTCTGGTTAAACACTTTAAAAACTCAAAGAAGGATGTGCAAATTGATTTCATTTGAGGCAGAAACTCAAACTATGAATACCATAATTTTAAACTATCAAACCATGGCTTTGGAATTCATTGCTCTTCTAGAAGAGCTACCAGGCCATGCACAGAGTATAACTAACTCTGTGTGTCTTTGTGGTGTGTGCACAGAAGGCTCTAAACAGATTCCAGCAATAAGGCAATTAATGTGTGGAGATACAAAAGGCTTAAAACAGAAATGGAGGTATTTTTGGAGCTCTATGAATCAAAGCAGAAAAATGCCCAATATTTGTGGTGAGGTGACCTTTGCCTCAATGCCATTTCTGCGCAAATTCACAGCAAATCAGCCTTGTGATGCTGTGTTTGTCCTGAATGCCCTAGGCACAAATTGCATTTAAATGCTTTTCTTTTTAAAAAACATAAGGGCAGACTTTAATGCACTTTACTTGTTAACAAACAGGCTAAAAAATACCTAATGAATATAAAAGTACTCCAACAGACTACTTTAAAACTCATTTATTACAAATGCAGTACTATACGTTCAAAGATTTAAAGCATCACATAATGCATTACTTTGAAAAATAAGCTGCATTCAAATCTGGTATGTATTCTTTAATATTTTATTTTACTTTGCTGTACTAGTGATTCAGGCAGCTTGTAGTGCTCTCTGTGTTACGGTGCTGCCGTCTGTAGATCTGCCAATCCTAGCCTGTTCAGCCTGCCCACACAAGCCAGACATGCAGGTTTGACTAGTTTGTTTCACAGAAACTTCATGTATGGAAGTTTTATGGTTGAAAATAAGTTGCAAAGTGACTTTCAAACAAGTCCAAATGTGGATGTGTGGATGTATACATGTGCAGTTTTTCTGTTGATCTGGAATGTACCTCAGAATGTAATTTGGGTATAATCCACAATCCAGTTTGTGTGTCAGCCTGGCTCAGTTGGTAATACTCTCGCCTCTAAATTAGGAAGCTGTGGATTCAAGTCCCACGTTGGGACTTTGAACTCATATAGTCTAAGATGACACTCCACTGCATTGTGGGGGCTGTGCTGCATTGTTGGAGATGTCATCCTTTGAATGATACATATATCAAATGCAAGGATTATTATCATTACTGAAAGGCCAGATATTACAGACATTTTCCATTTGAAACGGTTTTGCGATAGGTCAACTAAAGCATTAATCCAGTTTATTGTGAGATCAGGATTTAGCATTGCACAACTCTCAAACAGAACAATCAGGATCTCTGGACAATATTTTCCTCCTTAGCTCCAGGATACTGCAATACCAATTGTAATACATTCACCATTCCCCTGTTTTAGATTATCTAACTCTAAGAGGCTCGCTATTGCCTTTCTTTAACTCGAATTCTGAGAGAATTACATAACATACCTGCTATATTTTACATCAAATACTGTTGCATCTTCATCATCATCAATATCTTCATTCAATGGTGCCATTTCCACTTTCTCTGCCGGAGTTGTAATAATATCATACTTCCGTGTTTTCCGGAGTTTTCTTCCAGATCTGAAGAGAATGACATCTGTTTAATTGCAAGGTAATGCATAAATCGACTGCAATTATTAAAGATGTGTTAAATTAATCTTAATAAACAAAAGCTACTCAGTGGCTGGTTGGTATTAAAATTCTGGTTGACATTAAAATGCTGGTTAAGTCCAGAAGGCACTGATTCATGCCTCCCACAATCTCCCCTGTAGCTTGGGAACTTTTCACCTGGAGAAAAAGATAAGACCCTATGACCCTGTACCACCATATGCTGCTTATGCCCATGTTTATTTTATTAAATAGATTTAATTAAAGAAATGCACAGAATAATTAAATAAAATATTCAGTAACAGGATTGGAGAATCTGTTTGGAGACAAATGCAGACACTGTAATTAGTACCACAATGGGTTCTATCTGATATACAAGTCCTCAAAAAGTATTTGGTATCTCTTCAATGATAAAAAAACTTTCAAAAATGTTTGCTTCCCTGAATGCATCTCACTTTCCAAAATATTTTTGAACGGTCATCAGAGTAGATTTTTGCAAATGAACTTTTAGCATATTGCAAACCTGAAAGTCAATTTGAGACTTAATAATTCATTCAATGTAATAATTATTTGATATAGCACTTTAGCATACTGAAATGTCTCAGTGTTCACTCACATATATAGTGACTGTATGTGTAAGCACAGCAGCCACTTACACCAGCAAGGTCCTGTGATAATCAAGGGAATGACTAATTGATCTGGAGGAACATTGGGCAGAACACCAGGAAAAACTCCTCTCTCTTTAATATGTTTCTCCTAATGTTCAACTGAAGCACTGATATGTTAGCAATGGGAATGTCTGCTGCAAACAGATGCTGACTGACTCAGCGCATAATCTGATGCAGTGCAAACGTTCCAATACAATTTTCTCTTCAATTGGACAAACTTGCCAAGTGTGGCAACTACAAGGATATTGCCTCAACTACTACATCACTGGTTATTTCCCTTGTTGGAAAACTGGTAAAGGATCTAGAAAGATCAGCATATGAGAGGGCTCCTTTAATTGATAAAAGTCATGCCTGGATTGTATGCTTGGATTGTAAATGAATTGGCTTTACCATTAAACAGCACTTTTGACACCTAGTTTATATATTTTTTGCTGAACTTGCAGCATTATGTCACTAACATTTCATACCAAATTATATGGCTGTCTTCAAGTCTGTCTCTTGTACATAGTCTGTTGTAGTTCAAGTGGAACCTAGATGAAGGAATGTAAAGGTGGCTGCAAGTAGAGATTAACTGCCTTGTTGGAGATGCCGTTCTTCAAATCATGGTGGATGTTAATGAACCCATGATTTTATTTGCAAAGTGAAGGGAGTTTAACCCAATACCAACAATCTTCCAGTACAATTGGTCATTCACCTGTTTCTGGGACATTCCCGGCAGGTCAGGGCCAAACCTTGGGCAAGTTTCCTTACTCCACACAGAGCCTAATAATAACCCCTCCAAAAACAATAATAAATTGGTCATTTTCAATCTACGACTGTTTGTGGGACATTGCTGTGCGCAATTGGCTGCCACGTTCGCCCACAAATATACAGTCAATTCACTTTACAGTGTGTTCTGTGAAGCGCTTTGGGACGTCCTCCCGACGTGAAAAGCGCTATATCAAATGCAAGGATTATTATTATTATTGCTGTGTGCAAATTGGCCACTGGGTCTACCCAACTGCCTACACTTAACATTCATTAGTGTGAAGCACTTTTGAGACTTTTCAATGTGATAAGGGACTACAATATATCAAATGCAAGGATGATTATTGTTATTTATTGCACCGAAGTCACTCGGGTGCCTTTGCAGAGTACTGGGAGAGTGGGCTACAATGTCTAAAATTGCTGCACAGAAATTGCTGCTCAGCGTTGTGGCTGTTTTGGCAATAAACACAACAGCCTCCAAACCGGCCATGAAGTCAATGACTGACTGATTTATCCGGGAATACCGTCAGCCCCGGAGACCCGGAGACACTCCCTATTGTGCGGCCGTGAAATGTCACAATCGCCTGGAAAATAAAAACAGACCAGAGGGGGACCTCAGCTGTGGAACATCTCTCCTCGAGTCTTATCCCCGTAGTGTCAGACGGGTCGGTCAGGTCAGCGCGAGTCCTGGTGTCGGGACACAAGTGCACTTACAGTGCGTCTGTCCTGCGAAGCGCTCGGAGACGTCTCGACGAACGCTGGATCAGGCGCCGCGTCAAACGGCCAGGATTATTATTATGATGACGATGATCAATGGCGATGGTGATGGTGATGTAGGAAATGTGTAGTACAACAACACAATGCCGAGTTATTTACATTTCTAATTTGTATCGAGAAAAGCGTTCCTAGTTTTTAACGTGAAAAAAAACATTCTACCAAAACACGAGGATCCTACGCCCCGCAGCTCACACCGGGTTTTATTAGCGTTGTTTACAGCGGGTTGTCCGGGACCGGGGGGGGGACGGGACCTGTCGTTACCTGATGACTCTGGCGAGTAGGCAGAGGATGAGGAGGAAAGCGGCGCCGCACACCGTGGCCACGGCGGCTTTGAGGGCGGACAGGTCGTGGAGGATGGAGCTGATGGAGCCCAGACTGGGGCTGGAGGCCGTCGCGTTGGTGGTGGTGGCGGCGGCGGCGGCGGCGGCGGGCGACACGGCGGCGGTGCCGTTAAGCAGCGCCGGGGACGGAGGGCTCGACGACGCCGCCTGGAGCAGCGCCGCCAGGAGCACACAGCACAGGCACGACATGTCCCCCCCCTCCGCGGCTGTGGGTCGCCGTGGGTCCGGGTCTCTGTGTGTGTCTCTGTGTGGGTCCGTGTCTCTCTGTGTGGGTCCGTGTCTCTCTGTGTGTGTGGGTCCGTGTCTCTGTGTGTGTGTGTGTGTGTGGGGGGGGGGTCCGTGTCTCTCTGTGTGGGTGTGTGTGTGGGTCCGTGTCTCTCTGTGTGTGGGTGTGTGTGTGGGTCCGTGTCTCTGTGTGTGTGTGTGTGGGTCCGTGTCACTGACTACTGACTGACGGAAGGTTCTGGACCCCGGGCCAGAGCGAGGCTGTGGATGACAGGCGCTCCTCCTGCGCATGCGCTCGCCCTCACCAACCGTCACTCTCGCGCCGGAGTCATCGGGCGCCAAACGCGAGTTTGGGTTCCGTCGCCGCCGCCATCATCATCATCGCCGCCGCCTCCCGGTCCCGGTCCCGGTCGCTCTCCGGCCCTCGGCGCCGCGTCAAACGGTTTCTTACCTCAGACCCGGCGACCTCCCGGGACCTCCGCGACCCAGACCCCGAGTGTCGGTTCTTCATCCCCTCCCCCTCCCCCCCCCTCCCCCGCGGCCTGTCACCCGGCGGTAACGGTTGGCCCGGGCAGGTGTTGCAGCGCGCGCTATGGAGGCCTTTGTGGCGGAGTTTGGGGAGAAGCTCAGCCGCGCGGTGAGTGCAGCCCCCGCGGCTTCAGGCACACGGTGACCGGCTTCAGAAAGCCCGGCTCGCGGCACTCGGGTGGGTGGGTTGGCGGTTGGGTGGTTTGGCGCTCTGCCCCGGGTGTGGGGAACCAACCGACAACTCACCCGCTTTCTGGTGAATTTGGCAAAAGGGGACCATCGTAATCCTTGCGTTTGCTACAGCGCCTTATGTCATCGAGACAACAACAACAACAACAAGATTCCATTTATAGAGCGCCTTTCACGTCAGGAGGACGTCCCAAGGCGCTGCACAGTTGGGTCATGACCCGAGCAGGGGGGAAATGGTCAGAGGAGGGAGGAGGAGGAGGAAATGGTCAGGGTGAGGGGAGGGAAGGGAGGGAAGGAGGAGGGGAAATGGTCAGGGTGAGGGGAGGGAAGGGAGGGAGCGAGGAGGAGGAAGAGAGTCGAGAGGGGAGCTGAAGGCACGGTCAAAGAGAAAGGTTTTGAGACCGGCCTTGAAGGAGGAAAGGGAGGAAGCGGCGAAGGCACTGGGGGATGGAGTTCCAGAGCCTCGGGGCTGAGAGGCTGAAGGCCCGACCACCGATAGTAGGGCGGTTGGGGCGGGGGACGTGGAGCAGACCGGAGCCAGAGGAACGGAGGGTACGGGCAGGTAGGTAGGGGGATAGTAGGTTGGAGAGGTAGGAGGGAGCAAGGCCGTGAATGGCCTTGTAGGTGAGGATGAGGATCTTGAAATCAATCCTCTGGGGGATGGGGAGCCAGTGGAGGCGAGCGAGGGTGGGAGTGATGTGGTCCCGAAGCCTGGTGCGGGACAGTACACGAGCTGCAGAGTTCTGAATGACCTGCAGCTTGTGGAGGGAGGTGGCGGGAAGGCCGGCGAGGAGAGAGTTCCCATAGTCCAGCCTTGAGGTGACAAAGGCGTGAACCAGGGTTTCAGCAGCGTGAGGGGTGAGGTAGTGCCGTAGTCTGGCGATGTTCCGGAGGTGATGGAAGGCGGTGCCAGTTGTGGTGCGGATGTGAGGGAGAAAGGACAGCTCAGGGTCGAACAAAACGCCGAGGTTCCTGACTGGCTTTGAGAGGTGGAGAGTGCAGCCTTGGATGCTGATGGTGTCAGCGCCTGAGGTGCGGAGGCGCTGACGTGAGCCAATCAGGAGGGCCTCGGTTTTTCGCACGTTGAGCTGAAGAAAGTTGTCTCTCGTCCAGGACTCGATGTCGGACAGGCAGGCTGTCAGGACATCGGTGGTCGTGGAGTTGAGAGTAGAGGAGGAAAGGTAGAGTTGGGTGTCATCCGCATACATGTGGAAGTTAACCCCATGTTTGCGGATGATGTCACCGAGGGGGAGCATATAGAGGGTGAAGAGGAGGGGACCGAGGACAGAGCCCTGAGGGACACCACATGAGACAGTACGGGGGGTGGAGGAGAAGCCATTCGTTGAGACGAAGTGAAGACGGTGGGAAAGGTAAGAGCTAAACCATTCAAGGACAGTGCCTTGAAGGTTGAGGTGGGAGGACAAGCGGTGGAGTAGGATAGCGTGGTCGACCGTATCGAATGCTGCCGATAGGTCGAGGAGGACGAGGAGACAGAGGGAGCCCTGGTCACAGATGGTCAGGATATCATTGGTGACCTTGACCAGGGCAGTTTCTGTGCTATGAGCAGCACGGAAACCTGACTGAAGGGGTTCAAAAAGAGAATGGGTGGAGAGGAAAGAGCGCAGTTGGGAGGCGACAACTCTTTCCAAGACCTTGGAGAGAAAGGGGAGGTTGGAGATGGGCCGGTAGCTTGATAGCTGCGACGCATCAAGGGAGGGTTTTTTCAGGGTGGGCGTGATGATGGCAGTTTTTAATGGAATGGGGACAGAGCCAGAGGAGAGGGACAGGTTTATGATGTCAGTGATGTGTGGGGCAAGAAAATGGAGCTGGGAGATAAGGAGTGGAGTGGGGATGGGGTCAAGGGAGCAGGTGGTTGGTTTTAGGGATAGGATGAGTTCAGTCTCAAAAGACGTCTCAAAAGCGCTTCGCAGAATATACTGTAAATGATAATAATAATCTTTGCATTTGATAGAGCGCCTTATGGCGTCTTCTCGACGTCTCAAAGCGCTTCGCAGAATAGGCTAAAGTGAAGTGGCTGTATTTTGTGGGCGAAACGCGGCAGCCAATTGCGCACAGTAGCGTCCCCCCAAACAGCCGTGGATTGAGTAAACACATATGTTTTTGTTGCCCAGCAGACATTCCCCCTTTAGAGCCTACACGAGGCTGCGAATGATGAGCCCAACGTATTTTCTGCCAGGAGATTGCGCTCTCAATTTGTTAAGTGAGAGTTGTAGTTTTGAGGCAGTGGCTCTGACTGCACCGGTTAATAGGAATACAGGAAAAGAGGAACAGAACAAGGCCGTCCAACCTGTGCCATCAGTTTATTAGCTCTAAGCCGACCTTTAAATCCTATTAGGATTCGCATTGTCTTCTTGCGATCCATGTTCAGTCCATTAACCTGTGACACTATCCATTCTGGCGAGGCCATAATAAAGAACCTACTTTCTTTAATTTAAATGCTTTCAATGCGACTGTCCCCTTTTTTAATTTGCATATAACACAATCAACTTCCTTCATGAACAGGAGGAAAAATTCCTTGTAATATTTTTGTGCAACTCCAAAAGACCATTTGTGTGTGTGTGTGTTTGTTGTATGATTACATTTTTTGAGTTGTGATTTACACTTGATGGTCAATCTCACACGAAGTGATTTATGTGACTTGATGCATGATAAACATTTATTTTGACCTGCAGGAAGTTCAGTGGCTCCAAAACTTGTATAGATTTACAGACAAGAATCTCCTTTCAATATCTGAAGTGCCTGATATTACATGTAGAGAGCTGAGTCGCCGTATCTTTCAATGTCTATGCAGAATTTGTCACCATAGCAGTAACCCTAGCTGCCATCGAGATAAAACTGGATTTCTTCTACCTTTGAGCTACAGGTATTTGAATCAATTGAAGTATTTAATGTTGTTATTAATACTGTGATTTCTGGTACTGTGGCCAAAGTGCAGATAATAATAAACCTTGCATTTGATGCAATTGCTTTAAACACAGATGATGGTGTGTTTGAGTCTCGGGGCTTGCCTGGCATCTTGCTTCAAAACTGCTTTTGAAGATGCGTAAAGCAGTAGTTTTCCAGTTAACTGCCATGTCTGCACTCCCCCTCCCCAGAGGATAGTCACTGGTTGGTCATTTGACATCCAACAAGCACGGGTTTGAACTCTCAGTAGATGACAGTACCAGGAATCCCTGCGAGCTTCCTGAAGCAAAAGAAAATTATGTCCATGACGATCAAACAGCGTGATGTTCGAGGTGTTTAGAACAGAGTTGACAATTCAACTTTCCTTTGCATCTTCTAATTCTCCCCCCACCTCCATGTCTCCTCCCTGAAAGGTGGGAACTGCTACCAGTTTCATGAATATTTTTCACAGTTGAGCATGTGAGGAAGGTTTTATGAAGCTTCAGACAATGTCCATATCGGTACACATTTCAATCAAGGTCACTGGATACAAACCAGGGTGAGAAATCTGGTTGAATTGTCGCCCTCCCTCCCCGGGCTGGGGATGTTTGAGAGACCAATTGCCAAGTTACTGGGGATGCCAGAAACTTGATTTTGAATGAATCTCTACTCCATCTACACTTTTTCAAAGAAAACCAAATGAAATTTGTTTTGCAGATTTATATCCATAGGAGAACTGTCTCAGCAGAAAACCCAATGCTGCAGTTGCTTAGCATGGAGCACAAGTCAATTCAAGGAATGGACCCGATGTGTGGAAGGTATTCCAGCCGATTACAAAGCAGTTAATCGGACAAATCTGCTGTTATGTGGTATCCTGACAGATAAAATCTGTATTCCTCCCAGTATGTCAGAGACAGCAACGCAGCAGCATGATGGACACTTGTATTTCAAAGACAAAAATGATTTTCTACATTGTGAGGTAAAGTTATTGTAGAAACCTAATCAAGAAATCCATTTTATATGAAGCTTTATAAATAAAAATGATAATCATTTCATATAGTGCTTTTCACGTTGAGAGGATATCTCAAAGCGCTTTGCAGGGTATACTGTAACAAGTAACGACTATTTTGTAGGCAAATGCAGCAGCCAATTTTTGCGGAAAACAATGTCCCACAGACAGGAATGAAGTTTGAATATTTGTGAAGCAGTCTTTCCCCACTTCCCACACCGCACAGACCTTTACGTATTTGATCAAATATTAACGTGAAATAACAGCGTTAAAACATTTTATCAGGTTGTTGCTGAAAATATTTAATTTTGTATTCAATGTGTTTCTAATTATATTTTACCAAACTATAGTTCCATTGAGAATTGCAAACTTTTTGATTTAACAAACTACAATTCATCTGTAACTGTACAAGTGAATACTCTTCAAATTACCAATGTATTTATTGTATAATATTTTTCCTTAAGAGTATGGTGCTTGTGATGACTAAAAGCAAAGACATTTTATGTGATAATTTGCACGCTATTTCACCCAGGTGACCAAGCTAGATCTAAGTTGGTTGGAGCACCTAGTATTGTTCCCAAGGTGGAGTTATATTCCTCAAACTAAGACAGTTGGCAAGTTGGATGGGGTAAAGACTGGATACCTTGAGATACCAGAAGCTCCTTTCTTTTTGCTTCCAAATCTGATAACCAGCAGTCCGAGGGTAACCGGCAGCCTGAGTGCTTTACTGCCTGATTCAGCACTCCATCTTCTGGACAAACAGTAAGATGCATGCACAGCCATCTGCTTCACGTATTATTGTAATGTTTGTATGTTTTTATTCTAAACTGTACCAATCATGTACGCTTTCATTCATTTAAACTTGGGTACTGAAATAGTTTATTTAATGTAACTTTTAAAATACATTTGGTTTGCTCTCGTATGAACTATAATATGGATTCCTGAATTTGTGATTATCACAGTAAGCTTCCTGCTGACTTTTGTAGGAATGGTTGGTTTAGACGATATGTTAAAACTGTTGTTCTGGCCATTGATTTTCAATTTTAATATCTGCACAAACACCAATCCTTCTAAACGCTGCAACACCACAACAGTAGTTCAAGAAATACTACATTAAGGCATTTTTCATGTCTTCATTCTTGTAAAATCATTCATTCCCCAAATAGTAACACAGTACGTTGGTTAACACTATCTCCACTGAGGTAACTGACCATCAGTCATTTTCAACTTCTCACTTGTCAGTTTCTTGGAGGCACTGACTAGCAATGATGTATGCTGTGTAACCACCTCTTGTGTTTGGTACCTAACTCAGATTCTATCCCGGTCTTGCAAGGTTTCATTCCACTGAAGTGAAGATGAACGTAGCTGGAGAACTCAGCCGCCTTAGCTCAATGTTACATATTCAAGGAGAAACGTTTTTCTTCTTCTTTCTCAGCTCCTTTACAACTGATATTTGTCTTCCCATAGTTGTCCAGGTAGGTTTAAAACAAATATAAATGGCATGTCGCAGCCTGAGCTTGCTCTCACCTAACGTTTTCAAAAACACATTTCAACAGGAGACAGTACCTGAAATCATTGGGAAATTTCAATGCCATGAATTTGGCCCTTTAAACCACTTAGTAAGGATTGAATGTACTTATACGCGCAATCACTTATGAATGAGTCTTGTGATGCTCTACAGCAGCTTTCTAATGTCACCTGACAGACTTTTTTTTGCCTTCCTAATGACTCCTTGAATATGGAGCCTCTGCTCATTTCTGGTTACATTACATGGTAATTTTGGGTGTTGCCTTGCCTTTTTAGAAGTTGCATTGACATGGAATAAATACAATACTGCAAGTTTTGTGAAACATCGTTTCATAGTGAAACATAAAATCACACTTTGGTGATCTGACCCATGCAAGACCATTTATATATTATGTTAAAGAAAATGGCAGATATATTTACAAAACCTAGACAATGTCAGTTTGAAGTTCTTACTGTGATTTTTCCTTAGGTCCCTTCCAAACTGGTGTGGCATCACTGCTTAATTCCTTCTGAACGATATGTTGTAACGGAGATGTTCGTTTCTAGCTTGCAGAGCACAAGCAATAAGCTTTTTGTAGTGTCATCGTCTTCAGACTTCCATATCTACAATGAGGGATTTGTGAAAGAACAAACTCTGGCTGAATTTATGCAAGCTTCGCATATTAAGGAGATGTCCAAGCAGGCGCTGAAAACTACTGTTAAAGAAGAACCTTCTCAGATTAGTTTGTGTGCGAATTGGTCGACTCAAAACACTATAGAAATATTAGATAACAAAGAGTCCAAAGTGTGCTCCTACCAGGTGGGTACTTGGGTTTTGTTAAAATCACCTAGGGAGGATGTGGGGCATAATGAATAATTTTGCATGTCTGGTAAGCTTCCCACTCCTTATCCAGCTGGGACCCCCATCCTGTTAAGAGCTTTGGCTTGCAGAATTAACAGGAACTGAGCGGGAAAAATTATTGCTGCCAGTGATTGATTTGCCCCTCCAAATCCTGCTGATGAGCCAGGCTGGCTGGTTTGTCATTATAGTGGCCTGGAGTACTATGGACCTGTCTGGTTCAGGAATCTGGCAACCCAGACTGCCACGAAAGGTTGGATTGATTCCGACATTCAATTGCCAAGTATGTCACCTGAAGAGTCGGGTTTATCCAATTATGTTTTCAATTGAAACTCAATTCACTTTACAGTATATTCTGTGAAGACTTTGAGATGTCTCAAAGATGTGATAAAGCACTACATCAAATGCGAGGATTATCATTATGTTTGCAGCAATGTACATCAACTGTTAAAACTTTTTTTTATTTCCTTACATTTTTAGGGAGTGATAAGTAGAGTACTAAACATTTCAGCAGGCCTTTATGAGCTAGATGGCAAGTTTGGTCTTTGCATAGCCTACCAGCAAATGATAAATTGTGCAAGAGGTCTCCGTCCTGGTGTCCGTGTGGAGGTAATGGTAATTTTAGACTCTTTCTTCCCAACCCCCGCTTTCTGCCTTTCACTTTGTTTTCAATGGATACTTTCCTTTGTGTGGCCCAATTTCATTCAGAAAGTTAACTTCGAGATTATTATTGTTTAATAATCTACAATATAAATCTGATGACTGAAATTGGGAAAGGAAAAATTAAATCTAAGAGTGACGATTGTTGGTGTTTGCATTCCGTGGAGCCCAAGCGATTTTCAGTTTCTGTTTTGCAGATGCATGACGCACACTTGTACCACAAGAAATCTGAGCACTTCCCAAGCATCATGCTCTGTTGCTGCCTGAGGAGCATTTTGATAGTCACAGAATTTTCCAGCCTGGATGCAGAATATCAGCCCTTCACTACCAACTGCAATATATACATTAACCTTCTGTTTAAGTACAACCTCGATCTACCCAATTATCTGTGGCTCGTCCATATTGTGGAAAGCCTAGTACAAAGGTAAAGAAATCAAAGGGTTAACTACTGTTTACATTTTATTGAGTAAATCTTGTGTGTGTTTCAAGATACATTGGTAGTTACTGGTATTCAGTTCTCTCCATATGTGTTGTAGGTTTTGTCCTCAATTGGTTACACTTAGGAAAATGCTGTTGTGTTCTGATTCTGGGGTGGTTGACCAGTTTATCACCTCTGCTATGAAATATACAGGATGGAAGCCACTAGCCATGTCGGCCAGAGAAATCTACCAGGAGATACTGTCCGAGTCACATCCCTGTCCTCTTAAGGAGGTAGTGTATGTTCCAACTTCCCTACTTTCCTTAGTTCATGTGATTTATTACATTTAAAGAATGAGGTCTAATACTGAATCCTTTAAAAATCACTTTGGAAAGCATTTTGATAGAAAGAAGATTTTCAAAAATTCAAGTATATAAGGTGAAATAGTTTGTGTAGCATTTCCCAATGGAGTATCCTTTCCCTTTAGAATCATAGAATTTTTTAAACACAAAAGAAAGCTAATTGGCCTATCGTACCAGAATCAACTCTGTAAAAGCTATCTGTTTGGTCCTATGAAGTTAATCGATTGCTTTTGGGGTCCTGGTTAACCCTGCCATGAAGGGCATTGAACAAGGGCAAGTTGTTCTTTTTGAGAACCAAACAAGTTACCTTGCCTAACTAGCCTTCCAGTTTTTCCTCTCTCTTCCAGTTAGTTATTCAGTCTTTTCTGTGTCATTCCTGGCCAAGCTTACAGACCTATATCCTGCCACTTTGTGGATACATGAGTAGGCTGATATTGCTCCGACTGGTTTTGGCATAGACCTTGATTAAACTAAATTGATAAAATAAGGAGCGCTGCATTCACAGAAATTCATCATTTAGGATGAGATGTAAAACTGAGGTCCCACCTGCCTGTTCATGTGGGTGTTAAAAGATCCCATGACACTATTCAAAAAGAGGAGGGCATTTTTTTTTGTCCAGCGCCTTGGAATGTCCTCCTGACATGAAAGGAGCTATACAAATGTATTCTTCTTCTGATGTGCTTTCCAACAATCCTCAATTACTTGACTGCTGTTTATGGGGCATTGCTATGTGCACATTGGTTGTCATTGTTCATCTACAATGGAGTCCTGTAGCTCAGTGGTTAGAGCACTCGCTTTGCAAGTGAGAGACCTGAGTTCAATTCCAGGCAGAGGGCGAAACCTTGGGCAAGTTTCCTTACTCCACACACCTAATAATAATCCCTCCAAAACCAAAAACAATAATAAATTGGTCATTTTCAATCTACGACTGGTTGTGGGACATTGCTGTGCACAATTGGCTGCCGCGTTCGCCCACAAATGTAGTCAATTCACTTTACAGTGTATTCGGTGAAGCGCTTTGGGACGTCCTCCCGACGTGAAAAGTGCTATATCAAATGCAAGGATTATTATTATATTACAAATATAGTGGCTTCACTTTACAGAAAGTTTGAGAAGCACTTTAAGACATTTGATGCAGTAGATGCTGTATCAAATGTAGGATTATTATTAAGCACGAGCTACCTCATGTAATTTATTTCATGTTATATGATGTTGATTAATTATTTATGGTTTCATCTCTTATGGTAGTGTAACATTTCATTTTCAGATTTCATGTCCAAATATTTCTTGTCAAAGTACTTCAATATCAGAATTATTATCCAATGCTGAAGAAAGAGGTTGGAAGGCTGTTAAGATGTTCTCATTGCTGCCATCCCCTGAAATTAAACACTTGGTAGCTCAACAGCTTAATCGAAACTTGCTTGGTCGTTTGAAGTTTTAAAACCTGAAGATTTTCAACCCCAAATGGTACTCATTACTTCTACATTAGCATTGTTTGATAATTCAGTGCAGTCATAATTTACAATTCCTGAGGTCTAGAACATCATTCTTTTGATCTAAATAAGCAGAAATTATTTAACAAAGTGACAGCAAATGTTGCTACAGTATCCTTTGCTGTTGGGAGGCTTTGTAACAAACTGTCGGTATGTTGTTATAGCACTTGATATCAAGAGCGATGAAAACATGCTTTATTTCTATACAATGTCATCCAGTGCTTAAAATCAGTACAACAATATACTATAAAGTACAGTAATTCTACATTGAAATTAGTGTATTCTAATTAATGTACAAGATTATATAATCTTAGGATTTGACAAAATGATGAATGCTTTGTTTGAAGTAGTGATCTTCTGTTCAATAAATTGTAATATGTACAGGCTATACTATTTTGTTTGTAGTATGAAACAAGTCAAACCATTATTATTTAATTTCAAATGTCTGTATAGCCCTTCATTTGGACTTTGAACTACTTCAGCAGTGTTCAAACCCTCAGTTTGAGCTGTGAATCTTCTGCCTTTCATTGTTTCAATAAGCAATGTATTAAGTGAATATTTATAACATATATCTTTGCAGATACTGGTTGGGGTGCTTTTGGCTAATTCAGTAACGGGTCATCTGCAGCTGAAAGACACATCGGGCTCTCTGGATTGTGTTGTCCAGAACTTCAACAAGATGGAACAGAGTGCCTTTTGTGAGACTTCACTTTTAGGTAAAGCCACACTGCACCATAAATAAACAGAACAAGTGAAATCTTGGAGTGATTTCACTTCTGCAGTGTAAACGCTGTTAGTATTGCAGCACAATAAAATCAGAAGTGAGCAAAAAACATTTCTTCACACAGCTTCTAAAGATATGGAGTGCACTGTCCTAGAATGCCGTACCTGCAGAATCAATTGGAATGTTTATAAGGGAGATAGACAAACATTTATGGAGTAACGGCATTAAGTGATGTAGGGAACGATCTCCTATGATCAAATAAATTGTCAAAATAGGTTTATCAAATAAACTGTGTGTCTGATGTTTGAAATATTAGAGCAATCTCAGCCACATTATTTGGGCTAAAAATCTGGTTTAATCCTTTTTATCTGGGTGTAATGTATTTTTTTAAATCCAACATCTATTTCCATTGCAAGAACCACAATATGGAAAATTGAACACTTTGAAGAATAGATCAATTAAGCATCTGAGGTGTAGCCTTATGCCCTGGAAGTTGATTATTTTTACCTTTTTCAGACTGTTTGGTGCAGCTGGAGAAATACCAACTGGTTGTGGAGCGGTTTATATGTAGTAATTTCCCATCATACAAAGACCTGGAAGATCTTAGCTTTGTGAAAGAAAAACAGACCAGGTCAGTAGATTTTTAAAAAATCTTGTGAGTGTAGGGTGAAAGAGCAATAGTTCATAGGAGCAGCATGTCATTAGAAATGTAAGAGGAGTCTAACATTTCTAACCTCTAGTGAGCAGTTGCCCTCTTAGTTGAGAATGCCTGTGATGGGCCAAATGAACTTTATAATAATCCTTGCATTTGATATAGTGCCTTACCACGTCTTTGAGACATCTTAGAGTACTTCACATGATATACTGTAAAGTGAATTAACTGTATTTTGTGAGCAGAACGCGGCATGTAGTTGCACACAGCAATGTCCCACACAGCCATGGAGTGAGTGACCAATTTTATTTGGGGGATTGTTGGCCTGGAAACCGGAGGAAGAAAACTCCCTTCCTTTTCGAACAAAACCATGGAATCTTCAATATCCATTTAAACAGACAGATGGGATCTTGGTTTAATGCCTCATCCAAAAGATGGCACTTCCAATGATGCAACTCCTCCATTCCCCAGCACTGCATTGAATTGTCAGCTTAGACTATGTGATTCCATGTCCCATGTGGTACTTGAACCCATAATCTCTGACTCGGGAGTGAGAGTGCTACCATTGAGCCAGGTTGACACACACTTCTGACTAATGTAAATTTTTATGGGTGTAAACTTTTGCTGTATAAGACAATAATGGAGAAAGGAATTATGAGAAGGAATATATGGTATCCTGCGTTTTGGATAAAGCTGTTAAAATATAGGCTACACGGAGAATACAAATTATAATAAAACCGTTTGTATCATCAATCATGTACAATAACTTGTACAATAACTTGAAATATTTCTTCCCCTAAAGATGAAGTTATCTTGGTTTTCTATTTTTCTCTCTGCGATTGAGAGATTCCCTCCTACCATGGCATTGTTTAATGCTGGAGAGTATCTGGACTTTTATATCCTCATTTGTCGCTACAGTAAAATTAGGGGGATTTATTGTTTGGCCCTTTAGTAGGTTGATTTGTTCACAAACAATAAGCTATCAATTTAATAACATAAAAACATTTCAGCACTGTGGTATTTTGCTCAATGGCCATTGGAGTTTTATGTACACCCATAAATATTGACATAATAGCTTAGAACAAATGTTTAGTGCATTTTAAACATTGGATGTGATGCCAGCAAAGGCTCTGTACACAAAGTGAGAACTGCTTCATGTCTCCAGTTCCCTCTGTCCTACCATGGGTGGGAGAGCTTTTAGACAATTTTTGAAATACTATAGGACCAAAATCTTAACCTTTTTTTAAAAAAAAAGCACCAGATTCAAGTTCAACTGAACCGAGAGAAGCCACATATTTGAACTGTGGTTAGCTTGTTCAAATTTGTAATTCTGATTTGCCACATTCCTCCGGTATCGCTATAAGGTATGACTGAGGCTATGATGTGTAAAGATATCACTAGGTGGTGATCTTCTGCAGTGAAAATAAAGGGTAGTTGTAAATGGAACCTCATTGACATGCAAGGAAGTAACTTGAGTTGTCCTTTAGGCATTTGTATAATCAAGGCACAGGCAAAAGCTTGGAATAGGGAATGTTAATAATAATAATGTTGCAATAGTAATGATAATTGTTGTATTTGGTATGGTGCTTTTCACATTAGGAGGATTTCACAAAGTCATTGGTGGCCAACCAACAAAATAAATTTTCTTGATTGAATATTTCTTGATTTGTGTCATAAATCAAGAAATATTCAATCAAGAAGAAAATGAAAATAAATAAAGGATTGAACATAGACTTATCTAGACTGATGCAAATGTGTAGCGTGGGTGGGGGGGGGACTTCTTGATGCCACAGGTTGTCACAGTACTCAAAGCGCATCAGAGGGTTCACTAACATACAACAACTTGCACTTATATCGCGCCCTCCACTCAGGGTAGCATCTAACAGTGCTTAAGTGACTAGTATTTTTGTAGTTGAATGTGGCAACCAATTTGCACACAGCAATGTTACACAAACAAATAATGTCCACCTGAACACACAGACGGCGATCTTGGTTTATCGTCTCTTCCTGACTTGAACCCACAAGTTTCTGACTCAAAGATTACATTGAGTATGAAATAGAAGAGTGTGAAAATATGTTTAACTGCAGAGCGAGCCTAGTGGTCTTCGCTAGTTCTGTACATTCCTATACTATGATGCAAGCATACTAATAAGGTGTTTTGTATTTAGCTAGATTAAGTATTGTTTTGTGTTTAAAAAAAATTAACAATGAAATATAAAAGTGGACTGTAAAGAATGATCTTCACATGTTAAAATGTAATATTTCCCTGTAGATTATCCCTTTAAGGGGCAGACTGCAGTGTTTTTCCATTGCGCCTTGTGGACGTGGCAGGCTTGCTTGCTTCTTGGCCATTTCAAGGCATGATGGGAAAGGATTTTTGGCGTTTTGCCCCATTTTGCTGCCAGGAATCCAGCAGGTGGCAAACAGCACTGTCTTTCCTCGCAGAAAGTTAAGGCATTAATTTTACTCACCCTGACGAGAAGTGAAAGAAAATGTGGCCATTTAAACAATAAACCGAATCTCCTTTTTTCGATGTTTTGTTGGAAAATCTTTTTCATTCAGGTTTCTCATTCTGGTGAATAAAACAAATGTCCTGAATGTCCTTCCTTCCCCCCTTCCTTCCTTGGTTTGTTTGCCTTGGAAGTAGGGCACGTTATTATGTGTGCTATTATCTGCAATGCACGTCATTTATCAGCCAGTGGGAATTTACTGGTGAATTTGATTGGCCGAAGCTGGAGAGGGTGGGGTACCATCACTGCAGCAGATGGTTTACCGGTTACTCGGAGACAGCTTTTCAGCCGCAGTTGAACTGCTCCATTTTAAACCGAGCTGCGTGCTACAGTGCTGCAATGTAACCCAACGGTCCAGTCTTTGTGAGCGGATTAATTACCACTTGTAATTGGACTTTATTACTGTTTTACAGGATTTATGTTCAGTTTTGTGCCAGTGATGTACAAGTACTTGGAACACCCATCGCTTCAGCAACACCAAACAAAAGGTCTCCGTTAATCCCAACCACAGCAACCGCCGCCTCCACTGTTGGAGGAGCTGCTGTGAGCAGCTACAGTCAGGCATGCAAAAAAGCTGATGTCACCAGCACCAGAGCCAATGGAAACAAAAATGGCCCTTCCCTTCCCAAAATGCCTCGGTTGGAGGAAGTTGCTCTACAAGAAGGCCATGTTGGTGAAAGTAGAAGAACTGCCTGTTCACACCCATTACAGAATGTCAGTGAAACAGTCGATTCCCAGAGCGAGAAGAATGTGCCTGGTGTTACAGTCACATCTACTGGGAACTGGGAACCGTGTAGACAAAAGAGGAAACAGAAGACTTGCGATGCGGGCTGTGTTACTCGCTTAATATTTGTAACTCACAAAGATGCATTGATGCTGAGGAACTGTCAATATGGCAGAACTGCAAGCTGTGGACATACTGATGGCTCTTCCGAGACCTCAAGCAAGAGGGCTGGGACTGAGTTCGAACTGGCTTTCCATGTGTGTGCAATTAGTATAGGGAGACCTAGACGGTGGGAATGTGAAGATGAAATCCAGGGAATACCTGAGCTGGAAGTAGATGTCTCGCTTTGTTCTTACCGGGCACAAGTAAGTCTTGTTTTAATTGAACTTTGTCCTTGAAACCGAAGTGATGTGATGCAGTAGAATTAAACCGCTTACTTACAGACGTGCTGCCTATGTTATATGCTATGCTCTCACCTCTGCAAGATGGGGATAATTTGACACAACGTCTTGACAGAATTCAAACCTTATTTGGTAAATTTCTTCAATTAAAAATGAACGGCGCATTAACCCTTTGGTGCCTTTTGAGACTCACCGGTTGAATTAATTTTGTCGTGTGCATCTATCTATACAAGGAATAATTGTTGATAAGAGACTAATGAAGCTTTGGTGTCTGTCTCAGCTACGGATCTTTGATCAAGCAGCTCGTGTGTGCAGTATGTCGCAGAGGGTTAATCAAGTGATATACGTGTTTTTATAGGTCGATTTACAAGGTTAGAGATTTGAAGAAATGTCGGCCATTTTCTGCTACGGTTCTATACAGTCAAGTTGCTTAACGAATATGAATTAATCTCATTCTAGCAAAATTTAGCAAAAGCTTTCTTTGTTTGGGTGGTGGCTTTGTTAACGCTTTGTGCCGACGAGATCATGTGACTGACTAGATTAACCCTTTTTTCGTTTCCTTGTTGTTTTGCATTAACCTTGTCTTTCTGATTAGTATTTTGGGGGGAGGGAAGGTGAAACAGCCATTTTAAGTTTCCAGTCTTTCACGAAAGTAGAATTAAATGATTATGGTTGACTCTATTTGAGTGATTGAAAAATGCCTTGTTTTTTAATTCCTTAATGTAAATTGTAACCTTGTAAAGTTTGTTGTGTACAACTGAAATTGATTATCTAGGATTTACAATGGGAGTATCACAATTTAAAATCATCACTAGAAAGTTGCTAGGACTCTCATCTGGTTTAATTTGTTTACTGTTACAATACAATTGATCTTTATATATTCAGTGCAGTTTAGCTGGGAACAGCTGACTTACATTCAGACCAGCTAGCTGTATGCAGGAATTACTATAAGTAAAGTAGTAACACAAGGTAATGTCAGAAAAATATAGCTCAGCTATTTATGCTAAAATACCAGCACAGACTAGTTGGACTGAATGTCCTGATTCCCTGCCATATCAATATTAAAGTTTTTTAAAATTCTTTTGTAGTGAATTTGATAATTTTGAATGCATAAGCAAAACAGCAAGATGTGAAATTATTCCACAAAATAAGATATTTTAGGAGTCTAAAGTGTGTTTTTAAAAATCTTTGTGCTATTTACAAGAAACAATTCACTTTTGAAAAGGTTCTATAGGTCTGTTAGACTCTATATGTTGAATTGTTCAGTGGTAACCTAATTTTTATCATGTCCTGGTAGTTATTTTTTTACAGGATAGTTGCAACCTTATATTGGAGTTTAGGTGATGGTGGATCATGTCAAATGGCATGAAGCTTTTATACAACTTTTTTTAAAAAAAGTGAGATATAAATACTACTTGCAGATTTTGAAATGCATTTTTAATGAATATTCCAAAACACACATGTATATTTCCACAGTTAATTTGGTAAGATTGAGCCCTTTTCCCTCAATTTGATGTTTATTTTTGCAGATTTTAAGTTTTCATATACAATCATTTTAATAAGGAGTCTGTCACTTGAAAGAAATCAATTTGTCATAAGATAATTTGCAACCAAAAATTGGTAAAACATCTAATCTTTATAATCTTTTTATTCTGTAAACAGTCACTTCACAGTAAATCCTAGAAAAGCTTTTAGACGTCCATCTACACTAAAGGCTCTATCAAATATATGAATTATTATTATTTAATGTAGGTTTCATAGGTACCAAATTGATCTTTTGTTTTGCAGGGAAGTTAGACCATGATTTGGTGCAAATTGAAGTTGGTAAACGAGAATGCCTGTGTATCCTCAAAGCAGATTAATGTAATCTGTAGTTGTATTAGTGGAAAATATGTTCAATGACTACTTCATAGAATATTTTTTGTGCTAGTAGGTTGGAAAATGTCTTCATCTCTCGCATATGGCACTGTTTTGGAAAATTTATCTTGAGCCCACAACACAAAATTATCTTCAGCTCTTTGAAACTTTGGTTCTGTATAAATTGCAAATTGGTTGCTAAGTTTACAATTTATAGTGGACAGACTTCAATCTTCTGGGTAGTGGGATTGGTTTAGCGTGAGGATTGTGTAAAATGAATTTCATTCCCAGATGCAATTTTTTAAGAAGTTAAACTGACTCAATTCACCAATCAAATACAAATATAATGAATGTTGTAGTAGTAGTAATAATAATAAAAATCCTTGGTTTGAAATAGCCCCATTTCACATCTTCTAGACGTCTCAAAGCGCTTCACTGAATATACTGTAAAGTGAATTGACTGTATATTTTGTCGGCGAAATGTGGCAGCCAATTTCGCATAGCGGTGTCCCACGAACAGTCATGGTTTGAAGTTTTTTCTTGAGGGATCATTATCAGGTGTGTAAAGTAAGGAAACTTGCCCAAGATTTTGCCCTGCTGGGAATCAAACCCAGTTCTCTTGCGAGGCAAGTGCTCTAACCACTGAGCTACAGGACTCCACAATTTTTTTTGTTACAGCACTTTTTTTAAAAAAAAGCTTTCAATTGTTTCACATTGTTGGAACCATTCAAAGCATGACAGGGTTTTACTATAAAGTGTGGTGACTATAGTTTTGGTGAACCTGGCATCAATTGCACACAATGTTCTACAAATTGCCATGAAGTGAATGACCAAGTTTATCTGGAGAAATGTTGGCTAAGATGTCAAGGGGGGGAAAAAACCCTTCTCTTTTCAAATAGAGCCAGGGGATCTGTATTTTCTGCTATTTTTTGCTGTTTAAAAAAACAAACAAGACTTGCCGTATGAATCTATGCTTGCATTCTGATTGTAAACCATATAATGTCAATTTCTTGGATATACATTTGCGTAAGTAATTTTGCGTTTGCCATTGTTGCCATGGTTTTGCTTGCTGTGGTTGAATTGGATGTTTCAGCCCTTGCCTCTGATCATTTTCCTCGTGCTGCTTTTCCTAGGTGCAGTTGATATTCATGGGCAAAGCTGTGAGATGGTACCATCTGATCAGCCCAGAGGGTTTGTACAGACTCATTGCCCCAAAAGAGCTGGTAAGAGATTATTTTTTGTTTGAATGGGGCACTGGAAGTTTTAAGAATCAAAAATATTAAAATATAACGAAATTAAGTGAACGTATAGTCATTTTTTATGTTGGTTGCAGAATAAGAAGAAACTTAATTAAGCTATAATATCCTTTACTTTGAGGTGTGATCAATTTTTCAATAATAAATGAAAAGAAGGATCCATGTTCAACTATAGCTTGGGAAACAAGCTCATGTTTTTTTGTGTGAGGGAAAGCATTTTGCCTAAGTACACTGGAATATTTATAAGCTTCTTCCTCCCTGTATCCAGGACACGTCTGTGTTTGAACAGAACTGTTCCTCAGATCTGCTGAAAGCTCTGAAAAGCTCTAATTGTTCACTGTCCCTCGTGGTACAACCTGGCTGGGACCTGCAGTATGTCACTAGTCTTTGCTGTTTACATGATCACCAGGTAAGACCGCAATCTGGAAAATTTTAATCAACGGTGGAGATTTATCTGTTTTTGTACAAAATCACCAGTCTTCATCAATTCCTGTTAGTCATTAATTTTAATATTGTCCAAGATTTCAATACTTTTGATTACTGAGTTGTATACTGTGAAATATAAACTGGTACTCTTGAGTCGTTGGGTCCAAAAGGCGTTTAATGATAGGTAAAGGGATATCTAACTAATTTAGAAATGGAACACAACATGTTTGCTGATATAACCACAGGAAACAACTATTTTATATATAATGTATATTATTCCATTTTGGTTTATGATTGTTACAACGGTCATAAAGCAGGTTATATGGTTATTATTGGATCATATTGTTTTCTGTGAATAATAATAATCCTTGCATTTGATATAATGCATTATCAAGAATATACAAGATCAGGACATTACTAATTCAGTCTTCAGGGTATTTGGGGTCTAATCAGGTAACATATTTTAATACTTGTAATCTTTTCAATTTCAGCTGTCCAAAAATCAAATCCACTTAAATGCTAACATTAATAGGTTGGATTCAGTAAGACCTCAGACGACCTCTATTCAGCAAGTCCTTGGTAGTAGGTAAGCATGCACATGATTATGCTGATAGTTGTAGTCTGATGTTCCTTTTCTTCCCTTTACCCTTTCTCTCTGATAGTGGCAGTAGTTATTCACACAAGGCAATGTTTTTGTGTGTGGGTGTTCTCCAAACCTCACGCCAATAAACATTCTCAATATGTAAACTTGGATAATGAATGGCAATGGCCGATGCTACTGTGGCAGCTGTCACAGACAAAATCCAATCTTGTCCTCTCACTTTAAAATCACAGTTGAGCGATTGGGAATCCTCGTCAATAAATTCCCCAGCTCGGGGTTACTGAGACCTTTTTTTTAAACCTCTACTATGCCCATCCAGGTGCTTTAGATATTGATAGAAGTTTATTAATTGGATGATCTTATGATGCAACTGACAGACACTTCACATGTAAGCAAATCATAACTATCTTGATTATTCACCTTTAAAACCCTCCATGGTCTTGCTCTCCCTACCTCTCCGATCTCCTAACCCCCTACCATCTTGTTCACTCCTTCCGCTCAGCGGGCTCTGGCCTGCTTCACATCCCCCGCCTTGCTCGCCCTACTATCTGCACCCACCCTCTGGAACTCCATCCCGCAGACCCTCCCTCACCACCTTCAAGACCCTCCTCATTGATCGTGCTTTCGATCTCCCTGCTTCCCCCCCCCCTTCCCCACCCCGACCCTCAGCTCGGGTCCATGACACTGTCTGTCCCAACTTGGGACATCCTCCCAACGTGAATGGCACTGTATAAATGTAATTTTGTTGTTGTTGTATTCATAGTTGGGAGATGTTTTTGTTTATTGTTTACTTCATTTAGATACCACAGGGTGTTCTCATATAAATGTATACTTTTCATTGCTTATTCCAGAGAGATTTGATTTAGAGTGGAGAAAAATGCTTTAAAATCTCTAGTTTGTAATGGACTGGACTCGATTTAATTTATTTGAAATATTTGAATTTTTCTATAGTTTTTCGGCTTCTCTGGTCAGTTTCACTGGAATCATCTTATTAAGGAGTTGCAATGAACCTAACTGGCGATCTAGTTTTGTAGTTTCTTCAGCTGACAGAAAAAAACAAGGTAAACAATGCTAGAGAATATCAAATACCAGGTGTGCACTTACACCTGTTGAAATTCAGATGTACAATTTTTTGAAGTTTTGATGATGCTTTGCCCTGCGGTTCCCTGTGTGGAGTGCATTTCCTGCACACTTTTGAATATTTAGGACAGATTTTCTGCTTCCTAACTCTTAAGAGTGTACTTTGGAGTAATGAATTAGGAACAGGTTATTCTTGGTTCAAGAATTCTCTGTACTAGGGGAAGACTTTCTTTCATTTATCACCAATGCACTTTTGTTTAATTTATTTTAGAATACATTTCTTAATGCACTTTTATCACTTGCTTCATATTTTAGCACAAACTGTATACGAATACAATACAAAATATTACATAATAATAATAATAATCCTTGCATTTGATATAGCGCTTTTCACGTCCGGAGGACATCCCAAAGCGCTTCACAGAAACCTCTGTAAAGTGAATTGACTGTATATTTGTGGGCGAACGCGGCAGCCAATTGCGCACAGCAATGTCCCACAAACAGTCGTAGATTGAAAATGACCAATTTATTATTGTTTTTGGTTTTGGAGGGATTATTATTAGGCTCTGTGTGGAGTAAGGAAACTTGCCCAAGGTTTGGCCCTCTGCCTGGAATTGAACTCAGGTCTCTTGCTTGCAAAGCGAGCGCTCTAACCACTGAGCTACAGGACTCCACATAAATGTAGTCCTGCTAATAGTCGCAATAATTATTTTTCATTACAAAAAGGATGATTAAAAAGTTGAATGCTTTATTAAATATTTATCTGTCATCTCCTTGGTGATTTTATTTTACTCTACTTAACACACAGCTTTTTTTTTGTTTCTTAGGTGTTTCTGTTCCTGGTGACTGGAATCTAAAATTAACTGTAGGGGAAGTTGGAAACCCATCCGGAACCGTGGATGTCTACATAGATCTGATGCGCTTGTCTTACACTTTGGGGATTTTGCCGGGAGCTGTGGTAGCATTCTGTGACTTAGAGAGATGCATATCAAGGTTAGTATTTGGTTTCAAAGCTCCCAGTGAAAGATTTTTTTTCTCAAATTATAGTGATAGCAGTATTGTCTAGGAAATGTTATGTATTATAGTATTGGTAAACTTTCCTTTGATCAGGGCAAGAGATCCCACAGTTATTTGCTATTTCAGCACTAAATAGACTATTTGCATTTTCAAAGTTTAATTTCTTGTTTTGATTATCCATCCCAACCAAATGTTTTTGAATTCTTTTTCAGGTCTAATAATGTTTACTGCAAATTTCTGCCTTCCAGCAGTCTTACAGTCCTTGTGTTTCCTTCATCTGAGACTCAAAGGTTAATTCCCTTTTGTTTTTTTGCAGAGAATTATATGTGGTTTAGCATTTTTTTCAACAAAATGTGACCAACTACTTTAACATAACTGAATTTTAGTCGCTCAAAAGTGAAATCCCCTGTACATTTTGTTTCTATTTGAATTTACCACAAATGTTGATATGAAGTAAATTGATTTCTACAAACCGTTATCGGTGGGGAAAAGAGTTGTTAATTTTACCTTGTATACTGTAATGGATTGGGATCTAAACATAATGTTACCTTTTTAAAAATGCAGTCCATCTTTCGCCAGCATACATGTGTGCTTTGGCTTACGTTGTCATGGTAGATTGTTTGTAAATTGAAAGATAATTCTTTGAAGGCTAACTTGTCATAAATAATTTGTGCTCAGTTTTCTATAAACTGGGTCTGTGATAGCTCAGTGATCTTATCCAATGAGTATTTAAACCAAACTGAGCTTGAGGGTGCTAGGTTTCCTGCTCTGTGCTGAGTTAGCTCATCTTAGCTGCAGCAGCTTTTGGGCAAGTACAGTTGGTCTCAATGCCATGTACTTGGGAGAAGAAAATGAATTATTGTGCCTGGTCACTCTGTAATCTATAACCCCAAAACTCTGGAATGCTCTCCCTCAAACTCTCTGCCTTGTTCCTTCTCTCCCCCTTTTCAAGTCCCGCCTGAAAACCTTCCTTTTGACCGGGCTTACGGCCATATCACTCACCCACCCTCCCACCCCCCCAGCTCGCAGTCAGGGTGTGTAGGGCGCTATATAACTGCAAATTGTTGTTGTACTTTAATGATACATTTGTAACTTATTTTGAGATGGATATCTTTTTAATTTATTTCATGGAAAATGTTGATCTTTTTTTCTCCAAAAAATCAGGTCATCCAGTTGGCCAGCAAAAATGCCCATTGGTAACCTTCCACACCTTTATCTGGGAAACGTGATCACTAGACCAGGGAGGGGCCTGCAAGGAATCACCATTTGTCATGTGGTTCATGTTTGGTGGTTGAGTATGCAGTGGGTGTGCAGTCTTTGCAGTAGTATCTTTCAACAGGTAAATAAATAACGTTATAGCATTTATCATTTTACAGCATTTTATCACATTTTGTTGAGGGTATCTAAATCACGGGAGTGACAAAAGGATTTGTATCTAGTAAATCCCAGAGTATTTTTGGCTTACCATCTGGATGCCAAGCTGCTTGGACAACAACTTCACCAAACTCAAGAGAACCAGCAGATCAGCTGCGACACATCTGAGATGTCCTAGTTGCATTCTTTTGTGAATCTTGTGATTTAGACCCTCAGTGACTGGTAAGAGGTTAATTGTTTGTGTTCTTTGGTTAGGGGAGGTGCACTAAAAGTTCTGGATCATGTCCATCTGCAGTTGGTGTGTTTCGTGCAAGTGGGAGGTATGTATTGTGATTTGGATGTCAGTTTAAACCTTGTGACAAATTATTGCTTTCAAACTTGTTTTGATGGTTCTGCATGACCCAACAGGTCAGTGCTAAAGTTTGAAGATAGAATTTGCTTCATCAAGGCTTCCAATGTTCTTTTCCTGTTTTTTTTACTGAGAAGATTCACAGAAAATCTGTTTCAGATTATTGTGAGAAGTCTCACAGCTACAGGATTACCTTAAAATGTTTTCTGCACTACTTTTTGCATACTTTAATACTGAAAATGACTGCAGTACAGTTCTGTTATACTCCAGAGGCTGAATTCTGTAAAACTCCAACCAATCTTATAATAGGGTCTGATCACCAGTCAGAGCTTCTGCATCATGACATCAGTGATCCTGTTACTACCTTACATTGCTGGTCAGAAATCTGTCTGGTTTTCCAAGCTTAAAATGGCCAATGTCTGGGTCACTAAATGAGATCAGCTGCGACATGGTGAGAAGCCAGCTGGGCAAGGAAGCCTGTCAGTCTGCTCCCAAGCCAAATGTGGATCCATAAAGTGGGCCTTATAATGTTCTAAAGCATTGGCTTCACTCAGGAAATCCACTTTATCATTGAGAAACAAACTTTAGATGTTTAATACCGACAAAGGTGATTGAACTAATCATTTAGCTTTGAATAAAATACCTTTTCATGGCAAGACTTTAATGTTTGGGTCTCACTGGATAAGTGGGAATCTGAGGAGACCATTCAGCCCATTGAATGACCTAGAAAATTAATGCTGGGACCTGTTTTTGCAGTGTGATTGTGGAAGATGGAACTGCAGAGGCTCGTGTTTCCTGCAGAGACGAACAGGTGGCAGAGTTGCTGGCAGTTAGTAGTGAGGAATGGGAAGAGCTGCAGCGACATGTCAACTCAAGGGGCAAAGTGAACTATCAGCACCATGGCAGAACTGGTAATGAACTGGTAAGTACAAAACTCAGATTTTTTTTCCCCAAATGAATAGGTTTTAAAATAGCCTTTTCAATAATTGCTATCTTGCCAATTAAGCACTCGTTTTGTTCAGCTATTTGGTATTCTTGCAAGAGTTGAAATTGAGTAAATTCAAAAGATTGAAACAAACATGCAATCAGTTGGTCTATATTCTGAGAAAATCGTTTAATTAATCTTTACTTATTGCAAATTACAGCCTGAATATGGTACTGGAGACATTCTAATGCAATACCTTGCAACGCTATGTCACAGCACTGCAGTCTGCAGATCAATTCAACTCGCCTTCAAACTTGATTTGAGAAACAACCTCAAAGCAGAACAGAAAGGTAAGTTTTCTACTTCCTATTTACTATTGCTCTTTGATGACAAATTATAAAGGAAGAGTGGAGAAAACGTGTGTTGGTTGTATATATCTTATTAATCAGATTGTGCAGTTTTAGTGCAAATATTGGTTGCTATGAACAGTGAAATTCTGTGTTGGACTGCACTTCCAAGGGATGTATTGGACCAAGTTTAAAGCCTGCCCCAAATCTCCAGATAGAACTGGCCATTAAACCTAATGATACTTCATTCCTATTGATACCATTCAGTTAAAGAGGCATTACTGCTCCACCTAAAATATTTGCCAATAAATAAATGTTGCAAAAATGTCATGTGAAATAACAGCAACAAATGAATATGGCTATTAATTTTTCCAGTAGTATTCCAGACTGGCTTCCCTCAGTTTCATTACATTGCACCTTCAGTTAAATACACCTCCGCAAATAATCCTTGCATTTGATATAGTTCTCGTAATGTAACATCACAGAGGGCTTGTAGTCATATTTGAATTGAGTGTCGTAACTAGTCAATGGAACCTGTCTTGCAATGGTTTGCAGCATCTATCCAATGCTTACCTAAACTTTGCTTAGCTGTAAACTTCATTTTGTTTCTCAGTGTAAACTGTTACTGCAGGTCAAATTCTAAATTTGCCTCATGAAATCAGATAGCCAATGTTCAGTTTTAACCCTGAGGACCCATCCTTTCTGCAGTAATACTTCAGATGTTTCCTCATCTGCAGTATTTTGTGCATCTTTATTTAAACTTACTGCATTTCAATTGTGGGTGTGTATATATCAACTGCAGTTTCCTACTTTTTACTGTTTTCAGTTATAGAAAATTGTGATTGTAATTGCCTTACATGTAGGGAATTGCATGTAGTTGCATCACAATCTATTTTGATTTATAAATGGAATTACGTTTTTCTGTTTCAATTGTTCTCCACTGACAATTATTGCATTACAACTCAAGGTTGCCTCTGTATGAGGTAGCACTTGAACTGTTTTAAAATAGGATGTTTGCTTCTGAGAGATGCTGAAACATTGGGTTAAATCATAGATTTAACAAATGGTGTTGTCTAAAAAGCTGTTATTTATTTTGAATGAAGTCCTAAAATGTCTGGTTGGAGATTTGTTGATGTACTCTGAAAATGTTGTGATTTAAATTGTTTTGCTTGAAGGTCAGTTTTGTGGTGGTTTTATTTTGAGTGAATTGTCGCAGTGAATTCAAAGGTTTATTCGTGGCAAGAGTGGACCAATAGTTTTAACATTATTGGGTACAAGCTGTATTTGTGATGGAGGGAGCAAAATTGAGAGGACCAGTGTATTTGCCTTAATAGAGGGAAGCCCAGCATAATACAGTTCTGTGCTACCAGTAAGAAAATCCAACCCTAGATTTGTAACGTTTCTAAAGTTATTCAAAAATATTTTTGCATTAATTACACTTAAGTCTGACTTTGTTTTTACTACAAGTTACAGCTTATATAAAGTGTAAATATGACAGCTGTTGGAGGGGGTGGGGGACTGGCTACTTGTACTTTTCTAAGTTATTTAGCATTTATTTTACATATTTGGAAAGATGTGATCAAGTGAGCGGAAGGAGGGCCTTCCTCTGAAACGATCCTTTGTGATCTTTTCCCTATTTTTCTGAACACCCCTACCCTTTTCTTTTATTCTTTTGTTTTATTTTTATTTCTATTCATGTTTCTTTTGCTGGTGCAGTTTTTTTCTGTACGTAGTGTTTGCCATAGTACTCAGTTTCCTTCATATTAAATCTTCTATCCTTGCCTTTGTTTCCACTCCATTTTTCTCTTTGTCACAGCTCTTCGCTGCTTACCCCACCCCCACCCAGTTAGAAAATGTACCTTAAGCTTATCCCGAGGCCCCGATGCTTTAAAGAAAATGTACCATAATGTAGTGCCACATTCTACTACTGTGAAAGATGTGGTACAGAATTGTTGTGGTCATGTTTGAATGGCAGTTATTTGTAGCACTGCAAAAGCAGGGTTTAAAGGAGGTATTGCTTCTGAGCTCGGAACAGATTATTTGCTTAGCTCCTTTGAAATTTGAAACCAGTCGACTGAAAGCTCCTGTTGATGCATTGGTGGGGCTTTGTTACGGGATTCTATAAGCAAACCAGTAATTACCACACAATTTGCTAGCTTAATTCAATTTTGATCAAAAATACTTGTCATGCAATTATGATATACATTTTGTCATTGTAATTTCCATTACCGCCAATGTTTAGAATGATATTAAGTGCTTGAGTGCATTATCAAATTGGAAACTGGCAAGATAACTGTTTTTAGTTGATGTTGGGGAAGGAGTGACCATCTTGTGGCTAGCATTGATAACTAGGATCTAGGGGCTCTCGCATCTGTAGAGGTGAACCACGATGTGTTCTAAAAGCAAAAAAGCAGACAACTGAGTTTTAAGGATACGTGTATTGTCTCTAGCAGTGCCCAGGGCATTATATTGGGTAATTCTTCTAAATGAATATGATTAATTTAGCAGGATTTGGCAGTCTTGATACTGTGACTTTGCTTTAATTTTAGCAGTTAATTTGCTAATAAGGCTCTGAAAGCAATTACTTTTATTTACTGCATTGGGACATAATTCATGAGACGAAAATTGTCAGAAGTCGACTTAGTTTTTAAAAATCTAGCCGAAGAAAGGTAATGCAGAGGGGCACAGTCTAGTAGAGCATCTTGGAGTAGTAGAATGTGGGTTCAATATACGATTTTCTTCTGAATTTTTCACTCGTGTCATTGTGATAAAGCAACAGTTTGGGAAAGTCGCATAGTTTGGCCAAGAGAGGGTGGAGAAACTGCATTCTTCAACTGCCTCTCAAACGTATCAGTACTTTGGTCGGCCCTCTTGCCAACTGCATGAATTCCCCTATTTGTTCCCTAACCGTACTGTATTCATCTACAAATGTGTGGATTTGAGCTGCTAGATTAATTAGCTAGAATACATCAGGTTTATGGTAACCTATAAATCTTGTTACAGTTAACTTCAGGTATTCAGAATTTCAGCTTGGCCGACCGGGCCTGAAATCCCCCTATATGTTATTTCCACGAGCCCACGTGTAGACTCCGGACTCCCAATTTTCTTAGCACATGCCACATTTGCCCTGAGCAGCCGCACAGTCCTTTCTCACCTTCACAGTGGCCAGGGCTATGCACTTTGACTCAGATTGTTTAAATCCTGTGAGCAAACGGTAGATTCTTCAATATCTTCTAGTCTTGGGAATCAACCAATTACAATGCCTGTACCAATGTTTTTTGCCACTGGAACCCAGCATTGCAAGTTGATTCAGCCGGAAATTATGGCTTGCTGGGCCTCCTTCCTCCTTGCCCCCTTGCCACACCACCACCCCAATGCATCCAGGTAGCGGGGTTAAAGTATATCTCTATCTCTAATATCCTATTCAAAATGATCAGTTTCTGAATATAAATTTTAAATTGGGTTTGGTCATTAATTTGATCAAGACCCTAAACTTACTGATAACAATGAAAGGGTAAAGAGAGCATTCTTTACTTGTCAGAAATGTGTTTCAGACATGGTGAAAGTATCAGCTTGAAAGGATTAAAAATAAGTAGGGTATTGATGGGTATACATTGTTGGATGTCTATTTAGATTGTGTTATCTGTATGGTATAAGAAAGCAGCTTTTCAAAACGGAACTTTAGTATGATCTGAAACCAAAACAGAAGTCATTGGGAACATTCAGCAGGTCAGGCAACATCTATGGAGAAAGGAAAGTGAGTCAACGTTTCGGGTCCACGACCCTTTGTCAGAACTGAGGCACGTTGGGAGGGAGAGGCTTTTAAGGACTAACAGAGGTGGGAGGCGGAGAAAGGAAGTCAAAGTAGAAACTGGGGTAGACGACATAGGATGGTGGTTAAAGAGGTGTTGATTTGTTTTTTCAAGCATCTGCAGTATTTTTAGTTTTCTTTAGTATGATTTCTTGTTTAGTGGGAAGTTTGTTCTCCGATTTGGTTTAGATTAATAGCTGCTTTCTCTAAAAGGAATATATAAACTGGTGTTTTGCTCCTGAATATCATGAAGGCAAATAACCCTGACATCAGGGTAATAATCTGCTTTCTGATGTATTTAAGCACATTACATATTATGGAATATGAATTACGCTGGCAAGTTTTTTTTCTGAAAATGTGATCATGGTGGGCTTTGAATGTTGCAAAATGTTTAAATATCATAATGTATTTTGAACTGAAAATCCTAACACACTTTGAGGGACAGTGTAACTTGGATACACAAGGTAAGGTACCCAAACATTGAATATTCTGAATATTGAATAGAAAGAAATGTGATTTTGTTCCCAACCCTTTGTGGTTGTGCAATCTGTCCTGCATATGAGGTATAAGCTTAACACATTGACCATGTAGCTACCTAATCAATTTGTGTTAAATAATCTATGCTTGCAATGGCGATATATCAACAAGATTTTCTCTTTCTTAAGAAGAAACATTTCAACTGAAGAGATTCACATGTGGAGAACACCAGTATATCACCAAGATGGCACCCCCCTTGTCTTTGATTTGTTTGGACGTAAAGGAAATGGACTGTCAAAAGTTTTGTGACCTAGCCAGCGATAAACTGATGTCAATATGACTATGTTTTTGGAGTCTATTAACTTAGCACCGACCAACAAAATAATCTCTATGCAAAGCAGACTTTATTCAGTTATCTTTACAGAGATATTGCAATATGTAATATTGAAGTTGATTCAATTATTTTGATCAATGTGAAGCTGAAGAGAAATATAGTCCAAAATGTGAAAGGATTTAATTTGTTAATGCTAAGTAGCATCTGTGTACCGTTTTGCACTGTAAAAGTTCTGTTTTCTTTTGAAGTTGTTTCATTTGAACTTCAGTTTTTCTTTTGTGAAATGATTCAATAAGAAAATAAACTTTATTTTGCCTGTGTAATTGGTTATGTTTTTTCCTGTTACTTTGAGTACAAAAAATGTTTTGGTCAGTTAGATGTACAGTATTTATGCAACTTGGCATCCCAAAGTACTAGTGAAGAGGGAGGGAGTATGAATTCTTATGAATACGAATTAAAAATTGCCTTTTTTGCCAGTAATGTCAGATGATTTTGACAGTACCAACTGGATCTGTGGGGCCAGGTACTGAGTACCAATTATAAATATTATTGCAATAACATTATCTTGTAATAATGTAATAGCTGTGTCTATTTCTTTGGGATTTTTGTGTATCGAATAATCATAAACTAAAGGCTAGATTTATTTTTAATGTGGATTTGTTTTGATTTGTTGCCTACTTTTTTTTGTTGCTTCTACCTGGAATTGAAGTTGAGTACTTGGGGGACCTGCGGGTTCACATACCATAGGGTAAAAGTTTCCCTGCAGTAATTTGTAGTGTGGCAATTGCATGCATCTTAATTGGAGAAAATTGCAAATGTTTATTCTACATAAGGTACTGTAACCATAATTAAGAAACCCTTTTGTTTGGTTACTCTTAGGCAATCCATATTGAGACAATATCCGTGCGATATATATAAAAACGCCTCTTATATAAAAAATGCTGATTGCTGAGAGCCTTGTATCAGAGTATACGACAAAATATAATGTGGACTAGGGAAAAAATGGCAGTCTTTACTTGTTCACAATGTTATCATTTATAGTCGTAAACGTAGAGTTTAAGATAACAATGTTGTCAATGTTGTTTAAGATAACAAGCTGGAAATTCTAGCTATTCATTACAAAGGAGCAACATTCAGAGGATACAATATAAATATCTATATTGTAGCTTCATGATACCCTGATATGTACTTACTCAACTTGTTGTATTTGTAACAACTTACTCAAAATGACAGAACACAATTAACATAATACTGTGCTACACAAATTTAAACCATTTTAAGAAACTGCGAGATGGTATTAGATAAATTATGAAGTAAGATTTTGTTTTGAATATGAAAAATGTATGGTTTAGTAATTTGTATAATGAGTGTATGGACCCAGATTTATCAGAACTGATGCTTATTTCCAAGATGAAGGAAACATTTATTTTTGCACCTTCTTGTAAATAAAGGTGTTGTACAATAAAATAGGGTCTACCCTCTTACCATCTAAAGAACCTTCCAACATTCACTTTATTCTCTGATTATTTGTTTAGAAATAACATAGGAATGGAGACTGGTAACGTTTTGATAGTTAAATGCTACTCTGCTCTCAACTGATGGGAAGAAAGTTGTTTAATGGCAGCGGATTGAGTAATTTGGTTCAGAATTGTAAAATGAGGTCTATGGTGCATTAACCATCAGATTTTGGCCATTAACTACAAAGGTGTAAGGCATCTGTGCTTGGTTTTATCAGTTGGTTGGGTGCATTTGTGCTTCCAGATCATCAATCAAAAAGGCAGAATGCTTGTTCTCGAGCTTAAATGAAACATTGTGCATATAAGAAGAAAATTAAAATGTATGTAGTCAATGTATTTATTTTCTCAAAGTGGTTTGTTTATGTTCACCTCTTCCAACATCGAATGTTTTTTAATAACTTTCAGTGTACACAATAAAATCCATTTGGTGGAAAACCAACTCAGTTATGTTCCCAAAACTATATGATTTCTACCGGTCCATTAAACTCTTCTGGTCATGGCCTGTTGACCAAAATTGTCTTGGTCATTGTCCACCAACATTAACTTGTGTGTTATCTGGAGCATTCCTGTTTACAGAGGAGACATCTATATTAAACCTGATACATTGGGAAACTTTTAAGGATTCCGGGAACTTCTGTTCCTTGTGATCTAGAATTGGAAGAACCTACTAGTTGCAGTACAACCATCATGCAACATAACCAAAATCTTCTTGAGCCAATCGCTACATTAATACTTGCCTCCATTGGGTCATTGATCTCAGCAGCTTCTTGTGTGCATCAGGAAAGAATTGTGACTTGAATCAGAAATGCCATCCACCTCAACTAATGTCAGTAATTGCAACGATTGGACTACTGGTTCCAGAAGAGAACATTTCTGATGGCACTCATTCTTCTCAGTTCTTGAGTGCAATGAAGAAACCTGATTTCATGCTCTCTTGACAATAGCTATCATATCCCCTCAAATGCTCCTTGGTATTCAATTATATTGGAAATGCAGGTTCTCTTTTTGCTAACTGGCAAGATTCTTCCTTCCATTTGTGGTACATTTACAATTTTTGACCAGACATGAGTGAAAAGATTCAATATAAAAGTGGTTCATCTTGTAATAGATTTTCTGCTGAAAAACCTGCAACTGCATGTCTACCCTGGTCTGTTTTGACCATATGTGTGAGACTTGTTTCAGCATTGTGTAGCCCACTGTGTGTTGGGCAGAGATCTTGTACTGCTATTTGTTCAAAATGGAGGAAGGAGAGAAGAAAGTGAGGAGAGGGACCCTTGAGGACATCACCCTTGAGGACTTCTTAGAAAATGGAAGCTAACTAGCCTTGAGCTCAGTTCTTTTACTAACCACTGGAATAGCAAAATATGCTATTTCCAGTTATGGATTATCAATAGTTTCAAGAAAAATTGAGACTCAAGCCATCATATGGAGGAGTTGATGGTAGTCCAGTTCGTGGTAGAAAATGCAGATGTCCCCCTATTCAGGATCCCATTCTCTTGCGTACCAATGAAAGAAACGTTCCTTTAAGTCCACTTCCGGCCACGAGAGGAAGTAATTCTTGTCCATGGATGCATTTTAATTGTGAAAAGAAAGAGCCGAATAGTGGGTAAAGCTCTTCACAGTCAAAGGTCAGGAACCTGCTAAAGGACCTTGGGGGTGGGGTGGGGAGTGGGGGGGTACAAAGTACCAATTGTTCCAAACCGGCATACCTTTAAGCCTTGTTTTTTCTGTATCAGTAGGGGTGGGTCTTGACTTGGTCCATCACCTGAGTCCGGGGAAAATGTTGCAATTATTTCGCAGCGTCGTCGCTGTCAATCAAAGGGAGAGCCTCAGAGCTGAGAAGAAGCTCTATGGCGGCGGTGGTTGGGAGAGATTCACTGCACTTCCAGTGCACCTAATGCAACTTTTCGGCAACTTTACCGGACCGCCGAGGCCAGAGATCAGCTGATTGCGTTGGGAATTTCGGGCACGTTTACCAGGAATAGAAATCCCCGTCTCTTTGCTTTTTTTTATTTTTTCACCCCCCCCCCTCCCCACTCCGCCTCCTCCCCCTCCGGTAGCGGACCGATCCCAGATGTCGTTGTTTTTTAGCTTTACAGACATGGCGCACCTCCATTTTTGTGCGCTCGCCTGATCGACTTTTGCCCCTCTCTCTCTCTCTCTCTCTCTCTCTCGGTGTTTTCTCTCTCTTTTGCCGGAGTCGCCGATGGAAAATGAGAATTAAAAACGGCCTTTAATCTTTTTCGAAAGTGTCGAAGAAAGAGAAATCGCCGGGAAGAGGAGTAGATTCTGATTTGGTGAAGTTTTTTCCCCGCCGAGTCCGACACTGGGAGCCTCGTTCGCTGCCCGAGCGGTACACACGGACCCCCAGAGGTATGTTTACGACTATTGCGATTCGTAAACGATCCGATTTTTGAAATTAAATGATTTTGTATGAAATTGGGACTTGTCTGCGATGACGTAATGTGAATTGGAGTCTCAGCCCAGACCGAGAAAAATGACTTTTAGTGAGTTGAGTGAGTGATGTGCTGACCAGGTGCCTTGGCTTCCCGATTTTGATTTAATAATGTTTTAATATGTTTGTAGACCTGGTCTGACTCCGGCAATGGTATTGAGTGCTTGAACAATGTCCCTACTGCGTCAGGGCTTTGCTACTCGACCAGCAGGCTGCTGACTCCGGCCGACTTCCTACCTCCCTCCAACTTTGACAGGGGCGATCTGGACTCTGAAACCCCATCACCACGTGTAGCCAACACCAAAACACAACCCCACCACCACCCCGACCCCAAAATGATGTCCAACGAGGATAAACCCCCCGAAGAAGACGGCTCCGATCGCAGCAATGTTTCCAGGTACGAGTCTTCACTTTCAGTCCCATATGTAAAGCTCCCGAGTATATTGTTTACCTTCCTATTTGCGGATGTTTACCTGTTAATATTTCAAGTAAATTTACCCGATTTCAGTCCAATCTTTATTCGATGACCTTGAGATTCCTAAAAGCCCCACCCTAATTTTTGCCAGCAGTTTTTCCGACTTGTGTTATACCATTCGGGCCTATATTAGTAATGGAAATGCAATGTAAGGCCGTCAAATCCAGCCACACACTATAGTTTCTTTTATATTATCATCAATCCTATAATTTTTTCGTTCATGTTGCTGTAGAAAAATGACCTTGTCATTGCTGTCGTTGCTGCAATGCACCATTTTACTCACAATGCAGACGGCTTTGAGGATTTAAGGACTTGGGTGTCCATAGCATACCCATTGAGGTAAATTGTAGTAAATAATGTACTACAAAAAGTTGTATGAATGAAAAAAAATTCATATTAAAAGATAAATTAAGAAGTGCCTGTTGGAAAGTTGCTTCTTAGTCTATATTTTTACCCTGACCATTCCATTTTACTGTATCTTGTAGAGTATTTTATAAAATTTTCTTACAATTTGGTGAAAAGTTTGCAATGCTTGTGTTCCCATCTCCTCTATTGGAATAATAATGTACATAGTATAAGCCGGGGTTATATTAGCATCAATTCTGTGTTCCGTGTCCTCTGCAACTGCTTTTGCCTTTCTCCAAGATGTTTTTGAAGTAAAAGGTTTATTCAACATAAAATAAAAGTATTAATTGTTTTAATTACTTTGAAATTCTTTACACACCATATTATTAACATGCATGCCGGTTTATCAGCCGATGCAGAGTATCCACATTACAAAGAAATATTTATTGCTAATAACATTTCCAAATATTAACATAGTTTTGAATTCTTTACATTGAAGATTCTGTAACTTTTACCAGTTGTTGAACTTTGATGGAATTCATGGATACTACTGACTCCCAGACCCTTAGCTATAGGAAATACTTTCAACTAAAAGATGTATCGATTTAGAATTGTTTTCCCTTGAAAATTTGAGTATCATCTCAAAGTTCCTTTAAAAATAATTGTTTATTATTTAGCATAGTTGCATATCTATAACATATTTGTTTTTTTATTGCTTTTGGTTTGTTATTTAATATTTATGTATCTTAACATGTTTATCATCTTTAAAAAATCTTCAATAGTGAAACAAATTGTATGTTACTGTTTTTGATGTGATAATGCATGATTTGTTCACCTTTGGGATCAACACAACCCCATTAAATGTATCTTATTGAGTATGCCAACAAGTTGCAGAAGGATGGAATTGGTTGAGTTAATAATTATTCATACAAAATATACACACATTTAAGTCAACTTTGGAGTATTGGGGTTTTTCTTGAAAACTATTGCATTTGAACTTTTGCTTACATTTTTGAGAATTATATCAGTCTTTATAATCTTTAATGGGGTCAGGTTTGGGTGAGCTCTTTAACCAGTTGGCTTCTGATGTTCAGGCCTCAGTCATTTGTTACCTGTTCGGATTGACATTAGTTGGTCTCTTCAAGCAGCTGGTCTTCAGGACGGGTTGCACTGTGTGGACAATCTGTAGAACCTCATTAACATCAACTTGGTGACCAAAGTGACTGTGAGCATGCATTTGGAAGCTGATGCTGTATGATCTTGAGTGTATATGGTGCTCATTGCTTAATGGTCAATATTCATGTTTCTTTTTTGGAATTATGCACCTGGAATGGTTCTTTATAAAATAGAAGGTATTGCCCCCATCCCACTGACCATCTCATATAGTAATGGGGTGTGTATTCAATTGGTAAGGAATTCTTTTGCTGGAGGAACAAGTTACAACACATTACAGGTGTCATCAGTTGTTTAATGCAGGTCTTCACTGTTGAGCACGGTTAGATCTAGATTCTATGCAAGGAACCTTTGGGGACCTTGCAACCCTCTATCAACAGGATCAACTCCAGACACCTAGTAGTTTGTTCTGATTCTTCTCCCAACATAAAAAGATAAATTATGGGATTGTCCATGATGAACCAGAAGCTACATGTTGAACCCAATTGGATTAGAAACTCTTCAATGTACATCCATTTCTCTTCCCGTTTCTCAATGCACCAATAAATTGCAGCCAGAGTTTTCCTGAGTTTCCTGTTAAAAGCTGATCTTTTAACTTGAATTGATGTGGGCCACATTCTATTCCTCCATTCACATACCTACCTGAGTTGTGTTGACCATGAACCATAGACCACACATGTTTCTTTTCCAAAAGTAACATTGTATAAATAGTCATCCTTTGGGTTGGTGCTATCATGATTACATTGTGAGTAAAATGTTGTGCAGAGTTTCCAGTGGATAGTAGGGCTTTGCCAGTGTAATCTGTGGTGTATCCATCTCAGATAGGTTATCAAATCAGCTCAATAAGTCTTCCCCCCGCTGTGGTAGCAGTTATTGAGGTTGATGTAACTACTGAAAAGTAGGACCAAATGATGCTGAAAATAATTTGAAATAGCTGGTAAGTGGGTTGAATGTTCAAAAAATGTAGAAATGTTGAGGTCACTGGCTGGATAGTTTTAAAAATAATAATTTATAATAAATTGAATAATCATGAAATATAGCCTTGCTTTTAGGAACATTTTCACAGCAATGTTTTCAAAGAAAAAGCACCTTATATTGTAAAGGATTAACTTGTAGATGAGGTTCAGATTCTAAAAATGTAGATTTAAACAATCTTGTTGGTGGATGAGCTCAAGGTGCTCCTCCAAAAAAAGTCTTGGCTTGCTCAGAGTTGTCTTGACTCGTGTGAAATTTAGGTTTCTCATTCATGAAAGAATTGTCAGAAGTGATGTCTACTGGGTTTTTGCATCTTTTGATACTTTGACAGTCTTCAGGAATTTACACTGTAACACCTGCTCTGGTTTGGACACAATTTCAAGGCAAAGGTAGGGTTGGCAAAATAATGTCTTGAGGATTCAGGCTAAGTAGCTTGTTCTCATTCCTGAAGACTATTATAAAGGTTTGTTGTTCAGTAATCACAAATTAAGTTAGGAACATTAGCCACCTACTCTCAGTAATTCTGACAGGAGTTTGGGAGCCTTATGGAACCAAACTACATCACTACAATTTGACCTCATGGAGCTGTTTTCCTGTAGTCCTATCTTTGGAGCAACACCTAACATTCTGGATTCTGTATTGGCTGCTCATTGTGTGTTTTGAAGTATTCTGACATTTGGGCAGCATTAATATTGTGAGCGTTCGTATTCACAACCTTCTTTCCTGATACAAATGATACTTTTTTTAAGAACCTGGTTTATGTTTTGGAAATGAGGAAACTTCAGGCAGAATGTATTTGCTTTATTTCAAAACGTTTTGCTAGTAAGGTGCCTCTTGTTGTTACTTCAATGCTTTTTGCATAAAGAATTCAAAGATAATTACTTTTTTTAAAAAGAAAGCAAAGTTCTATCTCCTAGAATGCTCTCCGAATGTGCTCTTGAGTATAGTCTCTAATTTGCTGCGTCATGTAAAATGTTGGGGAAATTTTAATGTAATAATTTTTGATTGATATATTGATGGATGTGGCAATGTGTTTTACTTGATTAGGTTTATTTGGCACCTAATATTTGATTAGGTGCTGTATATGCAATGAAGAAGTACAATCAGTGATTTTACATTCAGATCCAGTCAGTTTATTTGGCAGCCATTTTATGAAAGTAGAAATCAGTGATACTGAGCTTATTTTCAATGTTTTTTCAAGGGTTTTTGCCGGTTTTATACCACCAGATTAACTTGTATGCCCCCCTGAAAACCTATATAGACATGTCAGAGTATTGTATAGAAGAAGCAGTCACTGGTATAGTGTGTAGAGTGAAAGGATAACTGATTTTTCAGCTTTAGCGAGCTGCAGTCAATTTCAGAGACAAAATGGCCCTGCTTTACGCTGCATAACTACAGACATACTGCATTGCATAGTGTAGTTAGGAAGTACGGAAAGCTGGCCGTGATGCAGCGGAGTTCAAAGGTTACTGTGCGTGCTGTGGAATGCGATTGGCTGGCTGCTTAGTAACAGGCCTCCCCGCTGCCGAGCTATTGAAATGTGTCTGGCTGGGCTGACGTCACAACTGCTGCCTGTGAAAGAAAGCCTCCCTTGTCAGCCAACCCCCGGATTAGCTGTGAGAAATCCGCCCCGCTCGCTCGTGCAGCTTTCGTGGCAAAAGGAAATATCCGGAATTAATCAACCTAACTTTCTTAATGAATATCTTTAAAAGGGCCATTTTGGCTTCCGAGCAATCGGTTTGTCTCGTCTCTGAAAACAGTTTTCTAATGTTAAATCCTAATGGAAACCTGGAGATGCGATTGAATCGGTCATTTTAGCTGTATTTGACCATTGTATTGTCCAACAAGCTTGTCCTCAGGATATTTCTGCTAATTTTTTGTCCTTGTATTGATAAAGTGCCTCGAGTGGAGAACCGTGGAACTGACTCATGACTTGTGGCTGCACCTCAGCAGATAACAGCAGTAATTTTCTCATTCAGTTCAATCCTTCCTTATTGTTGAGAGTAAATAGAATGAGCTGTGGTAGAAATGCATCCAAATGCTTTTATTGATATGGTGTAACCTGCGACAGCTGGCTCGGTCACCCTGATCACATGCTGTTTGTAGCTATTGTCTCATTGTAGACTGGTTTAACCGTTTACTTACAATAAACCCAGATTGGTGAAAATCCCTTTTTTTATTTAGGAGGTGGTCATTTAGCAGTTCAAGAAGTTCATGGTTCAAAATTTTATTTTTAAAGTCAATCTGGTGTCAATCCTAACAACGTGTATTTATATAGTGCCTTTCACCTTAAAGGAATCCCCTTGAAGGGCTTTGTGGCAGCTGATAAACTGCCAATAATTAGATGTTGGGGGATGGATACAAGCCAGGACAACGGGGAGGAGGGAGGGTCATCTTTCACAATCTGCAAGGGAGGTGGCACATAAAGGTAATGGCTCATTGAAACACAGATAAACTTGTGTTTAATATAGAATGTTGATAGCTGTACAGCAAATATTTGGTTAAATCCAGTTGTTAATCAAGCATTAAAAGGCATTCCAGGCAGGGCGAAACCTTGGGCAAGTTTCCTTACTCCACACAGAGCCTAATAATATTCCCTCCAAAACCCAAAACAATAATAAATTGGTCATTTTCGATCTACGACTGTTTGTGGGACATTGCTGTGCGCAATTGGCTGCCGCGTTCGCCCACAAATATACAGTCAATTCACTTTACAGTGTGTTCTGTGAAGTGCTTTGGGACGTCCTCCCAATGTGAAAAGCGCTATATCAAATGCAAGGATTATTATTTAAGTCCTCATAGAAACAATCTTACCGCTGGTTGACCGAACAAACTCTTGCAGAGTATAGTTGCCATTGTTCATTCTCTTTGACCGTGCCTTCAGCTCCCCTCTCGACTCTCTTCCCCCTCCTCGCTCCCTCCCTTCCCTCCCCTCACCCTGACCATTTCCCCCCTCCTCTCTCCCTCCCTTCCCTTCCCTCACCCTGACCATTTCCCCCCTGCTCGGGTCATGACCCAACTGTGCAGCGCCTTGGGACGTCCTCCTGACGTGAAAGGCGCTCTATAAATGGAATCTTGTTGTTGTTGTTCATTACCCAGCTCATTTATACTGCTTTCAACTCCTAAAGGATGGGTCTTCCCGAAATGTGCACAACTCCCAATCTAATACTAACTCTCCCAAAAAGGATCAATCCAATTAGCATTGACACTGGCTCCCATACCCACACTAGTCTAGCCCGTAGGGAGCTCCTCACTAATGGAACGCAAGGTACTGTAATCAATTGCTTCTGATTGAGTGCGTGCTTGCGTTCTGTTGCTTTTGAAGTTGAAAATTACTTTTGGTTTGTATAGCTTGACCTCGATTGACCCTTTGTTGATGGAAGGTTGAGGTCTACATAAATGACAGTGATCACTGTTGCATACATCCCCGCAAAGCACTCAGCTTCCTGAACATTTTATTTAAGGTTTTCACTCGTTCTCGAGTAACGTCGCCCACAGACTTATCAATTTGTTCATCATTGTCTTGTATATTTAGACTTTTGATTGAACATATCTGCTTTTTCTAGTAATGGAAATGAATTAATTGGCATCAGCTTCATCTTTCATGAGTTTGTGAAGGTTTTTTTTCTACCTTGTACCTTGTACAGCATGTTAAATCAAGTGCAGGAGACCAGGCCTTTACTGAACTTTCAGCTCCTTGTAGGGTTGGAGTAGAATGGTACAACAGCTAGTGTCTCCCTATTTGTGGATTAGCGATGAGCAAGCAACTAACCGCACTGTACCCACGGAAAGGGACTGAGCTGAACCACTTAGTGTGGTCTCTGCACGTACAGGCATGACCAGGCCAGATCTTGATTTGTAATTTTCTACCTTTTGGGTAAAATACCATTATCTCGTAAGAGCCAATTTAATGAATGAAACGAGAAAAGACTTTCTGATTGCTCAAACAAACCATGTGAAGCAAACAAACCCCTTCTCGCTCCCTCCCTTCCCTCCCCTCACCCTGACCATTTCCCCCCTCCTCGCTCCCTCCCTTCCCTCCCCTCACCCTGACCATTTCCCCCCTGCTCGGGTCATGACCCAACTGTGCAGCGCCTTGGGACGTCCTCCTGACGTGAAAGGCGCTTTATAAATGGAATCTTGTTGTTGTTGTTGAAGCAAACTGCAGCCTCAGGTGAAGTTTGTTGCTGAGCTGATGATGATGTCCCCAGCTTCTCAGTGTGCATGGGCCCAGCATCATACACTTGGAAGAGCAGTTATAATAATATATATTTGGGAAGACGTCCCAAAGCGCTTCACAGAAGACACTGTAAAGTGAATTGACTGTATATTTGTGGGCGAACGCGGCAGCCAATTGCGCACAGCAATGTCCCACAAACAGTCGTAGATTGAAAATGACCAATTTTATTTTGTTTTTTGGAGGGATTATTATTAGGTGTGTGGAATAAGGAAACTTGCCGAAGGTTTTGCCCTCTGCCTGGAATTGAACTCAGGCCTCTCGCTTGCAAAACGAGTGCTCTATCCACTGAGCTACAGGACTCCACAAATTGATTGGTCATTACAGTTGTTTTTCGAATGAGTGTACAGTGGCTGAAGAATCTTCAGCCACTGTACAATCACTCTCTTGAAATCTCTCCCAAAATTTCTTCAGCTTGCACCCTCTCTGCCTGCCTTCAAAACCCTCGACCATTTCTTTGATCAGCCTCCTCAGCTATGAACTGGGCCATTGGGTCATCCATTAAGATGCCTTCTCTTGTTTGGATAGTTGTAAAATACACCAGTTTGGGTCAATTGCCTGAAGTTCGTAGGTGACAAGAGTGCAACTGACCTAGTCATTGAACGACTTACATGGGTGCCCTTTGTTGGAAAGGTATATTACAATTTTTTGCAGTAAACCACAGCAATAGTGACTTCTCAAAACCCTTCACAGGTAATTGCTGTTGAGTGTTGTGACTGTTCCGTAGCCAAACAGCAGCAGCCAATTTGCAAATAGAAAGGTTCCACAAGCAGCCATGAGGTGAAAACCATTTTTGCGGGGAGATTGATGGCCAAGATACTGGGGAGAAATTCACTTCTGTTTTCTGACTCAGACAAGAGTGCTACCAACTGATCCAAGCAGACACCTGGTTACTTTCTATTCTCCCCCAGTAGGTGGGATCCTGGGTTTAAATCTCTTGAAGCGTTTGAGTGTTCCCCAACACTGCCATGTTACATGCCTTGAACATTGAGCGAGACTTGCTTGTATGGCATTGCTGGCAAAGCTATCTACGACTCAGAGAGCTTCTGGCATTGTAAAAGTTAACCTAGTAATCTACTTTAATGAACAAAATATCCATCAGAAGAGCAAAGAATAACAAGCTGTGGGGCAGGACTGATAGGCATCCTGTTTGGGTGCAATAGGCTTTGCGCCTCCCCCGTTTGCTTCTTTTGGTAAGGCTCACTCTCTGGCAGACTGTAAAATGGTGGGAGTAGAGTGCTTTAAAATGGCGAGCTAGGCTTGGCAAAGGACCAGAATCCATGGAAGTTTCTGGAACAGTAACAGGCTGAGCTGCAGTGCTGCCTTCTTGTTGTGAATGCAAGAAAGGCTGAGCCTGTTGCAGTGCGTGAGGCTTACCAGCAGGTGGAGCTTCCGGGTAAAGGAAACACAGCTGGAATCAGCCCGGATTGTGATGGTGTGTGTGTGTGCGATGATTATTCTACAATATGTACTTGATGTGCTTTTATTCTGTGATTTTGATGTAATATTACAGAAACATGTTTCCTAATGATAGGTATTGCTTGAAAGAAAAAATGAAGGATATGAAAGATGACGTTTCTGTTGTAAGGGTTTAGATTGTGAAAGGTGGTTTGTGTATTGATAGACATTCCTTTTCACTCTTCATTTGCTTGGATTCCTAGCCTCAAATCAGTGTGAGCTGTGTTGAACACACACACTTTTCTTTTACATTATCTACCAAGCCTGAAGGTTATGCAAAATATCAGGTTAAGGGGTTACCTATAATGTATTGTGTTTATAGATTTTCTTCATATTTCTGCAATGTTATTGGTAATTTGCACAATTCGTTCCTTCTTGAAGCATCCACTAATCTCCCATTTGCTGGTGCAATCAGGAATGCATCTGGCTGGGTTTGTACGTGCGTGACAGTGTTTAGGAGCTGTGCCTCGAGCCTCTTTAATGGATGACTCAGACCCCCTGCTGTCATTGAATAATTAAATCACACTCCCAAGTTCCTGATTCACGTGTAACTTGGTGGTTGAAGCTTTTCCATGCTTGTTTTTAAAGAGAATGACTATTGGAGCAGCAGCTGCATTAAAGTCTTTTACACCAGCGTGTTGGGGACGAGCCACTGAAACTAGGCTGATTTAAATACTGGTCAGATTCGCTAGGGAGCTAACGATGCTGCATGAGCATGGTACCTGCAGCAACCTGGGTGGGCAAACATCAGAAAATAAGTAAGCTTTGAATTGTGAAAACTGTGTGGGGTGGGGGGGATTTTGATGGCTCCTGTTGCATGGTTAGCACCATAAGCCCTCTGAAATGTTTTATTTGGACTCTCCTTTATAATGGTTCACATTTGATATAGTGCTCGTCTCATCAGGAGGGCATTTAAAGAACTTCACAGAATAGTATAGTGACTATATTTTATAGATGAACAAGAAATGTATCTAGACTGAAACCTGTGAGGGACAAGTCTATGAGGAGAGGTTGGGTACAACAACAACAACAACAAGATTCCATTTATAGAGCGCCTTTCACGTCAGGAGGACGTCCCAGATAACCTTAGATAACCTTAGAGCTGAGTAGTTGATGGGTGATTTAATAATAATCCTTGCATTTCATGTCTTCTAGACATCTCAAAGCGCTTCACAGAATAGACTGTAAAGTGAATTGACTGTATATTTGTGGGCGAAATGCATAAGTTTTAAAAGTAATGAAGGAATTTAACAGGTAAGAGAGTTCATGACACATTTCCCCCTGGTAGAGGGATCTAAAATGAGGAGACTTAATATGAAAATTAGATGGTTAGAAATGAGCTCAGGAAATATATCTTGACTTAAAGAGAATGTGGAAGGCGATGACCCAGCAGCAGGCTGGAGAGGCAGAATCAATGGATAGGTTTCAAAGGAGAAAGATAGTAGATAATTGAGAAGTAACTGGCTGAACAGGTATGAAGAAAGGGCAGGGGAATAGAATTGAAGATCTGCCCTGACTTAATGAATTGGCAGAGCAATCTTGAAGGTGCATGCATTCAGATGTGCATGTGGCCTCCTCCTGTGCTCATCACTGGTATGAATTGGGACCACGCATTCTCAGCCAGTCCCTCTTATTCCTCCTGCAGTAACTCTGCTTCTGAGGACTCTGTTCATTCGGCATCGGGGTCAGAGTCTGGCAGCCAGTCAGAGAGCGAGCAGGGAAGCGAATCCAACAACAGCACTTCTGGATCCTCAGAATCCCAGTCGGAATCTGGAAGTGACTCGGCAGGATGCAAGTCGCAGCAGCCCACCGCCGAGAGCAAGGACAAACGTCTCAGCAAGAAGGAGAGGATTGCCGACGTGAAAAAGGTACTTGGAATAAACATGGTGCAGTTAGTCAATCAGTGTCCAAGCTTCAGCTTATCCCCTCTCCACCCATCCAGATCCGAACATGGATCGGGTGCGAGTGAGAGCTTGCTGGAGCTCAAACCTTCAGGGGAATTGCACAGCTTGTAACCATCGTGCATTACCCTCAATCCCACTGGCAACTCCTCTTAGTCTGACCAGTCTTAGCTTCCTGCACCAGGCACTGTTTAAATAGTGGCTCACCAAACATAGTGTGTGTTAAAACAGTCAAAATCGTGAGCCCTCTTTCCGTCCCCACACTACCAATAAGGAGGATTGCAGTGCAATACTTTTCATTGGTTACTTGCATAATTAAAGGCGACTGCGTGCATTTAGCACAACCCACTGTTTGATCCCTGATGTGGCACTACAAGGATGGCTGTATGGTTGTGGCTCCTTGGCTGGAGGTTGAGGTTGGTTTTGTATGTGAATGGGTGGAGATGCGCACTGAGCCGGAGTGGGTTGCACATTACTTCGCAAAATGAACCAGAGAGCACAAACCTCTCGTGATTGCAGGAGGGTAATCGAGCTTGTATTGAGGTATTGAAAACAGACAGGCAGGCTATGAATGACGGGGTCCACAAGCACAGTCTTTATTTTGTATCAAATCTTTTTTCGTTGTTTTTATTTTGTATCAAACCTTTTTTTAAGGAACAGGACTTGAGCAAGCTTTACCTGTGATTTCTCCCTCTCCTCCAGTCACTGCCTTGCTGTAGGTATTGTTAAAGTTATTCGCATCCCTGAAACATATCCAGACCTTCAGGAGTTTTCCAGAATCCTTTGTGTTCATAGTAGAACTGCTTTACCTTTAAGATTATTTATTCTAAATAGTTTTAAACTTCCATAGGCGTGCATCAAAGCCTCGTGTGGGTTGGCTGTGTCTACTGGTAGTATAGTTTAAGTGGCGGGAGGGTGCAGGCCTTACAGTGGTCTGTTTATATTGCAGATGTGGGAAGAATATCCTGATGTTTATGGGGTTAGGAGATCACACCGCAGCAGAACTGCCCCCACCAGCTCCAGTGCCACAGCTGAGGTGAGTAGTTGAGAAAATAAATATTAAAAACAAGCCCTTGAAGGACTAAAGATGTAGTCAGGCCTTTGAAAAACGCTTTGTGTAGAATGTAAATTAATCATAATTCCATCTGACACATTCCACTGGTGGTAACATCAAAACGGCTAATGCACCTCACTCTGGCAAGTGTAGTGACTGCATTTGTGCAAAACATTGCAGTCCGTTTATACACAGCAATATCCCACACATAGGCAGGAAGTGAATGAACAATTTATTTGGAGGATTGTTGGCCAGGACACCGGTTTACAATTTTCTTCACTTCCCCCTCAACCCAAACCCCTTGTCTCCCCATTTCCTCACCCAATAATTAAAGTTGGTAGGTGTAAAGCGCGGAGGTGGCTCATTAGCAGTTTGAATATGTCTTTAAGGAAAGGAAACTAGCACATCAAGGGATTGATTGGAGGTGAGGAGGCATTGTTAGTAATAATACAGTTCTACTCTGAAGTACTTTTTATGCTTTGAGATGTGAGGGACACCAATAACTTTAATATGTGAATATCCACCACCGAGGTCCCCACGACAGGTGGGTGTCTGGAACCTGCACAGATGTTTCCTTGAGAGAAAATCAATCAACTTTTTTTTATCCAAGTAAATCTTCCCCAAGCTTTGTAGATCAGTGCAACCCCAATCATTCAGTGCTGCACATTGTGAGGAGAGGGTGTGAGGAGCGGAGATGAGAGGTTAAGGGGGGAGAGAAAGGGGTGTAAGGAGGGTAGATGAGAGATGAAGGAGGGGAGAGAAGTTGGTGTGAGGAGGGGAGAGAAGGCACTGCCTGAGGTTGAGATCAGTGGAACCCAGAAATCCTCACAAGCTGAACAGGCTACAAGAGCAGTAATGGTAAGTTTCAGATCTGAATATACCAGTTCTTTTAACAAGGTGTTCAAGCTCCAGTGGTAAGTAAGGGTTGGCACATTAACTTGTATGACATGTGCACAGTTCAAGGGAATATTATCTTGTGTTAGTTGCCCCTCTAGAAGCTGGGCGTGCTGAAATATTCATTTACTTCACCCGCCCGCTCAGTAATACTGGCGATTAACCTTGCTGTACTCTCTGTCTCCCTCCTCTCCGCTGTGGGTTATGTCTGCTTAATTAGATCTCACAGCCATGCCTGGAACTCGCATCCAGCCAGTATTCAGGTCCAGTGCAGGATTGATTGGCTACATCAGAGCGTATAGAGTGCTGGGTGGTTGCTTTTCAGTAGTTTAGATCTAAAATGGGGGTGGGGGGGCTTTACTTGAGGGGTTGCACCCTAGCACTCACCTGAGGCACTTCTTTCTCAAGCAGGGCAACAGCGAGATATCCGAGGGTGAAGGCCTGAAGCAAAGAGGGAGGAGGAGAGCTAAAAAGTGAGTCTGCTCAAAAGTATCCACAGCCCCGCGTAACCCTTTTCATTGGGTAACACAGCAATAGGGGGAAGCCGTTCAGCCCGTCCAGTGTGGTCCACTATTCAGTTACATCAGAGCAGATCTTTTAATCTCATTTCCCTACCTTTTCTCCATATCTCTTAACAACATTACTTGTCTGTCTACCCTTGAAATATCCCATGTGCCTTTGAGGCAGTACATTCTACATTTACATAGATTATACAGCACGGAAAAAAGGCCACTCAGGCCAGCTAGTCTATGCTGATATTCCTACTACACGCGAGTCAAACCTTTGTGTGAAGAAATAGGGTGATGAGTTAAGAGTTTCACTTTAAGGGAAATAGCTCAAATGACTACTGATCAGAGTTGACCAGCTGTTCAAAGCACAGTATCTCCAAAGTACTTGAATAGCTGAGATAGTGAGTGAGTGACGGACAGATGCTCCCGACGTGAAAGGCGCTCTATAAATGGAATCTTGTTGTTGTTACTGTCCAACTGCTATCATCTTGGTAGAGTTCATTTCTGACCAATCTAGCACAGAGCTTACATTTGATGCCCTTTGTGTCGTAGCTGGAAACAAACCGTCTTTGAAGATTATGATGAAGAGGAGGACGAAGATGAGGAGGAAACGAGCAGCCCTGCAACCAAGAGTGTTCGAGCCCGACGACCTGCCACCAGAAGGTTAGATTGATGTCACTTATTGTAAAGTCATTGGCTCAGCATTGTTTAATGAGTCAATACCAGAGCATTGTTGTTTTTATAGTACTTTTATTACATCAGAATGTCTCAGAATACCTTACATTTTGTGGAAGAATTGTTTTTGGTCAGCCATGTGTCTGACATATTTGGAAACCATCATCATGCTTAAGCATAGCCATTACCAGGCTGAAAGCTCTGCATATGCACTCCACCCACACATGGAAATTTTCCTGTGAACGGAATGCACATAGTCTCCCTGGATGTTTGCGCCCTGCTTACCTAATTCCAGAGGGTATTGCACTGTGGTAAACTCCGCTGCCCCTAACAAACACACACGAATCCTTTTGTAGGTTGCAAGTCTTCTTTGTGTTGTAATGAAATTCACCCACTGCCTTGCGTTGCTTTGCTGTTTCAGATGGCAAGTCAAAAGCAAAGGCAAAAGGCAGAAACCTCCAAGAGGAAAGAGGAGGCACCATTCTTCCGAGGAGGATGACGAGGATGAGGATGAAGATGACGACACCCCCAAACGCCAAACCCGCCAATGCGTGACCAAAAACGTGAGGTAAGCAGGGCCTTGGTAGCTCGCCCTAGCCAATTCTCTTTCTCCACCCAACCCCCCACCCACCAATCTGTACTGTCTCTGTTGCTCATTGCTATCTGTGTATTTGTACTGAGGGCAAGTAACGAACTGGCTCAAACGCATCTTGGATTCACTTATGTCAACAATACCTAAGGTTGCTAGGGTGGGTGAGCATTCTTGGTTGTTTCTAAGATGAGTGGATTGGACACTACTGTTGGATGGTACTCTGCCTCTGGGCAAGGGGAGACTATTTGAGGGAAGGAGAAGAACTATGATTTACAACAACAACAAGATTCCATTTATAGAGCGCCTTTCACGTCAGGAGGACGTCCCAAGGCGCTGAAAGAAAGTTCCCTGGAACTGAATGCAGTTTTTAAAAGGGCTTAGAGAATCATGGTGGAGTTTGAAAGTGAGGGCTTGGTCTTGGGCAGTGGTGGGGAGCTGGGAATAACAATTGGTCTCACATTAGCAGGTAATCTGGGAGTTTCTTTGCGTTTGCAGTTACAAAGAAGATGATGATTTTGAGACTGACTCAGATGATCTAATCGAAGTTACAGGAGAGCCGTCCCTGGAAGAGAACGACGACAGTGAGACCATCGAGAAGGTGATAGAGTCCCGGACTGGGAAAAAAGGAGGTAATCTTGTTGTGTGCTGGTGGTTGTGCACAGGTTTAAGGCTGAAGGGTTTGGTCTTATTGGCGATTTGTTTATTCGCAGCCATTGGGGCACCCACCACAGTGTATGCGATGGAGGCGCATGAGAACCCGGAGCCTGTATTCGATCCCCAGAAGGACGAGCAGGAGATCCAGTATCTGATCAAGTGGAAAGGCTGGTCATACATCCACAACACCTGGGAGAGCGAGGAGTCCCTCAGGCAGCAAAAAGTCAAAGGACTGAAAAAACTGGAGAATTTCATCAAAAAAGAGGATGATATAAAACAATGGTAATTTCCTGCTCTCTTGAGATGGATGGGATCTGGGCAGTCATTTCATCATCTGCGGAGTGATTTAATACTGCGGGGCTAAATCTGGGGAATAATTTAATACTGGGGGTGGATCTGAGCTGCAAATTACTACTGGGGGTGGGGTGGAATCTGGGCAGTATTGTTTGAAATGTTGTTTTGGAAATGTGTACTTGAATTTAACAGCTTCACTTGTGTTTTACTGGAAGTTGCTCTGGTCAGTACTTTGAGAAATCCTCCTGACGCTATATAAACCTAAACTGAATTGAATTGTTTCTGATTTCAGGGTGGCCAATGCATCCCCAGAGGACCGCGAGTATTATAACTGTCAGCAGGAATTGTCTCTGGACCTGAACAAACAATACCAGATTGTGGAGAGAGTCATCGGTGAGACACCTGACTGGCAATTAAACATTACATGTGAGGTTGGGTTTAAGAAGCCGAAAGCGCTGATGTCTCTCAGGGCCACAGACTGAACTGCCTGGTCTTAAACTTTAAAACATTCCCCAATTCTGAAAAATTCTTAAACTCTGTGGTTCAGACATAAATGTTTCCTCAGACGGTTTGTGTGTCCATTATAGTGCAAAACCCAAGATAGCATGATAATACTGGTATAACATGATTCAGTATAACCCTGGTTAGTGTATAGACAATATAGAGTGCACACTGACATTGTTAAAGCAAATGTGCTGAATGGAGGGGGTGCCTGAGGGATGAGGAGGGCAGTGGGCTGGGTTGGGTGGAGGAGTATGATGTGTTGAGTAACAAGAATGAACATAGTCTTCTTTCACTCCAGCAATGAAAACCAGCAAATCAGCTTCCAGTCACTCAGACTTCCCCTGTAAGTATATATGTATAAAATACAAGGATTATTATTATTTTCATGCCTCTACTCGCACTTGATGGTTCTATCGCTAAAGGTGGCATTGACAGAATGCTGATTAAATGATAAATTCATTCACTTTAATTGGAGTGATTTCAATGCAGTGCAACTAACTGAGGCTTTGGCTCTTCTATACCACAGCACATTCCAGCCACAAACCCCCAGCCTCTGGCCAACCTGACTACCTGTGTAAATGGATGGGACTCCCCTACGTGGACTGCAGCTGGGAGGATGGGGCCCTTATTTCCAGGAAGTTCCAGATGTGCATTGATGCCTTCCACAGCCGGCACAGCTCCAAGAGCATTCCCACCAGAGACTGCAAGGTAACGGACTACAGGCTCACTCCTGAACAGCTGACTGACGGGAAGCATTCCCTGCACAGTATGTTCATACTCATTCCTCAGTGAGACTGCCAAGAGGGGCAGCACTCAGATCTCACAGTAATCCTGAAGAGAGACTTGAAAAGCTGGAGCTGGTTTCACGTGACGAGGAATAGTTGGGAATGTGAAATTCTTTGCCACGCGTTGTTGAGGGAGACTCTGGGTTGCTTTAAAAGGGAATCGGATGATAGCTGCTTGAAGGTTAGATTAATTTTCCAGTGGAGAAAAATACCAGGACACTCTCTTACTGTAATTACTGACAATGGTGCCTTGTGTGTGGGTGGGTCTGGAGAGGGGTGTCTGGGAGTTGAAGCATGCCTCTGCCTTGGTGTGCCTGTGTGATACTAATCGAGGCACTGAAACTCCAGAGAGTAACCGGCAACTCTTTCTTTCCTCTCTCTCTGCGTCGGGCTCCCAGGTGCTGAAGCAAAGGCCTCGGTTTGTAGCGATGAAGAAGCAGCCAACATACATTGGCAGCGAAGGGTTGGAGCTGCGAGATTACCAGCTCGAGGGGCTGAACTGGCTCGCTCACTCCTGGTGCAAGTACGTGTTGAAGCTTTGGAGAACAGGATCTGCTCAGTGATGCGCTGTCTGTCCCTTTAAGGCTCTTTAATGGAGCTGAACTGGAAAGGATTCCTATAAACAAACTATTTCAATAAGTGAGAGGGCACCACATTGGGACAACTGAGCCCTGAACCCCTTTCTTACTATAGCTATACAATACAGAATCTATACAGAATGCTTGGTTATGTGCTCATTAATACGAATCAATCAGTTGTTGGCAAGATCAGGTGAGCAGATGGGATTGAGCGGGTGAGGAGTGACCCTTTGTTTGTAATCACAGCTTGTTTAAGGTGTTGGGCAGGGTCGGAGTTGCTCAGTGGGTGGCAGGAAGGTGGGTTGCACTGCAGGCTAGCTCATTGGTTTCAGAGTTCTTATTCTCTCCCCAGGAATAACAGCGTGATCCTGGCCGATGAGATGGGTTTGGGGAAGACCATCCAGACCATCTCCTTCCTATCGTACCTGTTCCACCAGCATCAGCTGTACGGCCCCTTCCTAGTGGTGGTGCCTCTCTCCACCCTCACCTCCTGGCAACGCGAGTTTGACATCTGGGAACCCAACATGAATGTGGTGGTGTACATCGGCGATGTCATGAGCCGCAACACGGTCAGTGAAGCCATACCACACTCCTCTCTTGCCCCACATTAGGGGCACACTCCCACACCAAGCTCGCTTTCCCCACACCCCTCCACGCTCAGGGTGCGCTCACACACCACGTTCCTCTCCCCTCCTTCCCACGCTAGAGGCACGCTTCCACCTGCCCCAAATGCTCAAGCACACTCCTGGGTCATAACAACAAAATTACATTTGAATCACATCAGGAGGACGTCCCAAGGCGCTGGACAGTCAAGTGTTTCAGACCCGACCTGAGGGTTGGGACTGGGGAGGGTGGAGGTCAGGGGAGAAAGCAGGGTGATCAAAAGCACGTTTGAAGATGGGTCTTGAAGGAGGCAAGGGAGGGGGCGAGATGGAGCAGGCGAGACGGGGGATGTGAAGCAGGCCGTAGCCCGCTTAGTGGAGGGAGCAAGCAGGATGGTAGGGGGTTAAGAGGTCGCAGAGGTAGCGGGGAGCAAGGCCATGGAGGGCCTTGAAGGTGAGGATCTTGATCTTGAACTGTATCCTCTGTATGAGGGGAAGCTAGTGGAGTCAGGCGAGGACGGGAGCCTGGTGTAGGACAGGACGTGGGCTGCAGAGTTCTGGATGATCTGCAGCTTATGGAGGGAGATGTTGGGGAGGCCGACAAGCAGGGAGTTTGCATATTCATATTCAATGCGTGTATGAGGGTTTCAGCGGCCTGTGGTGTGAGACAGTGACAGAACCAGGCAATATTGCAGAGGTGAGGGAAGGCAGGGTGGGTCATGGCAAGATTGCGGTTGATGCGTCACTCAGCCAGGGTTTCACCTCGCAGTCCAGGCTAACAGCGCTGCATTGTCAGAGTCCCTGTCGTTCAGATGAGACCTTAAAGCGAGATCCCATTTGCAGTAATGACTGGACAGCTCCAGGCCGTTCCTAGCATGTGCTGCCTGCCTCTGGTGTGGGGCATCTTGTGAGCAGCGGGATGCTGCTCACACAGTTATCATATGTTATTATAACACCGTGCTGGTCACTTACAGATTCGGGAGTACGACTGGACCCACCCTCAGACAAAGAGGCTGAAGTTTAACGTGTTAATAACTACCTATGAAATCCTGCTGAAAGATAAGGTGTGTGACGACTCCCAGCCGAGCCAACAGTGAAGTACATTGATGATGGCGATACTTGTTACACTGTCTTTCTCTATTCCATTCACCATCCTGAGCCTCAAATGTTCAGTATGAGTCTGTTCTGGACTGCGACTGAACCCAAAGCTGAGAAATAATCACAGGAGTGGTTTCACACCAGTGCTGTTTGAGGAACAAGCCATGGGTGGGGCGGGAGGAGGTGGCATCCTCTCTATCTGGCTCTCCCAACACTGACTTGGGGTCCCACTTTCCTCCCCCCCCCCCCCCCCCCCCCCACCACCCACCCACACGCACACACACAAACACACTTTGGCTGAACCACAACATGTGCTCTAGCCTCTTGGTTGACACTGATTATTTCTCTATCAGACGGTTTTGGGAAGTATAAACTGGGCTTTCCTGGGAGTGGATGAGGCTCATCGGCTGAAGAACGATGACTCGCTCTTATACCGGACCCTGATAGATTTCCGATCCAACAACCGGCTGCTGATCACTGGCACCCCCCTGCAGAATTCGCTGAAGGAACTCTGGTCTCTGCTGCACTTTATCATGCCCGAAAGGTGGGTCATTACATAGATATATGGATGGGGGGGCAGAACAAGTGGGTGTGATGACAGCCGTATACACTGAGAAATTCAGGTTCTGCTCTGAGGGTTTGGCACGAGAAGCTTGTGGTGGGGAGGTTTGAAGGAGTAACAGGCACTGTGAGGCACAGCCTCGTCAGCAGTCAGTTCTTGGGTGGGTGGGGGCATTGTGCGGTGGGAGAGGGTAGGGAGGTGAGTGCGTGCTCACAGCTCAGCTGACCCCCTGGTTTGGGGCTTGCTCCCCAGGTTTGACTCCTGGGAGGATTTTGAAGAGGAGCACGGGAAGGGGCGTGAGAACGGATACCAGAGCCTTCACAGGGTGCTGGAGCCCTTCCTGCTGCGCAGGGTCAAGAAAGACGTGGAGAAGTCGCTGCCTGCAAAGGTGGAGCAGATCCTGAGGGTGGAAATGTCTGCGTCGCAGAAACAGTATTACAAGTAAGAGAACAATCCGTCTGCGTAACACTGGCCTGAAATGTTATATGGGAACAGCAAGCCAATACTGAACAACTAGTTATTTTACCTGCCCAGCCTGGCATTGACTAATAGACAAACTAAACTTTGCCTTTCTCTCACCCCCTCTCGTTTCTCTCTCTTTCCCACCCACCCAGGTGGATATTGACCAGAAATTACAAGGCGCTGTCTAGGGGTGTGCGAGGCACCTCCTCGAGCTTCCTCAACATCATGATGGAGTTGAAGAAATGCTGTAACCACTGTTACCTGGTGAAGCCACCGGAGGACAGCGAGCACCACAGCTGGCAGGAGGAGCTCCAGGTGGGTATCTGCTCTGTGCAGCACAATTCCTGGGACTCGCTCAGCGCAGACCCCGTCTGGACAGTGAAGCCAGATTGTGACCAAAGGAGGTCAGTGTGCCAGTAGCGGCAGAGAACCAAGAGGTCAGACCCGGTGACTTATGTAAATGTCGAGGGATTGAAGTCCGTGTTTTGCTCTGATTGCCGTCTGTCTTCATCCAGAACCTGATCAAGAGTAGCGGCAAGCTGATCCTCCTGGACAAGCTGATGACGAGGCTGAGGGAGAGGGGGAACCGTGTGCTGATCTTCTCCCAGATGGTGCGGATGCTGGATATTCTGGCCGAGTACCTGAGCATCAAACACTATCCCTTCCAGGTATGTGCCTCTGGCTGGGCTGCCACTTGGGCTAATTGTCTGTCTCTGGTTGCAGATGCTCCCTCTGGGAGGAAGCACAGCATTTACTCTTTGTGGTTCAGAATAAACATTCCTAGAGATTCCGCACTGTTCCTGAGCTGCACTGAGGACCTTTCTATGTTCTGCGTTTGCAGCGTTTGGACGGGTCTATAAAAGGGGAGTTGAGAAAACAAGCCTTGGATCACTTCAATGCCGAAGGCTCGGAGGTAGGAAAATGCCGCTCGCCTCTAACCATGTCTACTGCTGTGTAGTGAATATCTGTGACCCTGTACAGTGCGTGTGACCAGGAAAGTGTCTGAGAGCAGTCGCTTCGCACCTCCTGGGAATAGTGTTCTTTCTGTCACAGATTAGAGAGCAGCCAGGTTATCTTAACCAGAGGTTGGTTCACTTAGAGAGTTTGTGGGTTCAAGCCCCATGTTGGAAATCAGTTTGAGTCTAATGTTGTGCTGGGGAGGGCAGCGGATGCTGCATTGTTGAGGTGTCTTCCTTTGGAGGAGATGTTAAAGCGAGATGGATGTTAAACATCCTGTGGGGAGAGTGATACCAACTGAGTTTTACATTAATTTTCTCTCACCCTCCAGGATTTCTGTTTCTTGCTCTCGACCCGGGCAGGCGGGCTGGGCATCAACCTAGCCTCGGCGGACACTGTCATCATCTTCGACTCGGACTGGAACCCCCAGAATGACCTGCAGGCTCAGGCCAGAGCTCACAGGATTGGCCAGAGGAAGCAGGTCAGCAGTGGTACGGGGTCCGAGTGAGGGGCACGGGCACTGAGGTGGGGTGGGGTGCCTGGGGATGGGGGAATGAGCGCAGAATGATGCTGGTCTTTATGTTCACACAGGTGAACATCTACCGGCTGGTGACCAAAGGTACGGTGGAGGAGGACATCATCGAGAGAGCCAAGAAGAAAATGGTGCTGGATCACCTGGTCATCCAGAGAATGGACACCACGGGGCGCACAGTGTTGGACAGCTCGGCTCGGCCTTCCCAGTAAGCAGCGGTTCATTCTTGTCTCCGCGCGCGTGTGTGTGGAGGTGGCGGGGGGAATGTCTCGTCACACTGGCTGCTGGTTTCTTTATATTGGTGAATTAACCTCTGACGTGGGTTGGTGATGAGACTGTGGAAGCTGCTGAGCCAGCGGTTGCTGCGGTGGGGAGACGTGACCCTGGCAGGGGGTGACTCAAAGCCAGCCTCCCAATTCTTTTCTCATCTTTTCCAGTTCAACGCCGTTCAACAGAGAGGAACTGAGTGCAATCCTGAAGTTCGGGGCGGAAGAGCTATTCAAAGAGCCGGAAGGGGAGGAATCGGAGCCGCAGGTAGCAAGTTCCGGATGAAGTGAGACGTTTTACTGAAGAACGTAATTTCTCTGACTGGTCTCCTTTGTACTGATCAATATTGAGGGGGTGGGGTTGTGATAGTTCTGCAGTATGGTTTTATAACGATCCAAGTTCTTTCTCTCTGAAGGGTAAGCCAAGGCAGCTGCCGATGTTAACGCAGATGTTTCCTTTCAGGAAATGGACATCGAAGAGATTCTGCGGCTGGCAGAGACCCGAGAGAACGAGGGGTCTGTCAGCCCCACTGACGAACTGCTGTCACAGTTCAAGGTAAGGCATGGCACTGGTCTGCAGGTGGGGGGAGAGCGCGCGCGCTGGCGGGTGGGGGGAGGGTGCGCGCGTGCTGGGGGGGGGCAGGGGGAGAGCGAGCGCGTGCGCGCGCTGGGGGTGGGAAGGCAGGTGGAGAGAGTGTGGGGTGTTAAGGGAGCCAGGAGAGATTGTACTCAGGTTAAATGCCAGCATCTGTTTCCAGGTGGCCAACTTCTCCACCATGGAGGAGGCTGAGCCTGAGACTGAGGTCGGGAACCAGAAAGAGTGGGATGACATTATCCCGGAGGAGCAGCGCAGGAAGATCGAAGAAGCCGAGCGGCAAAAGGAACTCGAGGAGATCTATATGCTGCCTAGAAGCAGGAGCTCTACTAAAAAGGTAAGGCTTCCCTCTTCTCCCCCCGTTCCCTGCTCGCTCCCCCATTCCCTGCTCGCTCCCCCACTGAAGCTCTCTACCCTAATCACATCCCCTGCTCTTCCTATCCCATCTGTCTGAACTAATTGATGTTCCAGAGATTTGATAGTTGAATATCAGGAGACCTGGCAGGGAATGTGGCATGTTGAGAGCTGCTCTTGCTGTTTCAGGCTCGGGTGAATGGCAGTGATTCAGACGTGGGCTCGCGGCGGCGGCGACAGCAATCCTCTGGCTCTGATAGTGAGACTGACGAGAGCGATGATGAAGATAAGCGGCCCAAGCGCCGGGGGAGACCCCGGACTGTCCGTAGGGACATGGTGGACGGTTTCACAGACTCTGAGATCAGACGGTCAGTCTTCTCCATCCCATTGCATACTGCAGAACCTCAGTCATTCGTCTCCTCGCCCTCTCCCCAGCGCTGCAATGTCTACACAATGAATTCCTCCCCTTCTATGGCAATGCTTGCTCCTCACTCCCTCCAGCACCCCCCTATTGGTGGCTGACGGCCCAGCTCTCTGCAACTCCTCCAAACCCTCCGCGTTTCACGTCCTCTCTCTGCTTTTATAGCTCTCTTTATACGGACCTTGTAGACCGTGTTTTTGGGCCACATCCCCTACCGCTCCCTGCTTCCATCACGTGATGGACATTTCACCCACATGAAAGGCATTGTAGAATTGCAAGTTGTTTCCTCCCATAGGGAAACGAGTCATGTCATTAAAACCATTTCACACTCTGTGTCTCAGGTTTATCAAGAGCTACAAGAAGTTTGGGACCCCGCTTGAACGGTAAGACTGCATTGCGATCAGTGTCAGACTTTCCATTTGCTTCTCTTTCGTGTTCTTCAGTCCAGCTGGGACGGGGCTCTCCCTCTGACAGCTTGTGGCTTATTCGGTGTTGCAGTTTGCTGTGTGGAGGTTGGGTGAGCAATGGCTGACACTCTTTTTCTTACTCTCTTTCAGGCTGGAGGCCATTGCTCGGGACGCAGAGCTGGTGGAGAAGTCCATCGCTGACCTCAAGCGCCTGGGGGAGCTTATCCACAATGGCTGTGTGCTGGCGCTCAAAGAGTACGAGGAGCAGCTTAAAGAAACCCCAGGCATGGAGGGTAGGTATCAGGCTGGGCTGCATACTCACTCCTTTAGTTGACGGCTGTTACGCTCTGCATTTCCCCCGTTCCCCACACTGTTTTGTTCTTTTTGTCAAGACAGAGTGACTGATATCAGATTTAACCCTTTTATCTGTGAACTCCATGACCCGCAGGGAAAGGTCCGGGGAAGAAGCGTGGGCCGACCATCAAAGTGTCCGGTGTGCAGGTGAATGTCAAGTCCATCCTGATACATGAGGAGGAGTTTGAGGTGCTGCACAAGGCCCTCCCCAGCGAGCCCGAGGACAGGAAGAAGTGAGTGTGTAGTCCTCAGTGGGGTGGGTGGGGCTGACTATTCCTCCAACATCGCCTGCCTGTTAAAGAGCAGGGGCATGCAGAGAGGAATAAAATAACCTTGTAGTATGGGGCTCCATCAAATGTAGCTCACTGAAGGGCATTCGGGGGATATTTGTTGTCCTGTGGAGTGCTCTGGCCAGACTCCTGGAGGTGCACAGTCCATCGAGCTGTCTAAAAAGAGAGATGCATTGATGGTCGGGAAGAGTAAGGGAGGGTAAGCAATGTGGAGAAAAGGCAAGGAAATGGCATTAAAGGATCTGCCATAATTTAAAACAATGGTATGACTCGACTGTCTGAATATGTCTGGAAGGGGAGAGGAGTAGATCAGTGACTGGCCGGTGTGCGTTTGAAAGTACTGATAGGTGTCTGGTTACTCACCCTGCCCCCCATTGGCTTCACTACTCACATGCTCTTTGCTGTTAGGTACCGCTTCCCCTGCCACACCAAGGCTGCCCACTTCGACACAGACTGGGGAGTGGAGGAGGACTCCAGCCTGCTGCTGGGCATCTATGACTGTGGCTACGGCAACTGGGAGCAGATAAAGATGGACCCGGCACTGCAGCTGACAGGCAAGGTACACACGGCAAATCAGCGCTGGGCATCGAGAGGCAACTCAAAACGACTTTTACCCAATTCGGGCTTGTCAGTAGTTTCATGTTTTAAATTGTGTTTAACAAAATAGTGTGTGTTTGAACTAAAGGACAAAATTGGGAGAGAGCTGTGTGTGGTCGGGCGCTGTATCAAATGCGAGGATTGTTATTGTGACCGTCTGGTGCTCACTGCAGATCCTCCCCAGTGACCCTGATCTGAAGCCCCAAGGCAAGCAGCTGCAGTCCAGGGCCGACTACCTCATCAAACTGCTGAAGAAAGACATGGTCAAGAAGGAAGCTTTGAACCACGAGGCAGAGGTTAGTAAAGCTGCGTTCTGCGGCACTGGGAAACGGGGCTGTGTGAGCGCCTGCCTGACCCCTCGTTCAGGAGATCTGCTGTGATTTAATAAACAGGCAGTGCCTGTTCCTACGGTTATTCTATTCCTCGCCCCAATAAACAGCCAAACGTTTACTCAATGCTAATCTGGTGAGGCCAGCCCCAATTTAGTGCCAGGTTCTCTCAGCCACTACATGTTGCCAGTGAGCTTCATCAATCCCCTCGGTGCATCTGGTTAGAGGGCTTCCATCACATATACACGTGGGTTGGCAAGATGTGGGGGGAGGAGGCTGGTATGAGCTCTTGGTGTTTAATGGCTGGCAGTGTGACGGGGACTGTGATTGTAACCAGCTGCTCCTTCATTCAGCAGCCTAAGCCGAGGAAGAGGAAGCAGAGAGTGAAGAAGGAGAACAAGGCACCCAGACTGAGGGATGAAGGTGGCACGGACATGGCCTCTCCCCGCCTTTCAGACAACCCATCCGAGGAGGGAGAGCTGAAGGTCAGCCATCGCCCCGAACACTCGCTCACACATATTGATCCTCTCGCTCGTTCCAACATCGCCCTCAGTCAGGGCTCTGGGTTTCGAGGTGTTGAGCGGTCAGATAGTGGGACACCTGCTGCAGTAGGGAGACTGGTGTCCTAACTGAGTATTGTGTCTTGTTTCTCACGCAGGACGGAGCGCTGGACAGGACCCCTGTGAAAAAGAAACTCAAAACGAAAGACAACAAAGAGAACAAGGACAAGAGCCAGCTGAAGAAAGAGAAGGATAGACAGAAAGAGAAAAAGAAGAGCAGAGAGAAGAGAGCCAAGGTATCGCCTGGGAACAAAACGTGCAGTGTTGACTCTGGGGATGGGGGAGAGTACACAGCTGAGCTCACTGAATGCCGACTCACATGGCATGTGATAGACATTGAGCCCTGGCAATTTGGGACGATAGTTTGGTCTGATAGGTTAGCTTATGGAAAAGCTTAATTTCACTCCTTGTTTGGAATCCAATTTCCTCTTTCAGGGCCTGTGGGAAAACCCACATCCAACTCACAGCGCGTTTCCAATTCCACCCTATCTTAAAGCTAAGATGGTTTCACTGCTGCAGCAATCTTGGGAATCTGGTCTGGAAATTTGTTGGGAGCCTGTGGTCACTCAGTGGATGGAAGAATGATTGGCCTTCAGCTTACCCTTTGTGTGAGGGCTCTGCCATTTAACCTTCTGTGTGTTCTCACAGGCACGGTCCGAAGGGAAGGACAAGAGTTGCAAATCTGTGACCAAGGGTCCGGTGCACATCACGGCGGGCAGCGACCCCGTACCTATCGGGGAGGAGGGGGAGGATGAGCTCGACCAGGAAACCTTCGGCATTGTAAGTGTTACCGTGGGACAGGCACAGGCCATCTACATTGTAATACCATTAGCAGCTGTCAGTGTGAAGAAGGGGCTGTATGTGGCTCGGTGTGTGTCTGTAACAGTCTGTATGATCCAGTGTGTGTCTGTGGGGGACTGTGTGGCTCAGTGTCGGTGTGCTAGTAAAGGCCTGTGTTTGGCTCAGTGTAAGGAGCGGATGAGGCCTGTGAAAAAGGCCCTGAAGCAGCTGGACAAGCCTGAGGAGGGCCTGTCTGAGAAGGAGCAGCTCCAGCACACGCGCAGCTGCCTGCTGAAGATCGGTGACCGCATCACCGAGTGCCTGTTGGCCTACACCGACTCTGAGGAAACCAAGCACTGGCGCAGGTAGGAGTGGCCAGGGGTGGGCAGGTGGGCAACTACACACACTCAGTACACCTCACAGCAATTACATCTGAGGGTTTTTACTCTGATTCTCGTCTGCGGGACAGCTCCCGTCACTGCTCGTTCAGCAGCTGACTCTCTCTCCCCTCCTCCTCCTCGTCTTAGGAACCTCTGGATCTTTGTCTCGAAGTTCACGGAATTTGATGCCAGAAAGTTGCACAAGCTGTATAAACTCGCTCAGAAGAGGCGATCCCAGGAGGAGGTGAGGAGGGGTCTGTGTCTCAACCACCTGTCCTTCACGTGTTTTCCTGTTAGCATGCTCTTCACTGTCTTTTCCCGGTAGCATGTCCTTGCTGTGTTTTCCTGTTAGTGTGTCCCATCTTGTGTGCTCTCAATCCCACGTTACTGTGTCCTTCCCTTGCTTGCGCTCCTGTTAGTGCGTTTTTCCCACGCACTCTCTCTGGTGTGATTTCCTGTGGAGTGAAGGATTGTGTGTAATTCTGACCTCAGGAGGAGCAGAGGAAGAAGGAGAGCAGTGCCGGGAGCCGGAAGCTGTTCCGGCCCGAGACCTCAGGCTCCAGTCACGATTCTATCAACTCTCAGCCCCACGGCCCCCCATCTCTGTATCCACCCCTCCCCCACCACCTGCCCCAGCTACCGCCCGGGCACCACCGTGGCTCATACACACAGCTCCACAATCGCCCGTTCAACAATACAGGTAAGTGCTGCTCCCTCCCAACGGGAGACTATCTGTCTCACTCTTTCTGAGTCGTTCGCTCTGTCACTCTCTCGGGAGTCTGTCTTGCTCTCTCTCTCGATACATATCTCTTTCTGGTTCATGCCTGTGTGTTATAGAATGGTGGATGGCTATTCACTGTCTCTTCTCACCGTCTCATGGCAACTATTTGCCCCTCATCCTCCTGGCAGCCTCAGGCAGGGCAGGTTGGGCCTTCCTGTCTCAGCTCTGATGAGAGCCCAGTGTTAGAGCTGCCCACCCAGCGCTCAGGCTGTGTGTTCACTGTTTATGTAGATCGGGGAGAGCGGCCGAGAGAGCGAATGTACAACTACGGCGGTGGGGGCGGGGGTCCTTGGGGTCCCGACAGGCACCATGTGTATGAGCAGCACCGCTACAAGGAGCATCACTACGGCGACCGCAGGCCTCGCTCTGACCCTCACCGCAACTCCGGCAATTACAGACTCAATAATATCCACCGCAAGAGGCCCTACAGCCCCTACAGCAACGACCGCGAGCGCCGCGGACACCGGGAATATTATGACAGGTAAAGCACTTTGTGGCTGTGCCACACTCTCTCTGTGTCTCTGTCTCTCCCAGTTTGTCTGTCTCTGTCTCAATCTCTCTTTCTCTCTCTTACTCTATATCATGGCGCGTGTGTGTGAGTGACTGTCAAAGCCTCTGTTTCTCTCAGAGTATAGCATGGACTGGGTGTGTCTCTGTCTCACTGTATATCATGGACTCTGTCTCTCTCTTTCTCTGACTGTAAATCTCAGGCTCTTGGTCTCTGACTATACCTTGCGCTCCCTCTCATGACAATATATGTCAGTCTCTCTCTGTATCTCGGTCTCTCTCCCTCTGTGTATCTCAGTCTGTCTCTCTGTACCTCGGTCTCTCTCTGTGTATCTCGGTCTCTCACACTGGCGGCAGGGTGTGGGTGGGGGTGCAGAGTCCAGGATTGCTCTAGCCGGAACGCCGCTAAAGTCCGTCTGTGCTCCTCTTCCAGGCGGCACCAGGATGGGAAGCGACGGCGGTCAGACGAGTTCCGACCTCAGGACCATCATAACCCCTGCCATCAGACAGACCCCCGGAGACCCCCGGACCACAGGCCCCCTGGGCCATACCACAGCCAGGGACCCTCGGAACACTACAGAAGCTTTCACCCCGACAGGCCAGCAGAGCACCGCTCACCTCTGGCTCAGAAATCCCCTCACGACTCAAAATCACCCCTAGAGCACTCGCTGGAACACAAGGGGACCCCAGACTACAGCTGGAGCACTCGCAAGACATAGAGACACGGGGTGTGGGAGGAAACGAGGGGGAGAAAAAGAGAGTGAGAGGGAGGTGCTGCCGAGCAGATCTGCCAGCCTAGTGGCCCCCAGGTTGCTCCAGCGCCGAGAGCCCAGAGCCGGCACTGCCGAGGGGAGACCACACACCCCACCTGATCATCATGTGAACCACCCGCAGCACAGTTAGAATGTACATGTGACACTGTGCGCGGGTGCGCACACACACAGTCACTCATACACAGTCACTCACTCATATACACACACACACACACACAGTACTCACATATGCTCACGTACCCACAGGCACCTGCACTCACGCGAGCGCACGCAGAGGCACACACGGGCACAGATGCACAGAGAATGCACTCTGGGTCAGGATGCTATGGCGAGGGAGGGGAGGACAGGTAAAGGGTGTTTTTTTAAAACAGACCAAGAGATGGTGAGTGTTGTGGACTCTGCTGAGAGGCGTTTGAAGAAAGTGCAATTTAATTCTTCCCTATTCACCGTTTCTGCCAAAAGTGTTTCTTCAGCCAAGCTCCAGTCTATGATGAGTGAGTGGCTTGGCTTCAGTCTTTCCCCAGCAGGGTGGGGTGGCCGGGGTCAGTGTAACTCACGCTTTTATTCTGGGTTATACAGAGGTGATACTGGTGTGCATGTGTGGGGGAAGAGCAGAGGAAAGTGTCTCTTCTTCCACACCCCCCCCCCCTCCCCCCCCCAAATTCCTCTGTGACAGTTACCACAATGAGATCCTGCACAATACCAAAAGTTGGGGTGGGGGAGACCAGTCTGGACTGACTGGTCACCGAGGCTCATGTGCACTGATTTGCTCAGCACAGCTCCCTGTGTTCTGTCTGTAACGTCTTGTCTCTAAGCTGTCATTTACGTATTAGGGTTTGACAAGAGCAGCACAGAACACTCCCAATTCTTCACACACTGCGGCATCTGATCCCAAATAAACTGCACTTTGTTCTCCCCCCACCCCCACCCCACCTTTCCTCTCCCCCGACCCCCCCCCCCCCACTCTTCTCACCCCCCTTTAGTTCCTCCACTCATGATCCTATGGGAGTAGACCTATCCTGTTTTCACCGCTTTGCTCTGAGCAGACTATAGTGATTTGCAATGAATAATGGTCAGATTCTGGGGGGGGCTGAGCTGTGGGCAGGTTAACCTTCATGTCCTTAGTCATTTGTGCCATTTGCCAAAGGCAGTCACACGGTGTGTCCGAGCGAGGAATCTTGAGTGTGTGGTAAATTTTGATAAATGCCCACCTATACCTCACCCCCCCCCCCCCCCGGAAATGTCCAACTTCTCCTCTTGGGCACCCCACCCACGACACAATCTTTGAGAGCACTGCGACAATGCAGCTCAATATAGGACTCCCAATAACTATTTCACCCACAAACTACGCAGTGAATTCACTTTGCAGTATATCCTGTGAAACTCTTTGAGATATCTTGAAGGTGTGATAAGGCGCTATATCAAATGCAAGGATTATTATTATTAACTCAGTGGGTATTCACGGGGGAATGGGTGGTATCTAACTAATGAACAGTATTCAACCCATGAGAGACTGCAAGACAGGATTAGTGCAACTTTTCGGTAGGTTTTAATAGGGCAACGTTTTAACCTAGAAAATAGACGGTTATTTTCTCTATTCCCACCCCCCCCCCCTCACACACACTTCATTTTCAAATGAATTTAAATCTTGTACAGTATCCCTCTTCCTGCGCCCACCCGCCACCACACACACACAGTCCCAAATCACTGGATAGAGTGAATTAAAGTGAAAATGAGCAAGTGTAAAGGGAGGTTGTTGGTAGCCAGATACGAAGGTTACTGTCCGAGGGAAGCTCTTTATGTGTGAAGACTGCTGCTAGCCAGGATTGGCCTGACCCCATCTCAGCCTCCCCCCTCCCTGGCCCTGTCATACAGTGGTCCCTGGGATGTGTTTACAGTGTTTTTGCCCTGTCTGGTTTTGCACACGTCTCTGTCCTGGGAATGAAACACATTGCGCAGTATTTATCCTCCAGGTTCACTGGCATGGAGGCTGGACCCCTTCCCTACTGCTTGGGGTGAGCAGCCATTAGTGGGGGAGGGCTGGCACCACCTGTGGCTGAGTCCCAGGCCCCCCTCCCACCCATGTATGTAAATGGACTGTATCCCCCACCCCTGGGTTATTACTGCAGTGAGGGACGTTTTAGTTGCCAGCAACTCCAGATTAGACTCACCCATCACCTTTGTGCTCCTGGGCAGAGTCTGGCTTCGTGGGGGGGGGGGGGTGGGGGGCGCGCATTGCATTCCAACCTTTATTCCGTCTCCAATGGGCTCTGGCTGTCCTCAGGCAGGGTTGGTCACTAACAAAGTCTATCAGCACAATCCTGTGTGAACAGTGAGTATTGCAGAATGTTCTCTGGACGTGTGGTGACTGTTTGCGGCCATGAATTCCGGGCAATGAGATTGGGTCAAAGTGTTTGAGCCACATTGTTGACATCTTCCTCCAGTGCCCCCAGGGGGAGTGACCTGGTGCCTATTCAGAATGTAACAAGAAGTGGTGGGGGGGGCTGGGTCATGTCGCCAAATAAGCTATGTTATGCCTGGGGGGGGGACGATCAGCTGCCAACACACAGTTCACGTTGACTTTGCGGAGCGTACAGACAACAGCTCGCTGTAAACCGGTACGTGGACTTTTTAAATGACAAAGTAAATATTAATTTATATTTGTGAAAAGGCTGTTAGTGCATTTCGGTGTAAATACTTTGTTTATAATGTATTAAATTTTCCTACACCTTAAAATAATTGTTCTTTAATTACTGTTATAGGCAAACTGTCAGAATAATCCCTCAAGAAAAAAAATAATAAATAAATTGGTCACTTCAATCCACGACTGTTTGTGGGACACTGTTGTGCGCAATTGGCTGCCGCGTTTTGCCCACAAATATACAGTCAATTCACTTTACAGTCTATCCTGTGAAGCGCTTTGAGACGTCGAGAAGATGTGAAAAGCGCTATATCAAATGCAAGGATTATTTTTATATTAGAATGCCACGGCCCTAGCCCTCCACACAATCTGTGTAAAACAGTCACTACACTAAACAGTCAATAGGTGGCTCTTGCTGAGGTGAACATTGATAGATCCTCTCACTATGGGGCAAAGAGAAGGGTGTTGCTCTCCGTGTGGCCGGGGCTGCAGGCTGGTCACTCACTGGGTAGCTGTTTGCAGGGTCTGGGACACCGAACACCACATTCACAAATAAATTGACAAGATTCATGTCCCAAAGTTCCTTTTTTTATCCATAATAAATAATTTATGTTATGTACAGGTGAGGTGTGAGCCTCTGATAATCTACCACGTTTCTGTTTATTAACAGTAAAAACACTAACCAGGAGCCACTGTAAAACTATCACAGAAAGACAATAAAGTGCCACAGCCAGAAGTTTTTCTTAAAAGGGTAATCGCACCCATCACAGCAAAGTGTTTGGCCAAATGAAAACCTCAACTCCTTTTTCCTTTGACTTTTGTTACATTTTCTGATCACAAAATGCGACCAAATGTGGAACAAGTGTCAAGAGTTAAAACTTTCTAATGTTAATATAATGAAAAATGATGTTGCTCTATATCTAGTCACAAACATTCCATGGTTCGCTGCCAATATATAATAGAAGCCGACTCTGAATAACATTCCCCCATTACCAGGGATTGACACTGGCTCCACACAGCCTGGGGGGCACCAGGTGCACTCACAGCCTGATGTTAGTTAAAGCGTGACCAGGTGGAGCGGCTTCCGCTCTGCGGTTCTGTCTCCGTGTTCAGCTCTGTCGTGTGCTGGTTAGAAATGGCCATCGAGCTGGGCACAGCTGCACTGCCCTCTGATGTTTTTTCAGGTTATATTCAGATTGAATTACAACTTCCATTAAATACTCTTGCTCGGCAGTACATGAATCCTGACACCAGGACACAGCATCGCTGTCTCTCCGCTGTGGCCAAGAAACGAGCAATACCACAATAAAGTGTAACAACTAAAGAGAACCACGGATTCGGGATCAGTTAGTGTCTAAATAGTAAGGGCTCAGATCAGTGACGGGTGATGGGAGAGGAGGGAAATGAGCAGACAATCCTGTTTTACTATCTGAGCCAAACTGACACTCCAGAACAGTTCTGTGGGAACTCTGCATTGCCGGAGACCATCCTAATGTCAACACCTCAGCTCCTGGCTAAAGGTAACGATGACCCTTGGGGAAGGAGCGGGCGGGTTCTCCCAGTGTCCAGCATGGGCTTCACCTGAATTTACCTTTGCAGCTTTATATAAACGTATGTCCTCTTGTTCAACTGTCTCACAGCACATTTCCCTCCTCAGCGAAACACCCCCCCCACTCACACACACACACCCTCCCCTGCCACCTACCCCCCACATACACACACACCCTCCCCTGCCACCCACCCCCCACATACACACACACCCTCCCCTGCCACCCACCCCCCACATACACACACACCCTCCCCTGCCACCCACCCCCCACATACACACACACCCTCGCTCTGATATAAATTAAACTCAGGGTCCTGCCAGTCAGGTGAACACGGCTATAGATACCCACAGCAGCACAAACAGATCAGGAACAAGTGGGTGAGGGGAAGTGTTGGAGCCAGCAGTGGGGGGGCTGTGTTGGCTGGGGTAGGGCGTTGGAACTGCTCGTAAACATGAACGCTCTCCTTGTTGACGAGAAGCCTCCTGGCGTCCTCCAGGGCGTACAAAGCTGCTTGCGTGAAGTTCGTGTCTCCTGTGCTCAGCAGGTCAAAGAGGCAAGACTTGAAGTACAAATCCTCCACCGCAAGCTTCTCCTTGCATTTGGCTCCTGCTGTCTGTTGGGTAAACGTGCCAGGGGCGGGTCCGTCCTGCCCGCGGGGAGGCTCTGGGACCACCCAGTCCATGCGCTGGTCGGCTGGGCAGCCACGCAGACACAGCTGGAGTCCCTGCCTTTCCTCGAAGGAGTTCATGATATCCTCGGGCATGAAGACAGCAAACATCAGGTATCGGCCAACCTGCCGCACCACGATGGTGGTCCCAATGTACGTGGCCAGGATCTCCACATGCTGCCCTCTCACCCTCTCCCACACCTGCAGGCTGCTCGTCCCCGGCCCCTCCCCACCCGTCCTCGAGCCGTCCACAAATGCCGCTGGCAGGTTGTCGCTCTGCGCCTGGTAAACCTTCTCCACTGCGCAGCCCGGGAAACTCTTGAAGATCACCGTGAACTGCCGGGGAAACAGGTCCACAGTCAGCCGAGGGCGGCCACGATTCCAGAACATTCCAACCCCCAACCAACCATCCAAACAACGCCCATTCAATCCCGTCCCACACACTTGATCAGGAAGCTCTCGGATTTGATTTGTGTTGTATTAGCTGATTGTCCAGGGACCCACCTACCCCCACCTCGTGCCCACCCACCGTAATATTTACACACAATACAAGTTAACACTATTGATCCATTGTCCGAGTTAATAAAAACAAGTTCACGTTAAGAATAAAATCGGCAATTCAGTCTGTGGCTGTTTGTGGCTGCGACACAATGTGTATGAGCCGGGCACAGTCGCTCACTCGGTGCCTCCGGTTTATCAGCAAGAACCAAAGTTGATCTGTACCAACGACTTCTGGATCAGCCGTAGGGAAAAATCCCAGATTGACCCATTTGAAGGTGAAAGTACAAGTGACATTCCAGATTGATCCCAGGTCTGGGCACCAGGTGGCGCTCTTGTTTAACTTCCAACCACCATCAGGTTCCAACATGTGGGCAAATCGACTCAACCCAAGTGTCCCTGGAGCCTCTTTACTGTTACAGGTGCCTGGAATTCAGGAATAATTACACAAATTGACACAGACAAACAATAGAAAAAGAGCAGGAAATGGGGTTGGAGTAGAGAGCTCCAGTGGGGGAGTGAGCACCGGCACAGACTGGGATTATGCGGTTCCTGCATGTGCGAGACAGGCATTTCTTCCCTGTAACTCTGAGGTTTTGATACCAATCAAAGCCTTTTACAACTTCCAGCCTGACTGAGGGCAACGCAGGCCAGACATAGAGCCTGGGAGTTTCCTGACAACAGCTGGAGCCCAGCCTGTTTCCCTAAGGAGTGGTACCTGGCTGGGTGCTGTGGCGCTGGAGCCCTCGGCCACAGCCACGTTGGTGACCTGCACAAACAGGTAGTTGTTGTCGATGAGCGGCCAGGCTCCCCGCACCGAGCAGGTTTGCAGGTCATCTCCGAAGGTCCTGATGTGCGGGTCCCCGAATAGGCTGCAGTGCAGCAAGCGGGGGACGTGTGCCTGGCTCCCCCCAAACTGGCAGGTCCCAGGGGGGTCTGAACGGTTTTGGCTGTCCTGCGAGGTGGGGGGGATGCGAGGTGTGTCTCCCACCCCCACCCGGGAGCAGTTGTGTTGACTCATCAGATCCTCGACGCCGTGCACTGCAGAGTGATAGACCAGGTTCCCGCGGCAAGTCCTCGATGTGAGCCTCGTGCAGTGGGCGAATGTCTGCAGAGCAGTGCAGAACTGGCCAGACTCCTCAGCCCCCTGGAGACCAGAGGTGGCTCCCAGGAATTCAGAATTACACCTCAGTATACTACACTTACTGCTGCTCACTGAGAGAGAGAGAGAGAGAGAGAGAATGTGATTAGTTGCTGATTAATACTGACCGTTGTTTAAAGAGGCCAGAAATTACTTTTTTTTTAAATGTTTTAAGAATTTTATTGGCAAATTTCAAAATGGAAAAATACAAAAATCTATCTCATATAAACAGTAGGATGGCGAGAGAGGGTGTTTAAACAGGGTTTATTTTAATTAATTCAGAAAAATAGGAAAGAACACTGTCAGCTGTGAGGACTGGAACTATTTTATAAACAAAGATTTTACACTTTGTAAATTAGGTTCTGGCTAATTTTTATTTTATATTGAAAGTTTCAAGTCCTCAGCGACTATCCCGTATGAAGGATTATATAAGTGCAAGTTGTTGTTGTTAGTGTTAAACACCCTCCTACTCCTACCCTCCCTGCCCTCCTGATCACAACCCCCAGTTCGGGTCCAAATTCCTGCCTTTGGATGTCGTGATGACGTGAAAGGCGCTGTGTCAACATAATTTATTGTTGTTTTGTTGTTAAACAGGGCTGTGCTGTGTTAAAGGTATAAATGTGTAGGTTAGCAGTGTGAGGCGATGTAGAGTAACAACAACAACAACTTGGATTTATATAGCGCCCTCCACGCCGGATGGCGTCTCAGAGCGCTTTACAGTAACGGATCCCGGGGCCGAGCCAAGGGGAGGGGAGGAGCCGGGGGGAGGGGGAGGAAGGTGACCAAAGGCGCGGTCGAAAAGAAAGATCTTCAGCCGAGACCTGAAAATAGGAAGAGAGGGAGCGAGACGAAGGGAGTTCCAGAGCCTCGAGGTATAATAATAATAATCCTTGCATTTGATATAGCGCTTTTCACGTCGGGAGGACGTCCCAAAGCGCTTCACAGAACACACTGTAAAGTGAATTGACTGTATATTTGTGGGCGAACGCGGCAGCCAATTGCGCACAGCAATGTCCCACAAACAGTCGTAGATTGAAAATGACCAATTTATTATTGTTTTTGGAGGGATTATTTTTAGGCTCTGTGTGAAGTAAAGAAACTTGCCCGAGGTTTCGCCCTCTGCCTGGAATTGAACTCAGGTCTCTCGCTTGCAAAGCGAGTGCTCTAACCACTGAACTACAGGACTCCACAAGTGGCTGAAGGCACGGCCGCCGAGGGTGGAGCGGAGGACTCGGGGGACGAGGAGTAGGTCAGACCCAGAGGAACGAAGGTAACGGGTACTGTTTTGAGGAGAGAGGAGGTCAGAGAGGTCGGGGTGTGCAGAGGAGTGGAGGGATTTGAAGACAAGGGTGAGGATCTTCAAGTTGATCCTCTTTGGGACAGGCAGCCAGTGCAGTCTGGCCAGGACTGGGGGATCGGGGAGCGGAGTTTGGTGCAGGTAAGAATGCAGGCGGCAGAGTTTTGAATAATCCGGATTTTATGGATGGTAGTGGAAGGAAGACCAGTGAGGAGGGCATTTGAATAGTCCAGCCGAGAGGTGACAAAGACATGGATTCAGCGGCTTTCGGAGAGAGGTATTGGCGGAGACGGGCGATGAGTCAGAGGTGGAAGAAAGTGGTGATGGTGAGGGGACGGATGTGGGGGAGGAAGGATAATTGGGGGTCGAACCTGACGCTTAGGTATGGGCTCGGAGAGTTTAGGGGGAGGTCAGGTAGGTGAAGGAGGTGTCTTGTCAAATGTTCAGCTGATGGAAGTTTACGCTCATCCAGCCCCTGAGGCGTGACAGGCAGCTGACAGTACATCAGGGGACTGGGGGTCGCAAAGTGAGGTGGAAAAATAGAGTTGGGTGTCGTCCACATACATGTGTAAGTGTACCCCATGTCTGTAGATGACATCCCCAAGAGGGAGCATGTAGGTCAAAAAGAGGAGGGGGCCAAGGATGGATCCTTGGGGTACCCGCAGGTAACCGGGTGAGAGGGGGAGGAGAAGCCGTTTGTGCAGATGTACTGCTGTCAGTTTGTGAGGTAGGACCGGGCGAGTGCAGTCCCACTGAGGTGGATGACGGAGGAAAGGTGGTAGAGGAGGATGACATGATCGACTGTGTCGAACACGGCGGAGAGTCCAGGAGGACAAGGAGGCAGAGGGAGCCCTGGTCACTGATAGAGAGGATGGTGTTTGTGACTTTCACAAGCGCAGTCTCTGTACTGTGGGCGGAAACCGGACTGGAGGGGTTCGAAGAGGGAGTGGGAGGAGAGGTGATCGTGGAGTTGATTGGCAACAACACGATCTAGGACTTTTGCGAGGAAGGGCAGGTTTAGAAATAGGGCGGTAATGGCTGGGGTTTGAGGGATCTAGGGAAGGTTTTTTGAGGAGGGGGGTGATGACAGCAGTTTTGAGTGGGGCAGGGACTGATCTGGAGGAGAGGGACTGGTTGATAACGTCAGCCAGTAGTGGGCAGAGGAGGGGGAACTGTGTGACCAGCAAGTTGGTGGGGAGGGGGTCGAGGCAGCAGGTGGTGGGTTTCATGGAGGTGATGGTGGGTGAGAGGGAGAGATGGGGAGGAAGGAATGTAGGATGGGGGTCGTGGTAGGAGCAGGTGATGGAGAGGGTGAGGGGGACGGTGGGTGGGTGACAAAGAGGCAGGAGGATGAGGCTGTCTGGCGGATGTTGTGTATTTTAGATGCAAAGAAGTTCATGACCTCCTCACACTTAGCATTGGATATGAAGATTGAAGGAGGGGAGTGTGAGACTGATCGTGATTTCCTGAATAATTAACAAAATGTACATTTCCTCTCCCCCGCCCCACCCACCTCTCTCTCTCTCTCTCTCTCTGTAACTCCAATTGGCATTAAAAGGCCTGTGTTTGACCGTCCCTTTAAATGATACAATCATTTGACCGATGAATAACAGTATTCCTGGGATTTACAGTTTAACAATTCTCCGAAGGTTTAGAAAAGTATTTTAATAAATGTTTTTTAAAGAAAGAAAAACACTTTGTAAACTGATGCCTCAAAGAACAGACACCTTGTTGGAAAAGGCTTCTTTTTACTGTAAATGTAATGAGAACGTTTGTGTTTTGCTGACAGAACCCGAGTTTCCCCCCTGAGCACAACACGTAATAATAATCCTTGCCTTTGCTATAGCTCCTTTTCGCGTCTTCGAGACGACTCAAAGCACTTCACAGAGTATACTGTGAAGTGAATTAACTGTATAAATTGTGGCAAAACACGGCAGCCAATTGCACACAGCAGTGTTCCACAAGCAGTTGTGGACTGAGTGACCAAATTATTATTAGTGTTTTTTGAAGGGATTATTACTCCTGGAAAAGTGATCAGCCAACTGAATAACAACTGGGTTCCTACTTACTGCTATGTAAACTGAGGGATATGGAGTAAGGAAATTTACTCCCAACGTGTCGCTCTGCCCGGGAATCAAACTCACTGTGACACCACACACGGAATTAATTCCTTGTGGAGTTTTGCATATCCCGGATCAGCCTAAACAGCCCCAGGAACCTCACCATCAACTCCAAACCTCCCAAACAGTGTTTTAAAAGTGGGGAGGGAGAGGGGGGAGATTAGACCTGATTTTTGCAAAAAATTCTATTAACGTTTCCCAGAAGGAAAATCACTTCCCCTTCAAAACAAAAGGGAAAGAAAAAGAAAAAAAACTCACCAAGAAATGTTTTCCCAACATCACCGTCCAGTCTAAATTGGCCAAAAAAACTTTTGCCTTGAGTTGGCTAAGTTTGTTGGGGAGGAGGGGAGGGGGTAACTAACTAACCCACAGCTCTGGGGGTTTGCTGCGAAACAAACCCAAATGACATAAATTCCTGCAAAACTGTAGCGGCAAAAACAGGGAATATAACAGAGAAAAATACAGAGAAACAGTCTATAAACAACGGTCCTGAGGGTGAGAGGAGGCGCTGGAGCCCGTGTGTGTGTGTGTATGTACGTGTGTGTGTGTGCATGTGTGTGTGTGTGCATGTGTGTGTGTGTGCGTGTGTGCATGTGTGCGTGTGTGTGCATGTGTGTGTGTGTGCATGTGAGTGTGTGTGTGCATGTGTGTGTGTGTGCATGTGAGTGTGTGTGTGCATGTGTGTGTGTGCATGTGTGTGTGTGTGCATGTGTGTGTGTCTGTGCTGGAGGTGGTTTACCTGTCGGGAGGCAGAGCATCGTCCCCAGCAGCAGTCTGACCAGCGCTGCTCTCTCGCCCCCTCTCCCCATTCCCATCCATCCGCCCCGGGCCGGACCCCCCCGCGCCAACACCCCGACACCCCTCGTCCTGAGAAGCAGAAGAATAGAGAAATAAAGAGAAACAAATAGAGAGAGAGAGAGAGGATCATCTCAGACACCCTCCCGCTCAGCCTATAGCAGCACTGACTCCGCCTGTAATCAGCACAGCCACAGCTGAGCGGAGGGGACAGAGAGACTACAGTGTAGAGAGGGGGACACTGTACAGTGAGAGAGGAAAGGGTCAGAAAGAAAATACACACAGACACACAGACACAGACAGGCAGACAGACAGACAGAGAGAGAGAGACAGAAGTGACAGAGAATACACAGAGAGAAACAGTATATATAGTAGAGAGAATATATATATATATACAGAGAGAGAGTATATACAGAGAGAGTTGGAGAGAGAGAATACACAGATAGTGCGAGAGAATACACAGAGAGAGAATACAGAGAGTTTGTTTTTGGTCAGTCAGGTGTCCGGCACATGCGGAAACCCATCACATTGCTTAAGAGTCTCCAACCAAACAGAGCTCTCAATGTATCCACCGACACATGGAAATTCCCAAGATCTTTATTGGAATGGAATGCGCACTCTCTCCCTGGAGGGACACATCCTGCTTACCTAATTCCGGAGAGTATTTAGTGCAGGTGTTAATGTTTTATTGGAGGGAGGGGATGGACATATCAAATGCAGGCACTATTATTATATCATTAATGATTGGTTATTATATTAGCCTCAGGGGTAGAGGGAGAGGCAAAACAACACCAGCAGCTTCCCCGTCTAATTTCTCTCCCATTTCTGGGCTGTGAGTGAGGCAGAGACCAGCTTTGCTGGCCTCACACCTGAACTAACAGTAATGATGAAGCTTCCCTAGTGCTCAGCCCCGGCAATATCTATAATAAAGCCCTTTGAGACGTTCGTTCCCCATGTGAAAGGGTCTGTATCGCTACCAGCTGTGCCATGGTTACCGAGCGTTTGACGGTGAGTGTCATGTGGTTCGTGGGGGCAAGACCACAACTCCACTGCTTCACTGAGGAGCTGAACAGGTCATCACTGAACTACAGCGCTGAGGACATAGGAACAGGACGAGGCCATTCAGCCCTTCGAGCCTGTTCCACCATTCTATTTGATCATGGTTCATCATACAGAGAGAGAGACAGATATATACACACACATACTGAGAGACAGATATATATATAGAACCACACACACATATATAGAAAGACATACACACAGAAAGATATATATACAGAGAGAGAGATACACACACACACATGTATACAGGTACAGAGAGATACAGACAGAGTGAGAACATGAGATAAGAAGCGACTGCTAACTTAACAGCTGAGACACCTGCTGGGTTACGGTTATGAGCTGCTACTGGCTGCTGTACTCAAATATCAGTGTTTAATACCAGCCCAGCACAGCCCAGCCCAGTACAGCACAGTCCAGTACAGCCCAGTCCAGCACAGTACAGCCCAGTACAGTACAGCTCAGCACAGTCCAATACAGCACAGTCAAGCACAGTACAGCCCAGTACAGTACAGCACAGTATAAACTGAAAGCCTTACCTTATTGGCTGCATTTGTGTTCCTGACTGACTCTGTCTCTCACTCCAAATTCAAACAATCTTCTCAAATTTCTCTTATTTTATATGTATATATACAGATATGTGTATAAAGAAACAAGCTGGTTTAAAACAAGATAAAACTGGTGCTGGGTGTGACACTGAGCTGCCCGAGGCACTCTCTCTCCGCAGGACTGGGTGTGAGAGATACAGACAGTCAGAGACCAATTGCCAAGCAAAGAGCTGCCAGATATGGATTGCGGAATGCGCGTGTTAAGAGATTCATTAAAATGCAAAGGCAGGGAGCGAGGCGTCCTGGCAAGAGACAGAGTGTGTGTGTGTATTTGTGTGCGTTGGTGGGTGGAAGAGGAAAATTAGCTCAATAGCAAACTGACAGCTCCAATTAACCCCAGTCTGTCACACACAGGAGAGTTAGGCTGTCACACACACAAACCCACACACAGGGACTCCGGCAGGATACAGCTTACATCTGACCAACAGTTGCTAACAATCTGTCTTCACATAAACCAGTCTCAGCGCTTGGGGAGGGTGTGTGTTGGGGATGGGTGGAGTGGGCGCTGGGGTTGGAGGAGACAGTGATCAGGGAACTATTCACTTAACAGTGTAGCCTGTGAAGCACTTTGAGACCCCAGGAAAAGTGATCCCCCAATCGCCTAATAACCGGGTTCCTACTTATTGCTGGGTAAACAGGTGTGTGGAGTAAGGAAACTTGCCCAAAGTTTCGCCCTGCCCGAGAATTGAACCCAGGTCCTCTCACCTGTGAGGCGAGTACACTAACCACGACTAGGAGAGGCACCGTTTTGTAGGTGAATCTTGCGAGGTCCTCCATGGTTGGCTGAGACAGATGAATTTTAAGTGACTGATGTACTGGGGATTGTCGACCAGGGACACGGGGAGAGAGAGCGAGAAACTTTTCGAGCATCGTCACGGCATCTTAATCTCATTCAGACAAATCAGGATCAGGGTGGGGTCAGAGTCGGGGGCAGATTATCGTCTCGTCCGAAGGATGGCACCTCTGACAATGCGATGCTCCCCCAGCACTGGACTGGAATATCAGCCTGCAATGTCAGGAGCTGATACACACAGACATGCGCACACACACACAGACAGAGACACACACAACTCTCCCTGCTCCTCACACAAGAATGGATCCAGCCTTTTGGGAGAGGGAGAGAGTTCCAGATTCCACTCCCCTTTAGGTGAAAAAATGCCTCCTGATTTCACTACTAAACGGCCTGGCTCTAATTTTAAGATGATGCCTGTCTTTGTTCTGGATTCCCCCATCAGAGGAAATGGTTTCTCTGCAGCTACCCTATTGAATCCCTTTATCATTTTAAACACAATGAAATGGAGCGAGTGAGAGGATGGAAAGGATGTGAGATTCAGGGTTTAAATCGCAGCTGTGTGTAAACTGCCTCCATGTGCGAGAGAAATGGAGAGGAGGGGTTTGGGGGGCCTGCAGAGAATGGGTTGAATGGAAGCTGGTGGCATGGCTTTTATCAGGGCCAAGCACACAGAGGCCCAGGCGGGCAGGATATCTTTACAAGTTACGCATGTAAATGGGAAAAGACTGCTGCGCCTTGGAGTCGAGCCCGAACGAGGTCTTGGAGTTTCTTTGAGTGTTCCTCAAACGCTTTTGTTTCCAACCCATCGTGGCATTCATCAGTGTAAAGCTCCCCCTGACTGCCATTGTGTGGCCGCTGGCGAGGCTGACAGTGTTACTGTATAGAACTGGGTCGTAGCTCATTGTCAGTGAGGTGCATTGTGCTGGGGTTCACAGGAGCTGCCTTTTGTCCACAGCAAAGGAGGAGCTTTCCTCTTAGGGCTCAGCAGACAGTAGTGAACTGAGCGAGCTCAGGGTGGGGGGAGCTAGTGTTCCAAAAAACAAGAAAGAGTAAAGGAAAAGTTGCCGGTTGGGAGCAAGTCCACACATGAGGTGCTGCCTGAGCACAGATTCATTAAACAGAAGGGACCCCCCCCCCCCCCCCCCCCCCCCACCCCACAGCCCCTCAGATAAACCACAGCGATAAGCTAGAGTTCAGTGATGCGGTGGAGTGAAATGAGATGATTTATAGCCTTGTCTCATCTTCATCATGACACAAATTGCACAATTGACATTTTTTTAAATATGAAAACTATTCATTATTCTTTTTTCTCTCTCTTCAAGATAAAATTAGCTCTCAGACCCCGGGGAGACTTGCTTTCATGGTGTTGGCTTTGGGGTGGTGGGGTGGGGGGGGCAGGAATCGAGCCCGTGGTGGGGGGAGGAAGGTCTACCACAAGCGATCATTTGGTTTCTCACTCACCAGATCCCAAGTTGTAAACATGAATATTTTTCTTTCCCCAGTTCAGGTGTTTTCTCAGTGTGTTCTGTTGCTGTCGAGGCTGACTCTCCAGCACAGTGTATGGGGGCTGCATTGCTGGAGATGCCATCCTTCGGATGAGATGTGCAGAGGAGGTTAGTGTTAGCCCCTGTTGGCCGCAGTGGGGAGGTGGGGGGGGCAGTGTTTACTGCTTGTTTGTGGTCTGTGTTTTGAAAGTAAATGTGAAAAAAACACAATAAAAACCACAGCCTCTAAATACTCGCAGTAGCAATTATCTGGGGAAAGCATTGTCTGCGTGTGTGTGTGTGTGTTGGTATTATACCTGCCCAGCACACAGGGCAGCCTAGCTGTGTGGGGGTGGAGAGACAGCGTAAAACAACAACAAATTACATTTGTGTAGCACCTTTCATGTTGAGAGGATGTCACAAGGCGCAGGAGCCTGGCAAAGCCACAAAGGGCTGAAAAGCTCAATCTATGGCTGTTGTGGGACACTGCTGTGCGCAATTGGCTGCCATGTTCTGCCCACTAAATATACAATCACTACACTTTACAGTATGTTCTTTGAAGCGCTTTGAGACGTCTCAATAATGTGATAAGGCGCTATATCAAATGCAAGGATTATTATTATTATGACAGAGAGAGAAAGAGACAATATAGAAATGATAGAGACAGATAGAGTGACAGAGCGATATAGAGAGAGAGAGTTCACAACAGAGAGAGAGAGAGAGAGTAAACGATAGGAAGAGAGCGAGGCAAATGGTAATTTCCTGACAGCTGAGAATGCTACTTCGGTGGAGAGCTGAGCTGAGCCAAGGTGTGCAGCTGGGATGATATTAGCAGTGAAGCCGACCAGCGATTTGCTGCTGTAACACATGTCTCCAGTTACAGCAAGTCTGAGAGCTCAGTCCCAGGGCCTCACTGCACTCTGCAGTTCACAGCACCAACGTGATGGCATGGGTTTTAATGATATAAACTGTTATTCAAATTTCTCAATTTAAAACCACTTCCTGTGCCAACAAGTGCAAGCTTTGTGTCTGAGCGAAGCTTTCCCTAAAGCACTGCCAGAAACCAGCCTTCCTCCCTCCCTTCCCCGCACACCCTGAGCTGATTCTCGGGCACATAATACTAGTAATAATAATACTTGCATTTGATGTAGCGCCTTATCATGTCATTGAGACTCTCAAAGAACTTCACAGAATATACTGTAAAGTGTAGTGACTGTATATTTTGTGAGCAAAATGCTCACGTAACACTTTTACATGATGGACTCCATCTCACTGTCTTGCCCCGCCCCCCCCCCCTCCACCCCCATACACACCTTCCCCCCCGGTTTGTGGGTTGAAATATTTTTTGTATTAAGGTTTCTAGTTGTTTACCAGGAATTTCCTGTGAAGCAGCAAGGCTGGGAGATTCGCAGTACGGCTGTAAATAAAGGAATTTCCATCTGATTCTGGGAAACTCATCTGTAATGAGTCATTCCAGCTGCAGGAAAGCACTTGTGGAATGATGGAATGGAAGGGAGTTTCTCTCAGGGTCCTGGCCGATAATCCCCTCCCCAATCCCAGATTCATTGCTCGTCCATCTCCCGCTGTGCGTGGGGGAGGGAGTAGAGGGAACCTGTCATATTATTTGTTAAGAACGGCTCAGTTGGTAGCACTCTCGCTTCTGGGTCTAAGCCTCACATTGGGACATTGATGTCACACAGTCTAAGCCCAGGGAGATTGAGGAGTTTAGATTCGCAGCAGTGAAGACGTTCACGGGAGCCAAGGAGTATGGCTTCTGTCTTGTCCATATTCAGCTGCAGGAAGTTTATACTCATCCAGGCCCTGATGTCTACCAGACGAGCTGATAGAACATCGGAGGACCTGGAATTGGTACTGGAGGCAAAGTAGATTTTTGTGTCATCCGCAAACATGTGGAAGTTTATCCGTGCCTGCGGGTGACCTTGCCCAGAGAGAGCATATAGATAGGGAAAAGAAAAGAAGAGGCCAAGGATGGAGCCCTGGGGTACCCCGTAGGTGACAGGGAGGGGAGTGGGGTGGTGGGAGGAGAAACCATTTGCTGAGATGTAATGGAGGCATTTGGGTAAGTGGACTCGACCTGTGCGGGTGCGGTCCCACTAAGGTGGATGAGAGAGGACAGCCGATGGAGGAGGATGGAGTGGTCGACTGTGTGGAACGTGGCAGAGAGATCCAGGAGCACGAGGAGGCAGAGGGAGCCCTGGTCACAGATAGAGAGAATGCTGATTGTGACTTTGACAAGTGCTGTCTCTGTGCTGTGGGCAGTCAGGGCAACAACCAGACAGCAGGGGCTCGAGGAGGGAGTGGAGGGAGAGGTGTGACCGAAGTTGTCCTGCAACAATGCGTTCCAGGACTTTTGCAAAGAAGGGCAGGCTGGAGATGGGATGGTAGTGTGAGAGATTAGAGGAATCGAGGGTGAGTTTTTTGAGGAGGGGTGTGATGCTGTTGGAGGATGAGAGACCAGGACTGACTGGGAGTGGCTGAGTGAGCACGTGTGAGGACAGACGATCAGAGATCAGGGAGGTTTACGAGGGGATTGGACACTCGGAGCCTCTCGGCACGGCCCACCACGACACCATAGCTTGGTTGAGAACAACAACTTGCAATGATACAGTGGCCTTCACGCATGGCAGCGGGTTGCGAGCATCAGGGGAAAGCGTGTCAGCGCAGAGATTCCAGCTAGGGCTGAGCACCACCTGGGAGAAAACTAACAGTGTTTCTGTAACACAAGAGGCTGAGCGATGAGTGAGCCTCTTTTATCTCCTGGCAGAGAGTGCTGTGCTGACAGGCAGACAGACAGGCAGACAGACATGCAAACCGGCAGGTGTGCGGGAAACTGCTCTAAGGTGTGGGACGTCCCTAACCCAGCCCTGCCATAAATTCACCCTCTCCTCACTCGGAGCCGTGAGGGGGCAATGTTCTTCAGTGCAGTCCTGTAGCTCAGTGGTTAGAGCACTCGCCTCGCAAGCGAGAGGACCTGGGTTCGATTCCCAGGCAGGGTGAAATATTAGGTAAGTTTCCTTACTCCGCACGCCTCCGTTTAACTAGCAGTACATCGAAACCCGGCTGTTAGTCGAATGGCGGATCGCTTTCCTGGAGTAATAATCCCACCAATGTGGTCACTCAGTCCTGTTTGTCTGACTGTTTATGGGACATTGCTCTGAGCAATTGGCTGCCGCGTTTCGCCCACAAAATATACAGTCAATTGACTTCACAGTATATTGTGTGAAGCGCTTTGAGACATCTCAACATCGTGATAAGTCTCTATATCAAATGCAAGGATTTTAGTTATTGTTATCATATTCACAGAGCAGTGAGGGAGCGTGCTGTGTCTGTGTGTTACAGTAAAGTCTGTGTAAAGTGTGAACAATGTGAAGCTTACAGTTATTGTACCTTAAACACAACAGACACCTCACGTCTCCAGCCCATTTTATAATCCTGGTTCAATATAAACATCACCTCATCTCCTCTCATTTCCTAGCTTTCCCCCAGACATCAGCTCTGAACACAATGTTAATTGCCTCCTTCCCCCGAGAGCACGTAGATTATTAAAGAGGTTAATGGCATTTTAATGTGAGGGAAACAGTAAATAATTAGCATTTCCTTCTGCTCTGTTTGCAGTTTTGGGGTCTCTGACTGAGGAGAGAACACATGGTTTTGACAGTGTATCGAGGAGAATAGTGCGGAGAGACATCATTTAATGGCGTTGGGGCATTTCAACCAGGACAACGGGAAAATCTCTTCTGTCTTTCACAGCGGCAGGAAAATCTTTTAATATCTCACTGAACAGGGACAGACGGGGTTTAACATTCGGTTTAACTGGAGGACGGCGTCTCCACGCTCCCCCAGCACCACACTGGAGCATCAGCCTACATTATGTGAGTTCAAAGTCCCTGAAGTGGGGCTTGATCCCACAACCTTCTGACTCAGAGGTGAGAGCATGAGCGACTGACCCATAGGCTGAATCCGAATCTGAGATTCCTCAGCTTGGGGGGGGTGGGGGGAGGAAGGGGGAAACCACTCAGTGAGTCTTTTCAGCCTGTGTGTGTGTGTCTGTGTGTGGGTCTGTGTGTGTATGTCTATGTGTGTATGCGTGTACAGTTGGGAGTGGTGGGGAGATTTACGGTCAGGGTGATGGAAATAGATTGCGCTGCTATTTAAACACACCAGCGCTGTTTATATTTAAAGAGCGGCTTGAGGGGCGCCTGGCACACAGTGCAGCGTGAAGGAACTTCCAAATAATCAAGTACATGTTGAAAACACAGCCCCCACCCAGCCACTCACTTTCTCTCCCCTCTTTCCCCACAAAATATACAGTTGATTCACTTTACAGCGTATTCTGTGAAGCGCTTTGTGACGTTTCAATAACGTGATAAGGCGCTATATCAAATGCAAGTATTATTATTATTTATTATTACCCCGCCCCCCCGGCTTGCTCTAACACTGGGTGGGTTTCTGCCCCTGATGCGGTCATGAAGGCAGATCTTCGAGGCTAAAAACAGCAGCTCTCGACACGGCCACCAACACACAACAGGTGGCCTGAGTCTCTGCAACAGCTGTTCACAGGAGATTACAGCACCCCCACCACCCCCCCACACACACACACACGCTTGTTCACACACACATTGGCTCACACACTCACTTGTTCACACACACACTCACACGTACACACGCTCACACACACACACACACACACTCCAGGACACCTTGTGAAATTCCCTCTTTTCCAGCGATGCTGTGAGCTCAGCCACCAGCCCTTCCCCCACTCCCCAGGGGGCTTTTACACTCCATCTTCTCCCCCTCCAAAGCTGAGAGCCAGGCTGTCACCCCCATTTTACTGCTCACCCCATATCAGCCTCCCCTCCCGCCCCCACCGGCGCTGACGACGAGCAGCAGCTTCTCCACAACAGAGAAAGAGAGAGCGAGACTTGCTCACCTTCCCCACATTCTGTCAATAACAGTCCAGGATAGAGAGAGAAAAAATAGCTGCTGAATGAGTCACCTCCCAATACCTCGGTTGCCCTCCACCCCAGGCAGACAGCTCAGCACTCCCAGCACCCCCCTGTGGCCTCTGCACCTCCCCACCCCAGCCCGACCGTCCCCCCCAGCCCGACCGTCCCCCCCAGCCCGACCGTCCCCCCCCAGCCCGACCGTCCCCCCCAGCCCGACCGTCCCCCCCCAGCCCGACCGTCCCCCCCCAGCCCGACCGTCCCCCCCAGCCCGACCGTCCCCCCCCAGCCCGACCGTCCCACCCCAGCCCGACCGTCCCCCCATCACAGTATCCAGCTGTGTTTTTTAAACCTCCCAGAGTCCCGGCCTAATCCCACCCTTCCTGGTTAGCCCTATTTCCAGTCGTTAATCATCCTCAGGGTAAAGAAAACCTTCCTGGTGTCTGTCCTGAAATTTAAGACTCCAAGTCCAGTTGGGCGAGAATGGGGAGGAGGGAGAAGTGAGGGGGAAGCCAGGAGAAAAGGCGTGGGAGGGTAGAGGGGGGGCTCAGAGCTGAGGAGAGCACACAATGGCCCTGGGAATGTGAGTCGAGTTCATCACATGGCCGCAGCTCTCCTCAGTGAAGCTTTTGTCAAATATAGTCATGTTATTACTGTAGCCCAGCACTCACTGAGCTCTATCACTGCCAAGAAAGGTTTAACATTTCACAGCAGCTTTTTTTTACAGACTCCTTAATCATGTGTGACAGCAACATACCTCCACACGCACACCCTCACCCTCAAGGAAACTGGCATGTAGCTTATTCCAGAATATTCCAATCACCGTCAGTTCCAGATCGCAAATCAGAGTGGGCATGGGGTCGGGCATGGTGGGGGGGTCAGGGACATTGCCCCCAGGGTGCAGGAGTTCAGCGTTCTCGCAAGCTTGTGACACAGTGATGATGGAACTGGATACCACAAGCCCCTCATAGCAAAGGGTGAAATTCTAAATATAGCAAAACCTTGCGTTACGGCCAACACCCAGAACATCAAAAGCTCACAGCATTCAACACATAGAAATCTACAGCACAGAAGGAGGCCATTCAGGCCATCGAATCCGCACCGGCTCACACAGCCAGGAAATCACTTCAATCCCACCACCCGCCTGATCTCCACACAACTTCAAGCCCCTCTCGCTCATATAATAATAAATAATAATCCTTGCATTTGATATAGCGCTTTTCACGTCTCCTCGACATCTCAAAGCGCTTCACAGGATATGCTGTAAAGTGAATTGACTGTATATTTGTGGGCAAACGCTGCAGCCAATTGCGCACAGCAATGTCCCACAAACAGTCATGGATTGAAAATGACCAATTTATTATTGTTTTGTTTTGGAGGATTATTATTAGGCTCTGTGTGGAGTAAGGAAACTTGCCCAAGGTTTCGCCCTGACTGACCCCCGGGGATTGAACTCAGGTCTCTCACTTGCAAAGCGAGTGCTCTAACACTGAGCTACAGGACTCCATATGCCTGTCCAGGTCCCTCCCGAAAGCTCCCCTCCTCCCCCAAACCCTCGCGGGCAGACTGGAACAGAGTTGTGTTTTTGTGGGGAGTAAAGTGGGAGAGAACAATCAGGTTGGGAGTGAAAGTTGCCAATGAGAGAGCGGGAGCCAGAGCTTCCCACTGATGCGATTTGTAGAGGAAATGGCAGTGATTATTCCAGCAAAGAAGCTGCTTTCACACAAACCACAATAGCTGAGTTGCAACTTTCCCTGATCCTGCGGAGGCTGTGGCTCTGACACACAATGACAGACAGAAGCCCAGAGACAAAAGAGCCGGAATATTCCAACTGAGACCCGGACACTCATTGCACTTCAATAGTGACTGGGCTAATTACAGCAGCTCAATGCGAGAGATTGAGACAGAGCGACTCGGAGACCAAAAGAGAGAGTGAGCAAGAGACAGTGAGAGGGAGAGACGTCTCAAAGTACTTTGCAGAATACACTGTAAAGCGCAAGGATTATTATATTATTATTTACAAAGGGAGTGGGGGGTTAAACAGGAACAGAGAGACCACATGGCCACAGCGAGTTGTTGGGATCTGGAATGCATCGCCTGAAAGGCCGGTGGAAACCGATTCGATAACAACTTTTAAGAGAGAAGTAGATAATTATTTGGGGAGGACAAGTTTGCAAAGCTATGGGGAGAGAGCGGGGGAGTGGGATTGATTTGGAAGTTCTTTTCATAGAGCCGACACAGACCCGATGGGCCGAATGGCCTCCTTCTGTACTGTATAGTCCTGTAGCTGGAGTCCTGTAGCTCAGTGGTTAGAGCACTCGCTTTGCAAGCGAGAGACCTGAGTTCAATTCCAGGCAGAGGGCGAAACCTTGGGCAAGTTTCTTACTCCACACAGAGCCTAATAATAATCCTCCAAAACCAACAACAATAATAAATTGGTCATTTTCAATCTACGACTGTTTGTGGGACATTGCTGTGCGCAATTGGCTGCCGCGTTCGCCCACAAATATACAGTCAATTCACTTTACAGTGTGTTCCGTGAAGCGCTTTGGGACGTCCTCCCGACGTGAACAGCGCTATATCAAATGCAAGGATTATTATTATTATTATAACTCTATGACTCAGACCCTGTGATAACTGGTGCTGTGTGAGCTGGAGACCCACATGGTGCCACACTGCCCTCTGGTGGGCGGCGTTGGCTATTGCAGCTCAATGTGCACCAAAATTTGTTGCTTTTGAGATTTCTCCCTTTTGAGATCTCTCCTCTCCCAGAACCTCAGAGATCCTCACTGGATCTTCAATCAGTCATCAAAGGTTTCTCTTTAATAGTACATTTTTGTAACACTTTACGGTAACTATGTTCTAGTGTAGTGACTGTTTTTGTGAGCAGGGACAATACCGTCCCTCAGAAAGCTCTCCAGGACAGTTATATTGGGCACTACAGAGATGCAAGTTCTTGTTGTTGACTTTTTTTTGGAGGAATTATTACCACTGGAAAGCGATCCACCAATCAACTAACAAGCAGGTTCCTACTGCTTGGTAGAGGTGGGCGGAAATCTGAAAGGAAATCTGTCCAAGATTTCACCCTGCCCAGGATCAAACCCTGGTTCCCTACTGCAGGAACTACGGGACTCCATAGTGCAGTGGTTAGTCTCTTGATGAATTGACGTGACTGTCTCTGAACAATGCCCTGTAGGATGGTCTGGGATCAGGTGTTGGGATCAGGTGCTGGGAAAGCAGCCTGAGGGACATCGTAGGCAACACCAGCGCAGCAATATCAGAGGGTTGAGACTACACCCTCAGCTCATGTGACACCTTCACTCTGTCACTCAGGCTGTTCAAAATGGACAAGGGGGAGGGCGAGGAGACCAGCCCTCCGCATTCCCACACTGAGCTCCGCGATCACTTACAAATACACAGTCACTACACAGTGTAATCTTTGAGATGTGAAAGGCAATGTATCAAATGTCAGGATGGTTATTATTCCCCACAGTTTCCCTCCACACTGATGCAACTGTATCCGAGGCTGTTTTCAGTGGGTATTAAGGTGATCCGTCGGAAGAGAGGAGAATGAGGGGCGAGAGAGGGAGAGGAGAGGGGGAGAGAGATAGAGAAGAGAGAGTGGGGCAGAAGGAGAGCAGAGACAGTTTTTAGGCTTTTGTCAAAATAACCAAGTTGCAAGGCTGCCCTCGTGTCGTCACTCTCCAGTACTGCAGGTCTTATCCGTGCTTTAATATTTCCACTGATTCAATAACAACAAATAACACGTGCAGATTAGCTTTAAATTGTCCCTTTGTTGCCCCCCTTCCTCTCCCCCACCCAGTCCCGCTCTGAGAAAAGACACAGCGATGTCAGAGTTACTCGAAAAATATCCATATATGAAATACATAATGGGGAGGGGAGATTAATTTAATAATAATCCTTGTATTTGATATAGCACTTTTCACGCCTTCTTGACCGCTCAAAGCGCTTCATAGAATATAGTGTAAAGTGAATTGACTGTATATTTGTGGGCAAAACGGGGCAGCCAATTGCACACAGTCATTGATTGAAAATGACCAATTTATTATTTTTTTTCTTGAGGGATTATTATCAGGTGTGTGGAGTAAGGAAACTTGCCCAAGGTTTCACCCCCTGCCGGGAATCAAACCCAGGTTTCTCGCTTGTGAGGCGAGTGCTCTAACCACTGAGCCACAGGCCTCCACAATATATTGTGAGATGTAGTGACTATTTTGTAGGTGAACATAACCAATTTGCACACACTAACGTCCTGCAAACAGCTATGAAGTGAACAACCAATTTTATTTCGGAGATTGTTAGCGAGGATCCTGGCAGAGAGAAATTCCCTTCTGTTGTTGAGTAGTGCTTTGTCAGCCTCTGTTCATGGACACAAATTGCCAAAGCCTCTTTGCTGCGATTCACAGAATTGCCGATGGCACTTTTCCCCCCTAAGACAGAGTGTGGCTAATTCAGCCAAACATGAAGCAACCAGTGAAGACATCTAGCAATTCATCTGGAAGAGTTGGATCACGGTTCAATGGGCTTCCATTTCTAACATGTATAGTCTGGGTATAAATGACTGTGTCCCAGCACAGCACATTGAGGTGTGACTGGAATCATACACTATGTGCTCCAGCAGTAATGTTTAGGCAAACAGATGTGAGGCGAGTGAGCAGTCTTATCTGGGAGATTGCCGTCCAGGACACAGAGAGAGACATCGGTTTTACCAGCTACCAGGCAGAGCTGGGCCGGTCAGAAAGTGGTACAAGCAAACGGGATGATGTGCGAGTGTCAGTGTGGAATAAAGGTACAGCCGTGTGGATTTTTTGTGATAAATATATTAGTTTATGAGAAATTCAGAATTAATAAAAAGATGTTTGATTCAATCTTTTTTTTAGTTACAAATTACAGCAGCACGGAACTAGCAGAGGTAGTTAGAGATATCAGCTTCCTAATTTAGGATACAACTAGTAGCAAGTCACCCATAACATAACACTCGGGAAATCGCTTTGACATGTTAACCTCTCTCTTTCACTTATCTGAGATTTAAAGTGCTCTGAGACTCCACACGTGCGATGGGCACTATATAAATACAAGTTGTTGTTGTTGTTGTGAATAACATCCTGCACCAATTGCACATCAGCACCAACAGTAGCACTGATGTTTTACTACTAACACAGGATGTTTAATGTTTGACAGAATGTCTACCAGAGGCAGACGACACCTGGGAAGAGAGCACATCGAGAGGCCCGGAGGAGGAAAAAAAAGATAAATTCAAAAAAATGCTTGCATGTGATCGCAACTTATCACATCGTCGCGACGTCTCACTGCGCTTCCCTGGATACACTGTGACTGTGTGATTTGCAGGTGAACAACGGGATCAGCACCTTGATTTCATCACTCATTCAAAAAGAAAAGGGGGATAATCCCTAATAAATAACTAGCACCCAACGCAGCTGCTGGTCACCTCAACACCACTCAGCCAGAGTTCATGATCAGTGCAGTGATGCTGTTTCAGAGACGAGCAGTGCGTGTGGTCAAGGTAAGCAGCTCCCGACATGTGAGATTACACCACCACAATATTTGTTTTGTGCCAGTGGCACAGCACGGCACGTCCACTCACTGTGTCACACGGCCTGATTCTCCATGTGTCTGGGATTTGCCATGGGAGGTCAGACCACCGATGATGGGAGAGGGGGAAGAGATGGGCGGGGAGGAGAGGAGGGGGTGGAGGAGAGGGAGGGAGGTTCAGTCACCAGCGAGTCTGAGATTTGTTCTGAATTAAACCAATAGGCCCTGAGTTGGAGACGTGAAATTCTACCTTTTCCACATTCTGGGCGATATCAATAATACTACTTGCATTTGATACAGCGCCTTATCACGTTGTTAAAACGTCTCAAAGATTTCACAGAATACACTGTAAAGTGAATTAACTGTATTTTGTGAGTGACACGCAGCAGCCAAACAGTCGTGGATTGAACGGCCAAATTATTATTATCATTTTTTTGAAGGGTTTATTACTCCTGGAAAGCAATCCGCCAATCGACTAACAACTGGGTTCCTACTTACTGGTAGGTAAAGAGACATGTGGAATAAGGAAACTTTCCTAAGGTTTCATCCTATCCGGGAATCGAACCCAAGTCCTCTGGTAAGTGCTCTTAAGCACTGAGCTACAGGTCTTCACACATCTCACATGTGGAGTCCTGTAGCTCAGTGGTTAGAGCACTCGCTTTGCAAGTGAGAGACCTGAGTTCAATTCCAGGCAGAGGGCGAAACCTTGGGCAAGTTTCCTTACTCCACACAGAGCCTAAAAATAATCCCTCCAAAACCAAAAACAATAATAAATTGGTCATTTTCAATCCACGACTGTTTGTGGGACATTGCTGTGCGCAATTGGCTGCCGCGTTCGCCCATAAGTATAGTCAATTCACTTTATAGTCTATTCTGTGAAGCGCTTTGAGATGTCGAGAAGACGTGAAAAGTGTTATATCAAATGCAAGGATTATTATTATTATATACGAGGAGAATTGTGCCCCAGGCTGAGACTGTGTGTTGTGGTGGAATTCCAGACCTGAGCTATGCTGTGGGTCTGGCTCAGGGCTGGAGCCTGAGCGGGGGGTGTGTGAGAGTGAGGAGGGAGAGGAGGGAGGAGAGGAGGCCACACAGTGCCCCCAGCCCCGTGCTGCTCCTGTAGACGTCCAGCTTATCAAGGGGCAGTGGCAGGTCACACAGGTTCTTGGTCAGGTCCAGGAGGAGTGGTGGGTTGTCCCGAAGTCCTCGATACAGCAACGTCACCAGCTCCTGCACCCTGTCCACAGGCTGTGCCCAGGTGGGGGCTGTGGACAGCGGGAGCTGGGGACTGGGGCCCTCCTTGCCCGCTTGCCGCAGCAGGCAAACCAGCTGGTACAGGTCTCGGCTCAGGCTGAGGCCCAGTGACAGCAGGTACCAGCGGGAGCTACACCGGCTCCAGGCCTCTCGGTCCAGCCCAGCGCCCACACTGCACAGCCACACCACATTGTCACACAGGTAGGATACAGCCCGGCTCAGCTGCACCCCCGTCAGGCACAGCCGCAGCACAGGGTCCCTCAGCACAGCACTCCGCCGGGCAGCCTGCACCGCATCCACACTGCTCCCCAACCGCAGCACTGTGTGTGAGAAAGAGAGAGAGACTGAGAGTGAGACCGAGAGAAAGACTGATAGCACGAGTGTGAGAGCGAGAGTGACTGAGAGAGACTGAGACAGAGGATCAATCACTCTGCACATGGCGCGGACCGGGGAACACACATGGCTCAGTGTGGCCCAGCTGACACCTGAACGACACCCTGAACGGGTAGACGAGGGCTCGGTTTTAAAGTCTCCCCCAAGTCTGACAACGTGACTTTATACTCACGCTTGCGTCCTGCACTCATGTTAGCCTCCAGCTGTTGGAGTTTTATGGACAGCTCCTTGCCGCTGCCCTGCTTTGGGATTAGATAGTGAAGCAAAGCACATGCGTACTGAGTGGTTCTGAAAGAGAGAAGGGGCGACGTGGGTGACAGGCAGCGGTGCAGCCAAAAGCACAAGCACTGGGTTAACGCGGTTTGGTTTGAGTCCACTCGACAAGCCAGGTTCCTCCCATCTGTATTCATACTGATCCCCCATGGCCTTTGATGTCTGGGGTACGTACGTGTGTGTGTGTGTTCATGTATACGCGAGACGCTAACTGTGTGGAGGGTTCCTGGAGCCCTGTTCAGGAAGACGTAAGAGATCCCGAGGTGCTTTTTAAAAAGAGGAGGGAGTTTGTCTCCCCCGGTGTCCTGGCCAACCGTAGGCCAGAGAAAAATCAGTCATTCACTTCACGGCTGTTTTCGGGACACTGTTGTGCGCAAATTGGTTTGTACACAAAACAATATATAATGTGGAGGACTTTGTGGAGGACTTTGGGATGTTGTTCCGATGCGAAAGCCGCTGCTAATATACCAAATGTAAGGATGATTATAACTATTGTTTGCTCATCCCCAAGCTCCCACTGCCCTCCTGCTTGGACAGCGTGTGACACACAGTGCGTGAGCGAGGCTCACTGAACGCCCCCTCCCCTCCACGTTTGATGTTACTGTGTTAAACACGTCGCAGGTCTGTGATGAAATGTCTGGAAAAGTGGGAAACAAATATTGCGGAAGCGATCTGAAAAAAAATATTAAAGGTGCAGCAGCCATCACTCGGCCTGCGGCAGGGAAACACAGAGCAATTGTGCAGCGCAGCCCCTCCATCTCTCCCCACTCCCTCACTCTCCCCACCCCACTCCCTCGTCTCCCCCCTCACTCCCTCACTCCTCCCCCGTCCCCTCCTCCCCACTCTCACCAATCCCCACTTCTCTCCCCCCCCAACTCTCTCTTCCCCCCCCCCACTCTCTCTCCCCCCCACTCTCTCTCTCCCCCCCACTCTCTCTCTCCCCTCTCCACTCCTTCTCTCCCCCCACTCTCTCTTTCTCCCCCACTCTCTCTTTCTCCCCCCACTCCCTCTCTCGCTCTCTCTCCCCACTCTCTCTTTCTCTCTCTCCCCCTCCCCGCCCCCACTCTCCCTCTCCCCCCCACCCCACTCCTCTCTCCCCCCGCCCCCACCCACCCACTCTCTCCTCCCCCCTACACTCTCCCCGCGCCCCCACACTTCACGGGCGACCAGAGGAAACACAGTGGAGACATGGGGGGGGGGGGGAGCACCCACACACACTGCAAAACAGGCTTACAGTGAGTGCAATGACCCCAGACCAGTACCGATTGCTGTGTGGTGATGTTTCCGCTGCGAGACTTTGCTGGGACCTCACCTGAAGATCCTGTCCCTCCCCCGGCTGAGGGAGATGAGGTTGATCAGTGGTTCCATGGGGGGGAGTCGGGCTGTACGCAGCACAGCGCTGGGAAAGCAAACTTTGAACCCAGAGGGAATTGGCGAGATGTCAAGCCCAGCCCATCCGCAGAGAGGACCTCCCACTCGGGCCGCCTCGCCCCCACACAGGGGACAGCAGGCAGACACATCACTGCCGAGAGCAAAGGGTGAATGAGCAGCAGACGGAGAACAGAGTTGTTGGTTAATTTAACGGTTAACTCTCCGTCGACGCCAACCACACTGACCCCCCCTCCCACCCCCCACCCCCTCCCGCAACCACCCCCCTCAAAACCATCATTTATTTATGGCGTGTACGAACAGTAAATAATCTGCACACAGCAATGCCCCCACAAACAGCCATGAGGTCGGTGTCCCACCTTATCTTCCCGAGGAGTCCGGTGGGATCTCTCCCGTCGCCGCCCGTGGGGTTTAACGGCTCATCTGAACGACGGCGTCTCCGACACTGACCCCCCCCCAGCGCTGCGCTGCACTGCGGGGTCAGTCCCCGAGGCGGGGCTCGAGGCCACAACCTCCTGACACAGATATGTCATTGTCAGTGACTTAGTTACCGAGTGAGTTGGATGATGCGTCAGTAAGTTAAGTTAGTTGAGCGAGCGAGCGAGCGGGTTCGTGGACGCAGTGAGCTCGTGAATCGGTGAGTCAGTGAACGAGTCGGTAAAGCAGACCAGTGAGTTCGTGAATTAGGCAGTGGTTTTGCGATTAGTTACTGGTTTAGTGATTAACTAGTCATTAGTAAGTTAGTGATTAATTAGTGATTATTCAGACAGGTAGTTGGTGAATTAGTAATCAGTTGGTGAGCTGGTCAGTGATTTAGTGATTGGTTAGTGATTATTCAGTGAGTTAGTGATCTCTAGTAATTAGTTAATTATCAGTTAGTGAGTCAGTCAGTGATTAGTTTGTGATTATTCTGTTAGTCAGTGAGTTAGTGACCAGTGAATGGTTAGTTGGTGAGTTAGTGACCAGTGAATGGTTAGTTGGTGAGTTAGTGACCAGTGAATGGTTAGTTGGTGAGTTAGTGATTTAGTGAAGCGGCTTAATTTGACTTCCGGTGTCGTCTCCAAGCAACAGCGACGCCAACACAGACACCGTGACAGTGAGCGGCTGTGAGTGTGAGTGCAGCCGAGAGGGGGTGTACCGGGGGGGGGGGTATAGCGGGGGGGGGGGGGTAGCCGGGGGGGGGTACCCGGGGGGGGTGTAGCCGGGGGGGGGTACCCGGGGGGGGGTATAGCGGGGGGTGTGTAGCCGGTGGGGGGGGCGGGTGTAGCCGGGGGGTGTAGCCGGTGGGGGGGGGGGGTGTACCGGGGGGGGTGTAGCCGGTGGGGGGGGTACCCGGGGGGGGTACCCGGGGGGGGTACCCGGGGGTGATGGCGATCTATGTACCCGCCAACGCGCTGGAGGTGCCCGCGGCCTCGGAACACGGTTGGAGCGATGATGAGGAGGAGCGGGAGGAGCGCTACTTCCTGCGGGACCCCGACCAGACCAGCGATCCGCTGCCGCAGCCCTACAGGATGTTGGACAAAATGGTCACCGCCGTCACTGACCGCGCCTGGGACCTGATCCTCCGGCACCAGGAGCAGCGCGAGGCCGACAGACTCAACGCCCTGATTCCCCATTACCTGTCCTCTGAGGAGGTGCAGGTGAGTGTTGCTGTCACCCCCTCCCACTCCGCCCACTCCACTCCCCCCTCCCAACTCCCCCTCCCCACTCCCCCTCCCCCCCACTCCCAACCCCACTCCCCCCCCTCCACTCCCCCCCACTCCCACCCCCCCACTCCCTCCCCCCCACTCCCAACCCCACTCCCCCCCCCTCCCCCCCAACTCCCAACCCCCACTCCTCTTCCCCCCCTACTCCCCACTCCCAACTCCCCCTCCAACCCCCACTCCCAACTCCCCCTCCCAACCCCACTCCCCCCCCTCCACTCCCCCCCAACTCCCAACCCCACTCCTCTTCCCCCCCACTCCCCACTCCCACTCCCCCTCCCAACCCCACTCCCCCCTCCACTCCCCCCAACTCCCAACCCCACTCCCAACCCCACTCCCCCCTCCACTCCCCCCCCAACTCCCAACCCCCACTCCTCTTCCCCCCCTACTCCCCCTCCCAACCCCCACTCCCCTCCCAACCCCCACTCCCACTCCCAACCCCCACTCCCCCCCTCCACTCCCCCCTCCCAACCCCCCTCCCAACCCCACTCCCCCCTCCATTCCCCACTCCCCCCTCCATTCCCCACTCTCCCCTCCACTATTCCCCTCCAGTCCCACCCCCACTCCCCACCCACTCATCCCCCCACCCACTCCCACACAACAACAACAACTTGCAGTTATATAGTGCGCTTCGCACAGGGCAGAGCCCCCGAGTGCTTGACAAGACCCTGAGAGAGAAGCTCCTCTCCCTTCCCACCTTGTGGTTCGAGTGGTGCCGCGGGATCTTTAACCCCCACCCGAACCGACGTGGACGGGAGCTCAGGTTGGGCTCTCGACGGACCGACTCGACCGCCCCCCCACCCCCCCAAGCCCCACCCCACCCCCCCACTTGTGGCCCAGGACCTGATCTCTGTCTCAGTTCCCCAGCACCATAAACTGCCTGACCGACTCGGAGGATGAGAGGTACATGTTCGCGGGGCTGGCGGACGGCCTGGGGGCGCTGAGCACGGAGAGCAGCGAGGTCATCGCTGTCTGGGTGGAGCAAGGAGTGGAGATCGTTTCACTGCAGGCAATACAGAGTGGCAGTATCTACCTACTGGCCACCAACGATAACATGGGTATTTAATAATAATAATAATACGTGTATTTGACATACAACAACTTCACACGGGGCTGTGTCTCAGAGCGCTTGACATAGCACCTTATCGCATCGTTGAGATGTCTGGATGCGTTTCACAGAATATACCGTAAAGTAAGTTGACTGCGTAATTTTTGGGGGCGAAATGCGCGCAGCAGTGAACCACAACCGGTCGTGGATTGAGTGGCCAAATTATTATTATTATTTATTATTTGTCGGCGCTTCTCTGCTGCCTGCGGGCAGCGAGAGCCACCGGCTGCGGTTTCCTTAGCACCGTGCGTGACTGGAGGGCATGACGTCTCATAGTGCTTTGGGAATGTGTGAGTGCAGTGTGGACTTTGACTCTTATTAAAACTCATTGTTTTATAGACCTCGATCAGGGACCACCCCCCCCAGCCGAACCCTCTCGGTTCCAGTGATAGTCATCACATTCCCGGCCATCTCCAGGCGACCCCGAGTCCTTTAAAACATGATTTAGGAAAGGAAGAAGACGATGTGAGTCTTCCTCTGTAATCCACTTGTTTTTGTCTTTCAGGTGTTGCTCGGCTGTTCATATTTTATATCAATAATTTCTTTTTGGTGAAAGCAATGAACGCAACTGTGAGTACACAGGTTAATGGGGTATTATTAGTAATAATAATACTTGCATTTGATATAGTGCTTTTCGCGTCTTCTCGACGTCTCAAAGCGTTTCACAGAATAGACTGTAAAGTGAATTGGCTGTATATTTGTGGGCGAAATATACAATCAATTCACTTTACAGTATTTTTTTGTATATATATTTTGTATTGTTTTCCTGTCTGTGTTCTTGGTTCCGTTTCTGGGACTTTTCCTTCTTACAAAGAGTGAGATTTCACATTAGTCCCTAGACTGACATTTTCCTGTTATAAGCAGCGCCAGGAATTTCAGTCTTTTATTGGAGCAGGTATTTGGCCATCAGCAGCTTCCCACAAACCCATGAAGTGAATGAGTGATTTTTGTCTGGGGGATTATCAGCGATTGTCAGTCCGGACACCAGGAGAGAGACACTTCCTTCTCTTTTCAAATAGCGCCACGGGATCTTTAACATCCACCTGAAAAGGCACAGATGGGACCTAGGTTTAGCATCTCATCGGAAGAACAAAACTTCTGACTATGCAGGACTCCCCTCCGCCCTGTGCTGGAGTGTCAACCAAAACTGTGTGAGTTCAAAGTTCCTGCCCCTCAACCATTCAGAGGCAAGTGTTAGTGACTGAGCCAGGCTGGGAATTTAAGTAAATCTCTGTGGGATTCAAGAGTTAAGGGTCTTTTTTTTTAACCCATTTCTGCATCTTTCAGTCAACGTCCCATTTCCATGAAAAAAACACCAGTTTGTCATTGATTGATTTTAGGATGATCCGATCAAAAGGAACATTTGCATTAAGTTTCAGTTGTCGACCGGTGGCGAATTCGCTGGCATCAGTCTTGAAGGTAATGTTCTCACCGCAATTCAGCTTGAGACAGCGAGGCTGGGACAGTGCATCTCCGACAATACAGCGTGGCGGGGGAGGGGAAAAGGTGCCCGAGTCCCAACCCCCTAACCTCAGCCAACCTTCCTGGTGCCCCTGTTCCAGTGGGTAAAGCCCCTCTGGGTAAGCTTTCCATAGTGTTGGGGGCGGACGGTTGTGGGTGATGTGTACGGAGCTCAGTGTGTTTCTTGTGTTCTTGTGCAGATAAAGAGGATTGTTATCTGGAAATCTATCGGCTAATGAAAGATGCCTGGTTAATTGACCTGGACCAGAACTCATCAGCTACCCAGAAACACTTGACATTGAAAGAGCCTCTTGTGGTGCGCCCAGCCATCTTTTCCTCTTTAATACAATAATCCTTGTATTTGATGTAGCGCCTTATCACATTGTTGAGAAGTCTCAAAGTGCTTCATGGGATTTATATTGTAAGGTGAATTTGTACATTTTGTGGGTGAAAAATGGCAGCCAATGCCACAAACAGTCATGCATTGAATGCCCAAATTACTATTTTTATTTATTTATTGAAGGGATTATTACCCCCGGAAAGCGATTCGCCAATCGACTAACAACCGGGTTCCTACTCACTGCTGGGTAAACAGAGGCCCGTGGAGTAAGGAAACTTGTGTAAGGTTTCGCCCCGCCCGGGAATCAAACGCAGCTCCTCTCACTTGTGGAATGAGCGCGTTGCTCACCAGTGGAGACAGAATCTGTATTTCAGGCTCCGTTGCTGCTGCTTCGAGCTGCAGAAACCCAGGGCATCACTCCCAACGTCTAACGCAGCGTGTTGTCACTGCAGTGTTGAAGCACTTTTCAGACGTCCTGGCCTCCCGATGTGAAAAGCGCTGTATAAATGTGAATTGTATCGTGTTGTATGAAAAGTAATCAGTTTGTTTCCTTCTCCAGCACCAAAGCGAAGCATCAGGTCTGGATGACATCAAGTTGACGCCACCGACTTTAATAATGAGAGTGAAACGCAAAAAATTTACAGGTATGATTCCACCTGGATACATTTCTGGGGGTAATAATCCCTCCAAGTAACAATAATAATTTGGTCACTCAATCCACGACTGTTTGCGGGACACCTCCGTGCACAATTGGCTGCCATGTTTCGCCCCCAAAATATACAGTCAATTCACTTTACAGTATATTCTGTGAAGCGCTTTGAGACGTCTCAATGGCATGATAAGGCACTATGTCAAATGCAAATATTATTATTATGTGCAAGTCAAAACATTGTGGAATGAAGTTCAAGAAGGATATAAATATTGATCCTCTCAGAGCTATATGTAAGGGCTTCACTAGGGTCTGTCAGGATAGCATGTAGTCGGCTGATTTCGACTTAAAATTCTGACCTCTCTGTGCTTGAATCGTTTCAAACTGAAGTGAGGTTTCCTCTCTCTGGGGATACAACACAAATTTACCTTTACGCAGCCCGGTTTTTTGCTTTCTGCACAGAATACTCTTGGAAAAATCTGACCGATGCCCATCAGAAGATTGGAACCGTCACAGTGGTGGGCACCGGCCTGGGCCACGTGATCAGCCCTCAGCAGTGGAAAGAAGAAGCAAAGAAATTTGAAGGAATATATGAAAATGCTCTCTCCAAAGACACCACAGCAGACAACGAAGAATTGCCCAGGTGATTCCCCATATTTGGAGCGCGCAGGGCTGACGTTTGACAGAGACCTCCTTCACCTTGCTCCATCAAAGCCTGTCTCAAGACTCTCCTTTTGACCATGCCTTCCGTCATCCTCCCTTCGACCCCCCCCCCCCCCCACCCTCCCTGCCCTCCACCTCTCAGCTCAAGTGCAAATTCTTGACTATCCAGTGCCTTGAGACGTCCCCCGACATGAAAGGCGCTGAGTAAATGTAATTTGTTGCTGTTGTTGAGATCACAGAGAGGATCAGTGTGAAGAAGGCCCTTTGACTCATTTGATCTCATCCAACCTAAATACACACCTACCCCTCTTCTCATCCACCCAGTATATCACGTGAAACACTTTGAGACTTCCTCCCTCCCGTGAAAGGCGCTGTATCAAATATCAGGATTAATCATATTATTATTTATTTAAGGAAAACCTTTTCATCTGATTTCAGTCGCCCGACATTCCACTTCCTGATGCTGGGACACATTCTGCCCATGTGGCTGGATACTAAATCCTATGCTGGTGAGATGCTTGGCCGATCTTACTTCCTCCAGTTTTAACATTTACTTTTTGGGCCAGGTTAAGGTTTCCTCCCCATTCTCCTCTTTCCCTGAGGCTGCTCGTTCCTTGAGTGAAGGACTGAGCGGGTGGGCAAGCGAGTGGGCGAGCAGAAGAAAGGCTGTCAGAGCCATCGTCTCTAGAGCAAACCTTGTGTTATTGCTTTGTAGCCTCACATTGTGCCGTGCCATTCCATCGCTTGCCTGTGATGGTTAAAAATAACACCTGCCTGGCTGGGTTTCTTACCTCTGAGTCTGAAGGTTGTGGGTTCGAGCCCCGGGTCAGGGATGTTTGAACTCCCAGTCGGCTTGGAGGCTGGGGCCTTGGATGATTGGAGATGATATCCTTCAGAAAGGATGTTAAACCCGAGCTCCTGTGTCTGAACACTAAGGATGGACATTAAAGATCTCACCGACTGGGATCTGAACCCTCGAGGCCCTGGCCCCAGGCATTCTCATTGCATTGTGCGTTTGGAGAATGAAATTAAGCCATTTGTTGGCAGAAAGTTGCTGAATTGTTGTTTGTGATCTCTCCTGCAGGCACCTTGGGCTTGTGGTGGAGCGGAAGCCACAACATTTTTGCATACGCGCTGGTGAAGCCAACAGGAAAAGAGAAGCCAGGCATGAGCACACTTTCTACAATCCCCATGGTCTCCAGGCAAATCCCAGATAACACAGGCTCCCACACAGTAGGCAGCATCCAGCACACAACTTCGCACACACTTGTGGATCATTGGGGGAACGTCCAGTGTGGCTGGTATCAGAGGCTGATTAATGTGTTAAACATTGGCCGTGTGTTAATGGGACAGAGAAGCTTAAGTGAGGATCCAATGCAGTTCCTGTAGATTCTGAAGGGTTTTTAGAGATTGAATAATGAAATGCTACTTCACTGGTTGACAGCTCAGTAAAGTGGGTGGAGGGCGGGGTGGCTGTCTCTGTGTTGTAAATGTCTGTAGTTCTTTGGAACTGGTAATTGATTGCGGTTTCTGCCACTTCTTATCGTGTGTGTTACAGAGATGGAGCCCAAGCCTGACATTGTCTTACCCAACTCACGGCCCATCTGCTGCTGTGCTGTGAACACTTCTGCCTCGCTGTACATAGCTGGTCTGATGGATGGAATAGTGACCATCTGGAATGCGTTTCTAGGTACAGTATCTAATCACATAATATCTGTGCCCTTCGCTCGTGCTCCCTGCCCCCAGCTCCCTCCACTCCCCCACCGCTCTCCCTGGCCACATAACTGTACCTGCACCAGCATCTGCTCATCCAGCCATCATGAACCATTTTGAGATGTCCTCCCAATGTGAAAGGCTCTGCGGAAATGTAACTGTTCATATCTCCTTCCCCCCCACCCAGGAATCCCGCTGTCGGTCTTGCCAATCCAGATGGGAAGCACAATCTCCAGCCTGGACTTCCTGGGGGACTCCCGCAACCATCCTTTCAATTCGTATGATAGAATTCCGAAAGTCCAGATCTTAGTGACCTGCAGTAACAGTGAGATCTACCTGGTGACAGCAGCCGGTTACACAGCAGCCAGCATCTGCACACTGAGAGAGAGGTGAGGGGGGCTCGGGGAGGGGTGGGGGGGGGGGGGGGAGGAGACTGAGAGAGAGGTGAGGAGGGCTGAGAGAGAGGTGAGTGGGGCTGGGGGCTGCTGAGAGAGAGGTGAGTGGGGCTGGGGCTGCTGACAGAGAGATGAGGGGGGCTGGGGGGTGCTGAGAGAGCAGTGAGGGGAGCTCGGTGGGTTGAGGCGCTGACAGGCACTCAAGATGCCACAGTGAGGATGAGTTATGAAGAGCAACTAATGGAATATTCCAGAGTGAAGAATACTGCCAGCCTAGGGCGGGCAGTGTGTACTAGAGGAGCTCAGTGTGGTCCTGAACCTCATTCCATTTCCCGGAGCCCTGCTCCATAATATTAATACTTGCATTTGATATAGTGTCTTTGAGAAGTCTCAGAGCGCTTCACAGAATGTACTGTAGAGTGAACTGAGTGAAAACGCGGCAGTCAATTGCACATTAGCAGTAACGGCTGGCATTATTTCAGTTTGGTTCTAGATCTCATTGTGCGGCTTGAGAAGAGACGGTCATGTGTCCTGACTAACTGTCCTCTAGATAAATTGGTCATTAAACTCTACCAGACTCCTCACCACCCTCACTCTTTTCCTCCTACACTCTACAACCTGAAACCTAAGGTCACTTACCTTCTGATGTTTGATTTACCCTGGCTTCCTGTCCTTTACCAGCAGAGGAGGGGTGACTGGCTGCCATGCTGTGCCAGGGGGCTTCCGAACCAGCAGCTGAATGACTCAGAAGAACGTTTCTTTCCCCCTGGTTTCCCCAGGGATAAATGGTGAATTCAGCAATGATTTCTAACGGCAAATCTTATTGTTTCAGAAGTGAAGATCCAGAGTCCGCCATCACTGCGGTGCAGGTGGTGCCGTCCATGCCTACCTTGGTACGTTCTCCATCTCATCAGGCCTGAGTGCTCCCAGACACTGTGCAGCCTGAAGGCTGCGATATCAATGTAAATTGTTGTTGTCTCCACCGTGGATTATAGCAACATCGGACACCGCAGAACAACATAACGTTAAACATTGTCACAGTAAATTTTTCCTTTAAAACAGGAATTTACTGTGACAATGTCCAATGTCTGAACTGTAAGTGAAGGTTTGGTGACTGGATATGGCTTAATGAAAGCTCCAACAGACCGCTGGACTTCCTGCCAAAAATCACAACATCGATTCGGATGAAAAAGCCCCTTCAGCCCAGCTAACCTAATCTCTTCAGCACCACTCCCCCCCCCGTCCCCCCATCACAACAGAACATCAAGCTGCTGTTTCAATTAGTCCCAGTGTCCTGGCCTCAACCACTCTTTCCAGTTGTTAATTACTCTGCGGGTAAAGGAAAAACTTCCTGCTGTCTGCCCTGAAATTGCCCTTTGCAATTCTAAACATGTGTCCTCTTCTTTTACTATCTCGGTAACTCCGAAGACATTGTTCTGGATTTACTTTCTCAATCCCATTTATAGAGTCATACAGGTGGCCTTTGAGATGTCTTCTCTCTGGACTGAGGAGGGAGAGCAGATACAAGGCTCGCTCTCTTTGCTGATGTTATTCAGAATTGATCTTCGATTCCCAGAATGTTCTAACATTCCCGTCATGTGTCTCTCTCCTCAGATTTTTCTGACCTTCCGAAATGGGAGCACTGCCTTGGTGGATGGGGCACAGGGAACCTTGTGCCATTTTGTCCTCCCCACCACCCATACTATAGGGACGCCGTGGGAACCCACATTTGCCTTTGACGCATTGGGTCGTTTGTTATACATCAAAGGTAGAGAATCAGCGGCAGCGGTTTCCATTCGCTCTGTTGAGCCGGTATGCATCTGCACGTGGGTTTGAGGGCCTTTTGTAAGCGTCTGTGTAAAGACGCACTGTTCAGTCTAGACTTGCTTGTTTAAGATCAGATCCATTAGTGCAGAATTGCACCTTTTCAAACAAAATCTCTGACCTGTTTGCAGATTTCTATTTTGTATCTGATCAGAGAATTTTCTGGGCATTGCTCTCTGGACAGTGATTTGTTACCAAATAACATACAAGTTGTCATCTCAGCTGCTAAGTGTTTGGGGGTCCAAGATTTTTTCTCGGAGCTTTAGAAATGGGCTTTGAATGTCTGTTTTCTTCTGTACAATACGATATTCGAGTATCTCGATAGACAAAAACAACCTGTAATAATATATAAAATAATAATAATCTTTGCATTTGATATAGAGCTTTTCACATCTTCTAGATGTCTCAAAGCGCTTCACAGAATATATTGTAAAGTAAATTGACTATATATTTGTAAACACTTGCACGCACATATACACCTAAACATACATAAAGTTTCACACATATACACACATACAGACATTATTTGCAATGTCCCTGAATGAAGAATGGAGAGCGGAGGAGGCTGAGGCACTCTCTCAGAGCTGCAGTCATTCAGCTGTTTTGGTGCTCAGTGACTCTGATCTTGATTCCTTACAGCAGCTAAAAAGAACACCCAGGAGAGAGCCATTTCAGTGTTTGTCTTCTCGCTGATGTCCATCCCACGCCTACAGATCTACATCAAGAGACATAAGCGACCGCCGCTGCTCCCCAAATTAATAACCTGGGACAAGCGAGGCGAGCTCTTCTTGCAGGAAAGGTGAGCTGTGAACAATTCAGCAACAGAACAAGTGAGTGAGCGAACACTCTCAAACGTCATCCATTGAGCCCTGAGTCCCTCCCCTATCTCATTAGTCTAAAGAAAGCTCTTCAGTGTGTCTTTGAGAACTCTGGGAGCTGTCACCTCACTTACAATAATGCTGCCGCTCAATCGAATATCAGAGCGAGTGGCAGTGATGTGCGTGAGCTCCCGTTTTCTCCCCTCCCACTCACATGTCTTAGAGAAGAAATCCTTTTCTGAATTAAGAAATCTGACATGGAATGCTGTAAAACTGCCCTAATGTTGTTTTTCAGAATTAGTTCATTGAAGAAGAGAAACCAGAGATTGACCGAGTTCTGGAACCACTTGAAGCACGAGACGACCTAACTTAGCCGGCATGAGGAGCGAGAGCAGGCATCTGGCACAGAACACAGACAGCAGCAGCGTGAGGGGAGCAGCATCTTTTATTCATTCCCTGGAGCCCAGACAATCCTCTTTCCCCCCCCACCACCCAGGGGCAACGTGGCCTGGCAGTACAGCCACAGGCAGCGAGGGGCAGAGAAGTGAGCTCTTTACTGATATCTTTAACTGCTTAGAACACGCCATCAAATGAAATAAATCTAAATGACATATGCTTTTATTTTGCAACAGTCTATGATGTGTTATTTCTTCATGTTTGTATAAATACAGTGAAAATTGTAGATTAGCAGTAAAATGTGCCTCTCAACTCTGCAATTTTCCACAAAAATTTGGCAAATTTCCCCAGCAAGTTTTGGCAAGTATTTCCTCAATCTTCTATTGGCCATGTTAATAGTCTCTCATAGTCAAGAGTAGTGACTGTTTGGTGTGAAGCACTTTGGGACATTGCGACATGATAAAAGTGTGTATCAAATACAAGTACAGGATTTGAGAACCTTTCCGGTCTGAGGATACAACACCATTTTGGGGTGAAAAGCAGAACTGACATAGCAAAGTGCTGTACTGGTAACTACAGGCAGCAAAGGATTTACTAAATAGTAAGGAATCCTGAAGGAAACCCCCCCCCCACCCCAGGCCGCACAGACACTGATCACTGGGGTGAGAGATGTGGGTGTCTCAGCACCTGTAAACCTGCACATCACTTGTCAGGGCCTAAACTTCTGCCCTGTCTTAGTCTGTGCCTTGAAATATAAGATGGAGCAAAATTTGTGGAACATTTTTAGTTTCAGTCTGAATCTGGAAGCCGTTTCTTCTTAAAAACTGAGAAAAACTGGCTTCAATGATCCGACTGGATTGGTGAACATTAAGAAAAAATGGTCTCGCAGCCTAAAATGGGGAAATTTCAAGCCGTGGGAGCGGAGAGAAAGGCAATGAACGAGTTTGAACAATTTGGCCACACAAAGGTTTCCAATAAGATCTTTTTAATTAAGGAATAAAGAAATATTTCTATATACAGTACAATACAAAGGTAGCAGTAATATAAAGTAAGATTTAAGTTAAATTCTCAGTGACTTTAATATAATAAGACACATTAAGATAAACAATAAAACGGCCTGTGATTGTCCACACAGAGCGAGGGGTTCACTGTCAGGTCGAGGGCACAGGTGCTGCTTCTGCCAGTGAGGGCTGGGCAAGAGGTGCCAGTCACAGCCGGGTACGCGGTGCCAGTCAGGGCTGGGCATGAGGTGCCAGTCAGGGCTGGGCATGAGGTGCCAGTCAGGGCTGGGCATGAGGTGCCAGTCACAGCCGGGTACGCGGTGCCGGCCAGGGCCGGGTACGCGGTGCCGGCCAGGGCCGGGTACGAGGTGCCGGTCAGGGCTGGGTACGAGGTGCCGGTCAGGGCCGGGTACGAGGTGCCGGTCAGGGCTGGGTACGAGGTGCCGGTCAGGCCCGGGCACGAGGTGCCGGTCAGGGCTAAATACGAGGTGCCAGTCAGGGCCGGGCATGAGGTGCCAATCAGGGCTGAATACGAGGTGCCAGTCAGGGCCGGGCATGAGGTACCAGTCAGTGTCCAGGAGCCAGTGGCTTCCATCTCACAACCAGCTTTCTGCAACAGAAAAACAATATTTTATATCAGACGAGTAGACGATAAAAACCGCACGCGTCTTTTCACAACTTAAAATTATTTGAATTATTTGTCATTAAATCCAAATGATTTCAATATGAATCTGGGGGAGGATGGGAAATAGTCTTTCTGGAGGCCTGAAATTCCACCTCGTCACAGTCTTAGCCACCTGTCAGTCTGCCTTTGTTGGAGCTGCTTTCATCTCGGTCCCACACTGGCACTCTGAGCTCACAGAGTAAGATGGCTGTACTGATGGGAGCACTTCATCATCAGAGGTGCCATCCTTCAGATGAGATGTAAAACAAGGTTATGTATTCCTGTTCGTGTGGACATTAAATTTTAGAAAAGAGGTGGGAATTTCTCCCGGTGTCCTGACAATCAATCAACCAGATAAAATTGGGCACTCACTTCATGGCTGTTTTGGAGACTTTGCTGCGTGTAAGTTGGCTGCCATGTTCACCCACGTTTTACAGTGGATCCGGTATAGCACTTTAAAATATTTGATGATTTGATAAGGCAGGTGTTGTATCAAATACAAAGGTTGTTATTTTTATTATTAATAGGAACTGGACAAAAAGTAGCTTCCAAATTAGGACTGAAAATGAAGAATTATTAAGACAAAATGGTCCACAGATTAAGACAGGGTGGAATTTCAGGCTTTGCTCCCCTGAATATTTACACTGACTCGGAGTTACAATAAGCCATCTGATGCTGATTGATTTGGTGAGTGGCAAAAGGTGTGTTACACTCAGCATATACTGTACTTAATATCTGAACACTACAACAACATACCTGCAAAGGGGACAGAGTGAGAGGCGGCTCCTGTCTGTGGTGTGAGAGACTATGCCCTGTGGGGAGTGAGGGCAGAGCGTGGTGATGCAGGCTCTTTCCTTCACTGAGTCCCAGCAACTCGTCTCTGTCACTGAGTCCCAGCAGCTTTGTCAGGTGAGCGATGTAGCGGATTGTCAGCCGCAGGGTCTGCAGTTTGGTCAGACTCTGGTCAGGGGCGGCAACAGAGGGGGGCAGGTACATGCGAAGGTTGTGAAGGGCAGTGGCCAGGCCCCTCATTCTCAGTTTCTCCCGCTCGCTGGCACTCTGCCTCTGCCGGCCTGCACAGCGCCACCGGCTCCGCTTGTCCTGTCTGTCCCGCGTCGGTGCTGCCGGGCTCCGGTTTGTGTGGGAGACTCCCAGAGTCTGGCGGGGCAGGGAGGGGGGTGAACATCTGCAGGATTCGGGAGAAGCCGGAGAGAGACTGTGAGGCGGGGAATCGGTCAGCCAGTCTGATTCGGAGCTCAGACAGTTCCAATCTGTTAGCCCGTACCAGTCCGTGTCAGGGCTGAGTTGACTCCAGTCTGTCGGTCTGTTTCTGTCTGTGTCAGGGCTGGTGTGGCTCCAATCTGTCTCGGGGCTGGAGTGGCTCTGTTGGATGGGGAGGTCAAAAGCGAAAGCATTGATGTTGTCCAGGTCAGAGTAGGCCTGTGGCCAGCACAGCGGAGCGGAGTAGGGTGGCTCTGAGCAGCCATACTCAGGCAGTTGGTTGTAGCACGTGTCTGAGGTCCTCATGTAGTCCTGGTTCTGAGGTGATGTCAGTTCCATCTCTTCCACTGAGAGTCAAGCAGTCTCCAGGCAGAGCAAGGCTCAGACTGTGTGTACTCCAGTCAGTGTATGTGGAAATACAGGCCTGAGCTGAGCAGCTGCTGCTTATATCCTGCTCCTGGAGGTGTGAAGCGACACTTTCAGGATGGGAAAGCTGGGCCGGGGATCTCGGTGTTTCATTCCCAGGGTCAGAGGTGCAAAATGGCAACAGAAACAGCAGTATAGATGATTATAATAATAATCCTTGCATTTGATATAGTGCCTTGTCACGTCGTTGAGATGTCTCAGAGTTCTTCACAGAATATATTGTAAAGTGAATTGACGGTGTATTTTGTGAATGAAAATATTTTATTTGTAAGTCTCAGAGAAGTTCCAGATACCTGCAGATATCCCTCCAACTCACTTTACCCTCTCACTCCTAGCCTCTCCCTCCCGGCCTCTCTCCAAGGACTCAAACAGAGAGAGAGAGAATCTTGTGGCATTTTACAGGGGAGATGGAGGGGTTAAGAGGGAGAGGTGGGGTGGGCGCAGGTACTGTGTTGGGGCTCAGAGATAACACTGCCCACGATAGAGTGTAAGGAACTTTGTGAATTAAAATTAAAATTTAAAAAATGTAAATCTATTGATGATCACGATGTGAATGTAGCAGCTCATCACCCTGAGTGTCAGGCCAGCCAGGCAGACCATGTGGGGGTGCGGGGGCTACTACCAGACCATGGGGAAAAGCAGGGAGGGGGTGCAGGGGAAGGATACTGGAAGAGTTGGGGAATTCAGGGCAGCAGGGGTTTAATTAGCTTCACACTCAACCTATAATAACCTCATCAAGCCCGAGGTGCTGGGCTCTCCACTGGCTGATGTTTTGACAAGTGTCCGGGGACTGGAGGGTGTGAGGGTGGGAAGAGCAGGAGATGGAACTCTAACACCTCTTTTATGTCAATAATTCAGCTCAAGAATGAGCACTGGGAACAACGTAAGGTTTTCCTGACTCCAGACTCAACTTTTTCCATCTCTCTCCGATTCCTGTTTAAACGTGGATCTGGTCTCAGCCTCGATGGGGTGTTCCCATTTCCGACGGCCTTTGTCTGGAGATGACTCTTCTCGAGCTTCCTTCATTCAGTGACAACGCTGACCATATTCTCTCGTTACTGACTCTGGCAGAATTGTAAAGAGTTGGATCAGACCCTTTCTACTCTAATAATCATAGGTCCTAGTTCTTATTAAAATCTGTAGAAACCTGGCTTCCAGATTAAGATTAAATTTAGACATATCTTAAATTATAACGGAAATAGTTTTAGGACCAGCTGGAATCTCAGATCTGAGATTCAGGCTACTGACAGCTCTCGTGTGCAGACCCTGATAAATAATACTAATTCTTGCATTTGATATAATGTCTTTTATGTTGGGAGGATGTCTCAAAGGTTTACTGTAAAGTGACTGTGTATCTGGCAAATGACTCTGGCAGAATGTTGAGAGGGATTTTCTGAACCCAGCGGAGCTTTCTATCATTCCCGTCAGCCTCCAGGTCTCTCACCAGGAATCCCTCAGGGCTCCCCCTCCTTCAGTGAGACAGGAACTTTGATTGATCACTTGGCCTGTGAGTAAATGAGTCTGAGAGGTGGTGTGCTGTTGACACAGACTCCACCCTTCGATGAGAATGAGCTGAGCTGTGAGGTGTGAAGGCCTCACACTCCACTCTCATAATGAACAACTGGCAGCCGATGGTCTGTGGGTGTCAGGGTGTAAAATGTGGGAGTGACCCAGGATCCGTCTCCAGGGAATCGATTCCCAAACATTCTCCCTACAATTTCATTCCTTTACACTAGACTTCAACTTTGATAGATTTATTAATAAGAAATGGATATTGATCACATTTTTGACCAACCAAATAGAGGTCTTTTACTTGACCTTAACTGATTGCTGTCCTCATTGCTATGTGCAGAACATGACTGGTGCAGATTCGCATTTGACTA